CGAGACTTCTGTCTACACACTTTTGTGCCCCTATTGACTCACGTGTCAGCACATGCGGCACGTGAATAGCACGTGCGATTTCCAAGCCCCGGCTCCCGCACGTTACGAACCAAAAACGTTTTCCCACCCGAAAAAAAAAAAATAAAAAATAAAAGAACGTTGATTATTAACGATCGATATGGTCAACCCGAAATTATTCATATTCTCAATGATGCGTACCACCTAATATAGCCTGTCTTTACCCGGGAGCTAAAACTAGGTTTAATCAAAACCAGAATGCGACTTTTAGAGCTGCCGATACAATTTCGGGAAAATTAATTTTCGTGTCACAAAACCGGAAGATGTGCGATTGCGACACCCTCGCACGCCTCCGACAATGCATTGAAGCCGGACCCGAGTCCTCGTTTTCTTTGGATTTATATGATGATCTTTTTAGTTCACGAGGGAATAAGTATTTTTTTTTTTGTAAGGTAAGTGGTATAACTTTTCAACGCACAACGAGCGAATAAGTATTTGAGTCCTCAATTATCAAGAAAGGGACCGGAGAGCTTTTTTCTCCTAGAGAGGCCCCCTTCCATCACTCTCCTCCACTCGTGAAGACGATGAACGGTTTTTTCCTTGGAAGTCCCATTCACTGAGTTGGGTTTCTTTTGTTTCTTTGTAAACCGGGGGTACATGATTGGCATGTCGGTTACAAAGGTACCGTGCGGAGCCCAAGCCAACTAAGCAGGAGCCGAAGCTCCCTTGCATCACCTCAGGCGCGCGGGAGGTTACAATGCCTGCCTACCCGGCAGTAGACAGCCGAAACCAACGTGGAGTGTGCCTTCTCCACCCGCAGGGCCCTAAGTTCCTTTCCGTTACTTTTCTTCTCGAGAGAGAAGGAATAAAGAGATCTCTCTACTATACTGGGGAGTTCCTTCCCCTATTTCTCATTGAATCTTTTAAGGTCCTGCTCCGAACCAACTTGATGAATGCCGACTTTTGACCCCGCGCTCTTACGAACTCGGGAAAATTAATCTTCGTGTCGCAAAACTGGAAGATATGCGATTGCAACGCCTTCGCACGCCTCCGACGATGCATTGAAGCCGGACCCGAGTCCTAGTTTTCTTTGATTTTATATGATAATCTTTTTAGTTCCCGAACGGATAAGTATTTAAGTCATCAATTATGAAGAAAAGGACTGTACAGCTTTTCTCCAAGAGAGAGGTTTCTTCCATCACCCTCCACCCAAGAAGATGATGAATTGCAATTTTTTTTTTCATGGAAGTCCCATTCTCGAGTTCGGTTTTCTTTTGTTTCTTTCGTGGATGCACCAACCGCACTTTCATGTGCAGACAACCAGCTGCTTAAACTAGGTTTATCCCATACACACATGATGCACCATGGATTGGGACATTACAAAGAAACTCACCAAAAAAAGAAGAAGAAGAAGATTGATCAGGACCTGGACCTTATCGATTGTAACTTGATCTTATCGTCTTCGCTTCCCGTTTGGCGAGCCGAGTCGATTTGATTGCTAAGGAGCGGAAACGTTCGAACGTGTGGAAATTCCACAGTCGAGTAAAGCCATTCGGGTTTCGATGAGATATATGCTCTTTGACTCGAGATTTACCTACCCAAAACAAGGGTTTTCTCGTTATGAAGAGGCCTTGGGGGGCGATCCAGCAAAAGCTTGAAGAGGGCTTTGGCTGGTTAGCTGAGGAGCTGGACTCAGCTGAAGTGGACACGTACGTGGCCCAGAGACAAAAGGCTTTGTGATGCGTTTACAAAAGATTGGGTGCTTTTCCTTATCGACGAGTTCTTGTTCACTAATAATTCACTCGTGAAAGGAACAATGAGCAGCTCATAAAGTGCAACTCAAGCATCCAAAAATCGCCTAAGATGGCTCCCCCATCCTTTCCATTTTTCTTTCGGGCTAGCGGGAAGGTGGCGCCCGGTGTTCCCGCGTTCATCGAGACGAATTAATCTGGCTTGGACGATGTCTGCGCCTAACAAACTTATGGTGGATTTATGAGATAGCCATGAGGAGAAGTTAATGTGGCATTGGAAGTACAGAACTGGATCATGATGATCACTTGATTACCGAAAATGAAGGTCTCGATTTCACGTACCGACCACTTTCGAGTAGTGTTACTGTTGTTCGTCGCGTAGTTCTCACCAAGCATTAACATTTGCCTGAAAAAGATGGAGAAGTACATCACTTCTTACCCCGCCATAGAGAGGCTCTGAGGAGAGGTTTCCGAGAGACTGATGTATGGCAAGTCTATGATTATTGCAGTATAGTACAGATTGCCTTCTAATTGGGTGCATCAACATTGGAATTGAGCTTCCTCAAACAGAGGAAGCTCAAAGAGCTCGAAAATTGTTTGTGGGTGGTGTGGTGCAGTGCCTTCTTGTGCTGGATTGTTCTTCTTGATTGTACAGCTTGAGTTCATAATAGGATCTCCCTCTTATTTATGGATTGTTTAGTTTTACTTCTTGGTAATACATGCAAGTTAATTTACCTGAGAAATGGATATGCCCTTTGCACACATTTACTTGCAATTCACAGCTCGAGAATACAAGTTCGAGTTCAAATATTTCAATTGATCGGAACCGGAATTTCGGTTGGATAGTACAAGTTAGTTCAAGTCTCTCAACTGGATTTGGTGAGAGCTAGAGGTGTATTTAGTTTCAACCTGATGTTCAGGGATGTTCATTTCTTAATAGGCTTCCTGCTATCGATAGAGTTGGCAGAAGGCTTAACCCTCCACCTTGTCTGGAATGCGCGCGATGGCGCCTTCGCTTGCAGACTCCTCCTTCCGTTGATCTAGTGACGAAGATGATTAGATTTGCCGCACATTATCATGTCAAAGGCTGCGAGCGGGCAGCTCGGGGCAAAGATTGTTTCCATAGATTCGTCTCGGATTGGCCCCAACTGATGCATTAGTTTTGCTTAGCAGCATTTCCCCAAGTCTTGGGAGCATACTGGTTTTTGACTTTGCAGCATGTGAAGATTTGGAGATGTTTGTTCGCCCACTCCGTCCCTACGCAAAAGTGCATGACCTCATTTTGAGTTGGTGATCCACTCTTTTCGGCTTGTAAAGGAAGCAAACAAGACAACGGGCAGTATTCATGTGGAGCATCTGCCAAAATTCTCTACCAACCAGGGTTAACTTGTATAGAAGGAAGCTTTTACCTGAGCCTTATTGCTCCATGTGCCGCAAGGAACCCGAAACAGTGGAACATCTATTTCTCCTATGTGATAAGACAAAGCAAGTTTGGTCTAGTCCATAATTCAATTTTCAGTTCCCTCAGCAACAAGTAACCAGAATCGAGGAGTGTTTGCTGAACTATGAAGATCTAACTCAAAAGAACCTACCCTTTGAGATCATTGCAGCCACTCTCTGGAATATTTGGTTAGCACGTAATTCTTTTGTCTTCCAACCCCAGATTCCTAGTCCCAGAAGCATAGTAGACTCAGCCTTTGCCATGCACTACAACTATGCGAAGTGGAACAGGAGTAACAAGGCGGGAGAGCGAGCATTAGAGGATTTACCTTCGAGGTGGAGACCACCACAGCCAGGGACGCCGAAGATTAACATCGATGGATCACATCTCCCGGGGTCTACGGAAGGGGCTTTTGCTTTTGTGTGCCGCGATTCAAAAGGGAGATTGATCAAAGGAGCTGCGCAACCAATCCGAGTGTCCTCCGCCTTTCACTCTGAAACCCTTGCTTGTCTCCATGCTCTTCGACACTTTGCTGGGCGATCTGGACAGAAATTTGTGCTAGAAACTGATAGCTCCACTTTGATAAGCTTCCTACAAGATTCCTCTCTCTGCTCGTGGGACATTGAGCCCCTTATCACAAAATGTTTAGGCTTCATGGCTCTTTTTGAGAGTCTTGAGTTAGCCTACTGCTCTCGAGATTCAAATAGATTAGCAGATTAGGTTGTAAAGGCCTCAAGAGTTAAGGTCCTTTCACGTTATTGGGTTTCTTAACCACCACCCCCTCTATGGGAGATCCTGTGTTTTAATGCTCCTTATTCTAGAGGGCTAATTGTTCAATGAAATGATAAGTCTTTGTTATGTCCACAAAAAAAAAAAGAGGAAGGAAGCATATAAGAAGGTACCCCTTACAAGTATCATTTTTTGACTTCATCACGATTTATATACTTTGCACGTCCGGTATTCAAAACTTTACATTTTAATCCCGACATGGTAAATCTATATTTTTCCTCCCTAAAATTATAAAACGCCACACTTTATGTCGTCGTAATTTATACCATTGGAAAAATATGCACCGTGCAAATCTTTTGAAATCTCGATAGTCCCCGGATGGGTTGATATAATATGCGGGTCCTTTCGAACATCTTTGTTTGCGAGTGCTCCAGGAGCATTTTTTAAACATTTAATTAAGGAAGCTTTATTAGTCCGAATGAATTTTATATTATACATAATCGTTACCTTGAAAATTAAGTTATCTCAAATAAAATATATTTAAAACAAATCTCTCGGTCACTCATTAATAATTTTTCTTTTTCGAAAATAGGAAATGCTTGGTGCGAGTTTAGAAAGTGGAGGATGAATTTATTTTTGTTAAGGCTTAATCTCACCAAAGAAAGGGAGTTTTCGCTTCTATGAGGGCCTCCGTGGCTTGTCCCCATATCATGGGGCGGGCTCAACGTACGAGTTCCTTATTTTATAGTGTTAATGCTTGCAGGCTTTGCACTTTCAATTTCTTCCGTATTTCTTTTTGTCTTTTCAGGAAGAGAGAGAGAATACCCTCTATGAGATTTACATCTCGGTAATCTCGACATCCGAACGAGGATAGAGATGGAGTCTTTTAAAGATATACTCGGCGGTCCAAGGAGTTTAGAAAGTGGAGGATGATTTTTTTATGTTTTGTGATCTATTCAATCCACTTGGCCATTATTTTGGGCCAAAAAAGTATTTGCGATTTTAATTAAATAAAAAATCCCAAAAAATGAGTAAAACGGGGGGGGGGGGGGATCGAGTAACAACAGTTCGATCACCGTTCCCAGGGGCGACGGAAGCCCGCCTGAAAGAGGAGGAGGAGGAGGAGGAAGCCAGCGACGCCGTGCGACGCCGGCCATGGCGAGCCCCGGGAAGCTGCAGACCTCGAGCTCCGAGCTGGACCTGGATCGCCCCAACATCGAGGATTACCTCCCTTCCGGATCCTCCATCCACGAGCCTCGCGGCGAGTTCCGCCTGTCCGTACACCACCTCCCTCTCTCTCTCGATCGTTTGGCGGTTCGGAAACGATGGACAGCGCGCGCGCGCGCGATTGCGTTCTCGCGGGAGTTGTCCCGGTTTTAGCATTGCGCCGGGCCCGATCGAGATTAGTTTCGGTTGCGTTCGCCGCCGCTCTTTTTGATCGCCGGTTTTCTTTTTGTTTTGGCAGGCGCGATTTGGTCGATGTCACGCCGACTCTGACCGAGGCCGCCGGTGCTATTGTCGATGTAAGTGTGCGCGCGCTTCCGCTTGGCTTTTGCGTGTGCGATTCGTCGTGACCGGAAATGCGTGCGAGCGCCCGCGTCCCGGGGCTCTGCGTTTTTCCGAGGGGATGTTTGATTTGGGGAGCTTGTGCGATGGTTGACGGCAGGATTCCTTCACGCGGTGTTTCAAGTCGAATTCGCCGGAGCCGTGGAACTGGAACGTATATCTCTTCCCGCTGTGGTGCTTCGGGGTGTTGGTTCGGTACTTGATCCTGTTCCCTGCGAGGTTAGTCGCTCAGAAGCCTGTTGAATTCTAATTCGAATGCGATGCGCTGGTGGAAAGTCAGTTCACTGAATCCGTGTTGCTAGTCCAGAAACCTATAACAGATCAAGAAAAATGACAAACGGAACGACAGTTATGTGCATTTCTGACTTTTGTGTTCTGTTTTGATTCAAGTTCGTTACTAATGTTGGCATGTTTTTCCAACGTGCTGAATATTGCTATGAATCTTGTTCTTTTCAATATGAGTGGCGCATCGGTTCATGTGTAGGTTTTCGGCTTTCATTTATAAAGGAATGGTTTCTTCATGCTTGCTCGCACTTATGGTGCATGTCCCATAAAAATTTGGTTTAATCTATCAGTTTAACTTTGGCCCTTTTGGATGTTTTTTGTAATTTTTTTTTTTTAAATTATCACAATGTAGAAGTCTTATTCCAGGTCTAATGCATGAAAGCATCCGGAAAAAAGTCCTTTGTTGCATATTAAGTACCTTACATCGAGGGCTTTTGAGATTTTTGAGTTGGGGATCACAGTTTCTAGCAAATTCATTCGGAAACTGTTTGATGCTGAGACAATTGATAGTCACTGTAGCTGTGGCAATTCTTGGCTATTATAATGTCTAGTCGATCTCCAATGCAGCACTCCGAAGTTCTGGGCCCTTCATTGTCTGAAACTGAATGGTGCTAGGCTCTTACATGGGAGAAAATGTTTTGCTAGGACCAACTTGTATTTTGGTTGTTCTACTTGTATTTACCATGTCCTTCGACATATGTGTATTGCCTACTGATAGGGCCTTCTGCGTTGTCCTGCAGCATTCTCATTCATCTTAGTGCGATACCTTTCTTATGCGATAAGGAAACTGGCATGACTAAATTGACGTTACATTGCATATGGATGACATCTGGTGCTTTAAGGGACAGTCAGAAAAATGGATGGATCTTCTTCTCCTTCTTCCTCTTCTTCTTCCTCTTCTTATTCCCTTTCTTATCTTAAGGGGCATGGGACGATCTGCGTTGTGCTTTCAAGTTTCCAACATTATCATTGTCATTATACTTTTGGAAGTCATTGTAGTGGCCTCTCTTGGTGTGGGTTTTAATTTGATGACTTTTGACTGCAGGGTTTTAGTATTGACAATTGGATGGATAATATTCCTCTCATCGTTTGCCCTTGTTCACTTTATGCTTAAAGGGCAAGATGCACTGAGAAAGAAGCTGGAGGTAAAAGCACGCTTCTTAACGGTGTTGCTATTTTCACTTACATCTGGGGGTTGTTTAGTCTGTTTATTTTTGTATGGCTGGATGGGGGCTTTTTCTCTTTTGATTTCCTTATAAGATCAGATTGAGTTCCATTTTTTGAGTGCGAATCTGATTCCACTTTTCCCACTCTTGAACTTCTTGATCGTTTTGCCTTCTGAGGATTTGGGATATATAAGCCACATTTCCTTTATCTTGTTTAATGTTATGCTTCATTGTTGGGTATCCATATTTCATGTTTCCTTTTGCTTTACAAGCTGACCATGCAGAAGTACGAGGTACTTCTCTCATTCATGTGGACCTTTTTTTCTCTGTTTTTTTTTGGGGGGGTTTTCATTTGCGCACGCCACGTGCCTTGTTTGGAGGAGGGGCTTTGGAGGGACCATGTACTTGACACTCATCTTATATCTAATGTGATGGAAGGCTGCTGGTGCCCAACTAACCTTTCCTTATGTTCTTCAAAATGATTGAGCTCTCTAACAAGTGTTCTCATTGCAGTTAGCCAGTAGACGCTTAAGTATAAAAGTTATCTGATGCTTTGGTCCTTGCAGAGGTTGCTGGTGGAGTTAATTTGCTGCTTCTTTGTCGCTTCATGGACTGGGGTGGTCAAATACCATGGGCCACGGCCAAGCATTCGGCCCAAACAGGTTATACAATTAAACTGTTGACGTCTTTTTGCTTTTTCCATGTCTTGTGAGGCTGACAATTTTTTACTCATGTAGTGACTTCAATGCATTTTAAATCCAATTTTATGTGTTGAACAGGTTTTTGTTGCCAACCACACTTCCATGATTGACTTCATCGTCTTGGAGCAAATGACTGCCTTTGCCGTTATTATGCAGAAGCATCCTGGATGGGTTGGTTAGTAGATTGTTAGTATATGCTCAATTTATTCTGGGATAACTTTATCTTTTATAGGGCATCATGAGTTTTACCACTGAGTTTCACATTTTCATTTTTGGTGAGAGAACCCAATTGCTTTATATATGCTCCTTAAAGATGCATTGATTACTCCTTGTAGTCTGCAATTGCTAGAGTGATTATGAACTCTTTGTTTTGTTTCTTTTATAGGACTACTGCAAAGCACTATTTTGGAGAGCGTAGGATGCATCTGGTTTAATCGTTCTGAGGCCAAAGATCGTGAAATTGTGGCGAAAAAGTAAGTGTGCAGGTGCAGCATAATTGTTGCTCAATTAGATTACGGTGAATTGCTATGCAAATATCTATTAAAATTTTCAGGTTGAGAGATCACGTACAGGGAACTGATAACAACCCTCTTCTCATATTTCCTGAAGGGACTTGTGTGAACAATCACTATACTGTCATGTTCAAAAAGGTACTTTAGATTATTGCTTCCTATGCAGAGAGCCATCATTAAGAATGGAACGTATATGTCCTTGTCCTAAATTAATTAGTACTCTGGGTCATAATTTCTCTATCTGTCAACATTTGATCGTTCATGGTAAATGTTTTTCCTCTGAAATAGCTCATTGCTTCAGATTGCGTGCTTCTTGGTTGTCTTTGATAATTTACTGCTCCAAATTTCGATAAAATGCTATATCCAATGACTCGTTTTTGAATTGGTTATTTGGTCGAAACTGATTCTATTTCTTCATAATGCCTAGGGTGCATTTGAGCTCGGGTGCACTGTTTGCCCTATCGCAATCAAGTACAATAAGATCTTTGTGGATGCCTTTTGGAACAGCAGGAAGTATGGGACTGCCTACAAGAACTTATATTGTACAATTTGTACTTATTGGCCATAAATGAAATTTAGCTGCATGCTGAATGAATCCCGTCATGTTTAAGTTACCATTGTTCTCTACTCTACTTCTCTTAGTAACTGACCGTGTCTGTTTTTGCAAAGCAGTAAGTAATTCCTACTAGATATTGCTTTTCCTTCTTGTTGATTTTAACTTGCTATTGTTGTTCCTTACGTAATTTGGGTCACATTATGAATGCCTTAAGAGCACTTGTTAAGCATGTCTAATAACGGAAGTTCCAATTTTGAAAGCACAGATTACACTAATCACGAGAAAAATAGTATTCTGGAATTTGAACTTTCCTTATTTAGGTGCTTAACAAATTCCTTGAGGCACTCTTCAACAAAATCCATGTAATTTTACGGACATAGAGCGAAGAGTTAGCCCAGTTTCCAGAACACTTGACCTAATCAGTGGTAACCAACAAAATAGCATGAGTTCTTTGCCAAGTTTGAGGCAAATAATTGTTCGATGCATCTACGCTGGCAGAAAATTGCTTGTCTGAATTAGTGAAATAACTCTCTTCTATATCATGTTGGGTTCATTGGCTTCTAACTCAGCAGCAATTGGAGGCTAATGCCTGAGTTACTCTGTATGCAGACAATCTTTCACAATGCATCTGCTGCAGCTTATGACATCTTGGGCTGTTGTTTGTGATGTCTGGTACTTGGAACCCCAAACCCTGAAACCCGGTGAAACACCAATTGAGTTTGCAGAGAGGTAATTGTTCATTTTTTACGCACAATAAGCTGCAAGGGCATTTAGCCAGTGTACTTTAATTTCCTTATATTTTCTTTATGCACACTTGGGTGGCTTGATGCACAACTTTGATGCCGACAAACTTCTATCCTTACTACACGTTACTCTTCTGCAGGGTCCGGGACATCATATCTGTGCGAGCTGGTTTGAAGAAGGTTCCTTGGGATGGATATCTGAAGTACTCACGCCCTAGCCCCAAGCATAGAGAAGGGAAGTAAGTCAAGTCTTGTTCATTTTCTAAGATCCTGTTTGATTTGGTAATTTGCACCAAACGGTGATATTGTAGCATCCCATTACTTCCTCTTTTTGGTTTGAGGGGTGGGGGGTTTGAGCGTGTAAGCTTTTGCATAGTTACATAGGTGGCCGTCTGTTAACCGGCTAATATATATTTGTTTTTATTTTGACTTTTCTTTCCACAAACAGGCAGCGAAGCTTTGCTGAGTTGGTGCTGCAGCGACTTGAGGAGAAGTGAAGAATTTTCTCGTTCATTTCAGCAGGTTGTACTCCTGCTCTAAAGCATTCTTTAATGCCTTAGATCTGATTACCTGATCAAATAGATGCTTCACCAGTTTTAACTTAGTAGGCATAATTTTCCAAAGTAAGTTACTAGATCTTCTCCTTCAGATTGTCATGCTAGAGAATAAGTTTTCAGCAAAAGCAGGTCCTCTTTAGCTTCTCGTGAAAGGTGTTACGAGTTAAGTCACGAGTCTGGACTAGAACTGACAACTGTGGGAAGACCAAATCAGCAGACAAAGGGCATGCGGATCTATTCATCTTCATTTGCGGCCTACTGTCTACAATTTTGAGACTGTAGATATCATTTGTCAGGTCTTTGGGACACTGACCTGTTTTGGCGAGTGAGAACTAGTGTGGATGACTGATAACTACTTCTTGACCACGCTTCTTTCTTCCTTCCCTTAATCATTTGCGTGTATAGATCTTCGAGCTTGTAACTCTTTGACTTTTGCCTGAGATGGTCGAGGTTTTGCCATTTGCGAAAAGAATTCTCCCGACATTTTCTTCCCTGAAACAGCAAGTAGATTAAGCAAATCTTGTGTTAGGAGGAAGCCCGTGCGTGTGGTGGCGGCGATGTCCAGAATCTGCGGGATGTTTTTACTAAGCGCCAAGGCAATGTATAGTCTAGCAAATTTTTGCTCAATCAATCAAAATCTTACCGGAGAGTCACGGGGCATTCCTGAGGTAGGACTCCCGGCTTTTCCTGCCCAAAGTACGAACGAGTCCCGAACGCGATTGAAGAATTTTTATCAATTTCCCATAACCGGTTGTCGAGGGCATTGACGTTGACTTGTCACCGTCGGCTGGGACTATTCAAAGACCAAAAGGGTTATCGTTGTCCTCGTCCGGTGCTAGTGGTTCATCTCATAAGTGAATGGAAACCTAGTTACGTGAACCCTCATTTGACTAATGACGATGTACTTGTTCTGATCAAGAATGATCGTCCCACTTTGGTGGTCCAATTCCGGGTTGAAATGAGTACCCCTCCCGTGAAATCTTGCGGTACCGAAGCTGCTTATTGGGCTGACTCCTTCCACCCAAAATTTTGCGTCCTTGTCTTCCCCACCTTAGAAAAGAAGTCGCACGGTTCATGCGGCGGTCAGAACGTCGTTTTTCTCCATATCCGGCAGGTAAAAGGGGCGCATGGAAACGCCCCACTGCCTATGAAAGTCATCATGCGAAAAGGGTATTTTGAATATGGTCGAACGGCATGGGAATGTATACTCGTGCGTGCCTAGAAATGAACCGTTAGATGCAGGTTCCTCTCATTGTTTCAGTTTTGTAAGAGGACGATGTCCGCTCCATGTCACTCCAGATTACGATCTAAGATTTGAGGTTGATATGCATATCGTAATCCCCACGAGAATGAAATGCGGTTCGTTCTTGAAAATCGAACCCGTGCTCCCGCAACAGCGAGCGTGGGAACTATTGGAGTCGAGATGAGGATTAGAAAATTGGAGAGTCGAAGTAGACGGAACTTTGGTTAAAGACTTGGAGGCAGACCTTTCAATTCAATTCAGACACCACAGCTGGATCTTTCAAGACTTTGACCAGCTGTTCCTGTTCTCCATAGAGAGAGAGAGAGAGAGACGAGTCAACTGTGAAAGCGGCGAATTTCCTCCTCCCTCCAATTTGTCAGCATCTTGCAAGTCCAAAAATCCACTCTCGCGACTTCACACATTCCTCAGGTCAACCCCAGAGTCTCCGGTCAACTCTTGATCATCTCCATCCCACACCTCCTCGTTTTCTTCTTTGCCCGCTTCACCGGCATTGCCAGCGTCGGCCATTCGATCTTGCTCTCCCCTGACAGAAACCCAACACCCCCTCCCTCATCAATCTCTCGCAGAAAGGAAAGAACAAACCTTTCTTAGAGAGAGAGAGAGAGAGAGAGAGAGATGGGGTGCGCCGTGGTGCTTGCGTGCCTCTCCTTCCTCCTCCTCTGCGCGCTCCTGCCGGCGACGGACGCCCTCGGCTTCACCTGCACCGCCCAGCCCGAGGCCACGTGCCAGGCCCTGGTTGGCTACATATCCCCCAACACCACCACCCTCAAGTCCATCCAGTCCCTCTTCGGCGTCAAGCACCTCCGCTCCCTCCTCGCCGCCAACAACCTCAGCCCCACCACCCTTCCCACCGCCACCGTCCAGGCCACAGACACCGTCATCATCCCCTTCACTTGCAGGTAAACCCCCCCGCAAAATAAAAAAAAAAAAACGAAAAAGAGAAACGGGTCATAACCGAGACTGTGCTCGAAGTGGCGACCTCTGTTTCTTCACATCGCGCGACATGAAAAGCTTCAAGCTTGAGGAAGAGATGCTTGCGTAAGTAAAATGGTCGACTCTGTTGACGTGGACGGATCCGTGCAGGTGCTCGAACGGGTCGGGAATATCGGACCGGAGCCCCGTGTACACGGTCCAGAAGGACGATGGGCTCTACTACATCGCGGCCGCGGTGTTCTCGTACCTGGTGGTGTACCAGGACATCCAGCTGGTGAACCGCATCGAGAACGCCAGCCTCATCTACATCGGGCAGGAGCTGTGGATCCCGCTGCCGTGCAGCTGCGACCAAGTGGACGGGGAGAAGACGGTGCACTACGCCCACGTGGTGGCGGAGGGAAGCACCGTGGAGGAGATCGCCACGGAGTTCGGCGTACTGGAGCAGACCCTGCTGGACCTGAACGGTTTGGCCAGCCCCAACGCTCTCATGGCCTACCAGGCTTTCGACGTTCCGCTTAAAGGTGATCTCTCTCTCTCTCTCTCTCTCTATACTCTTTCGCGAAAACTAATTTTAACGGTTGATGGCCGTTGATGGTTGGCGGGGTTTGCACGATAGATCCTTCTTTTCTCCATGGGACTGCTCATTGGCTATCATGCGATTCGTCGCCAAGACGGGCGATTTTGGTAACTCTGTGTTAGTGATTGACTCGGATGCGTCCATCATTGTGCAGCTTGTACGTCCAAGATCCGAAACGACTCGCTGGACGCCTCGTTGCTCGTGCCCGGCGGCACCTACGCCCTCACGGCCAACAACTGCGTGAAGTGCAGCTGCAATTCCGCGTATAACTGGACGTCAGTATCTATTTTCCGGCCGGATGCTTTCTGAGTTAGCGGTTCCGTTTCGTTTCAGAATCTGCAAGTTACTAAGATATGTCGTTGTGGTTCAGATTACAATGCCACCCCTTGGAGATTGCGTTGTCGAGCGATTCGTCGTGCCCGCCGATGCAGTGCTCGGATGCCCTGTCCATTGGCAACACGACCACAACGTCTTGCAACAGCACGGCGTGTTCTTATGCCGGTTACACGAGCCAGAACGCTATCCTCACGGACCTCGAAACGAAATCCACATGTCCCGGTATCCTTACTAGCATTTTTCAACCGATAAACTTTAGTCCTCCGATTCGTTTCTAGCGCTCGCTATCCTAGGATTTACGTGTCTCATAGAGGCCCCCCGAGATTGAACGTGTAATCCACATTCGATCTTCAGCCGATTGATTCTGCTGAAGAGCAATGTAGACGGTACGTCTGTAACACGGTGTCCCCTGCCGCTAATGATCGACGAACTTTGTTTCGCTTCCGTTGATTTTAGCCGATCTATTCTGCTGTTAACTACCACGAGCGTCCTGATGAAGTCCGAGTAGTTTAATGCCGAGATCACGCGCATGTGCGCACCTTTCATAGTGTCGGGCCGAATTGTGTCGAGCGTCTCTGATTTTGTTTGCTTTGCTCATCGCATTATTCGTCTCTGTACCTGGAAGCTCACCGATGTTTGTTTGCTGTTGGCCGCTGAACAGCTCCCCCGCCCAGTCCCGGTCTCAGTCCCAACGGCAACGGCAATAACCATGCGGCGAAGACAGATATAGGAATGTTCGGTTGGAACTTCCTCGTGACGGCGATGTCGATACTGCTTTCCGTGCAACGTATCTAGAGACATTCTTTGTGCACGCTCCTTATACATGTATACCGATAGAGCCTCAGTCATTCTCAGGACAGTACATCTCAGACCATATTGTTCCGCATTTGTAAGGAATAAACGATCCTTTTCGAGTTCATTCAATGCGACCGAATCCGAAATGTTTTCCCTCCAAGAGGCATCTCGCCCTTCTCGTGCTGCGTTTTTACGAGGCCGCGCCCGCTTCGTCAGCTCGCTACAGACTCTGCTAATCTATGGCAGAACGCGGCGAATGACCGGCATTGATCCTCACATAACAGGGACGCCTCGAGGCGATACTTTCCGTTAAGGATACGGCGTCGATGTACTGTATCTAACGCGAATAAATCTTGTGGAAGAGCAGCATGAACAAAACTCATTGACAACCTGAAAGAAAGCTTCTCATTCTTGCAAGTTTCAATAGATGCAGGAGCTTTCTTAATTGTTTTTCCTGAACACGAGACATGAAAGCAATTCTCAAGTAACGAATTGCGGATAAAAAAATTCACAGGTCTCATTTTCGTTACGAATCTAGTATTTGAAATTTATCGACATTTTAACCAAAATTATCGACACGTATCGATTTTCCGTTGCGCACTCCGAACACAAGATTATGTGCCAAACGCGCAATTTATCGTCCGCTTTACGTGACATGCGAGAAATTCGACGTCGAATCAGCACAGCTTCGTTAATTTCGCAATCAGCGAGTAAGGTTAAGTATAGATTTAATCTTTTAACTTTCCTTATACGTGCGATTTAGTCATCTTTAATAGTTTATTTTGTTGAGTCAAATTTTTCTAACTTTCTTGATTTTATGCAATTTGATCTTCTCAATTTTATCTTGTGCAATCATGTCCTTTTTTTTTAAACTCGGGATAATGACACAAATGGTACCTGAATTTTGATCCAATGTGCAACGTGATCCTTGAACTTTCAGTTTGTTCAACGTGATCCCTGTACTTTTGGTGCATGTTCAAACTAGTCCCTGAACTTATTGTCCTTCCATTAATTTAAGTGCAAGGATAATATTGAACATTTTTATATAGTACATGGACTAGTTTAAACATATACAAAAAATTCAGAGATCACATTAAATAAATTAAAAGTTCAGAAATTGCATTGTACATTGGGCTAAGGTTTATGGACCACATTGAAAAAATTGAAAATTTATGAAGATCACGTTACATATTTAATCAAAATTCAGGGATCGTCTATGTTAATTTCTCTTTTAACTTTTGTGCAACAAAGCCTTTTTCTTTGTTCATATGCAACAAAGCCATTTTAGTTGTGGCCACATTCTTTTCTCCTTCCTTTCCCAATAAATACAAAATAAAAATAAAAAATAAACAATATTATAATAACGATCCCAAAGCCTGCCTCCGTGGCGGTGCAGCAGTCCGTGTCCATCCATGGCGGTGCTTACGGTTACGCCGCTCCCCTCGCGCGCTCCCTCCGCCATTCCGCCACTCTAGGAAGGAGCCTTCGCCGCCGTAACTTCCTCTCCTCTCCGTCGAGATTGAGGCGGCTGCTGCCGCTTCTCCTCCTTTCTCGTGCGCGGCGTTGCCGGAGTCGTGCTGTGATTGCCTTGCTCAGCCGCGGCGAAGTTGTCTGTGTCGTGCTCGGAGCTTTTCTCCGGTTTCGCCTTTTCCGGTTTCGGTTGCGTCCTCACCGCGTTCGTTTTTCCATTTGGCTTGCAGTTGCGCGTACCTGGAAATTGTCCTTCCCGTTCTCATCGGCGATAGGGCGGCGCGATGTCTGCGGCGGCGGCGCGGCTCGCCGGCGCTTCGGTTTCTAGTGGCCTGACGGGTCGGCCGAGCGAATTGGGCGCGGCAATCAGGAGGAAGAGATTGCTCGCCCCTGTCCGCACAGGCGGTGTTTGTAGCTTTTCGGCTCTCGTCGATCGAAACAGGTTCCGCAGCTGCGGATGCCGTCTATCTGCGAATCGCGGGAGGTTGTCGCTGCTCTCGGTCCGTGGTCAGTTGAGTTCGGATTGCGGCGTAGGTTCTGTAGATGTCGATGAATGCGTGGCTACTTCGTCTGTGGGGGATGAGCTCCCTCCAAGAGATGATCCTCGCACCAAGAAAACAGAGGAAGCCACGTAAAGTCCTTAACTTCCTTGTACTTGATGTTATTAGCTGTGGCTAGAAATATGTTCTGCTGATATTTGCTGGGTGCTGCTGCGCTTGTGGTGTGCGTCTTTTGCTTAATTTCTCCTCGGTAGTGTCAAAGAAAGTCTAAACACATGGCAAAGCGTGTGGTTATCTGCTTTGACGGCCGACATACGAGTATAGACAGATGCTAATTTGTACTAGGGTATTATTGTAGTTGACTCAAAGCAAGATGAACTCTAATTTGGGTTTTGCAAGATGGTATTCTTATTCTTCGTCTTGATATATGCCAGTGAGTCCACAGCGATTCCTCGAGGTCAATCGCATATCACTGATGTGAAAAGGGAGCTCATAGCACTCTCTCTGCCTGCACTGGCCGGACAAGCTATCGAGCCCCTAGCACAGCTGATGGAAACAGCTTATATTGGTAGATTGGGTATGTAACCTTCTCTTTTATGTGAAGTTCATTAACTTCCTTGTGTGAAAAAAATACGTATTTAGCGAGGTTTTCTTGTTTTATGTTTGCTGGAAATGTTTTGGAAAATGTTCTGTCATCAGAGAACGCGTTCGGCACATTTTCTTCGACTTCGAATTTTTGCGTTCTGGTGATGATTACAATTGGATATCCACAGAAATGATAATCTTTTGTCTTATTATAGTTCTCGTCTCTTTTCCAGTCAGGGATGTGGATTTTAGTTTTTAGTTATCTAGAAAACTTGGCTTATTTTCAGTGTCAGTAGAGAAAATTGGCAGCCAGTTTAATTCTTTGTTTGAATATGGAAGCAGAGGGAAAGAAAGGGAAACAAGAATAAATATCTATACATGAATGAATAAGTCTGGATACTTCCCTCTTTGCTTCTTTTAGCACTTCCTAGCTATGAGTCTGTAAAGATGTCTTTTAACTCGATGCATCATGAGTTGGTCCTAAGGGCTTATCAAGCAAGAGATTTGGTTTTATACTTCTTCTATATATAGCTGATTTGGTAAAGCCTTCTCTTTTTTTTTACTGTCAAGATACAGACGATTGTCCCTTTCTTTGTTTGATCAAGCTTACGCCATATCAAGTTTCCGTGATCCTTATATATAACCTTTTTGAGGCAATTCTTTTCTTCTTGTGGTCCCCTTCATCTTCTAGGTACTGTGGAGTTGGGCTCAGCTGGTGTTTCCATATCAATATTTAACATCATATCAAAGCTTTTTAACATTCCTCTGCTTAGTGTTGCCACTTCTTTTGTGGCTGAGGACTTATCTAAAACTGCAAGTAAAGATTCTGCTTCAGGTGAAGTGAAATTTTGACATATGCTGCTCCTGCTAGGTTCATCATTACTACGCAACTTTTAGTTTTTTGTTGTCTAATAGGATCCGTTTGATGTACAGAGGAGGGAATTCTTGAAAGCAACAGTAATCACACCGGCAAACCATTTACAGTAGCTGAGAGGAAGCAATTATCATCTGTGTCCACGGCTCTGCTATTGGCAGTTGGGATAGGCATTTTTGAGGCCATAGCTTTATACTTTGGATCTGGACAATTTTTAAACATGATGGGTGTATCATCCGTAAGTTTTATTTATGAGATGTCTTTGTATGATAAGCCATGCAACACTCTTTGCAATGGCCCGTTAGATATCTTCTTCGAAACATCTTTTACACTTGCCTTTCCATTCTCAAGCACTGCTTGGCTATTTAACTTTTGAAGAACCTATCACCTAGTATATTTGAATTTTGAAGCAGTGCTTTTGTGCATGTGTATGGCTGCTTATTAAGAGGTTTAATATAGGTTCTTCAAATTGTTTACAGGAATCACCCATGCACAGTCCAGCACATCGTATTCTTTCTCTAAGAGCACTTGGAGCCCCTGCAGTGGTAGCGTCCTTGGCACTCCAAGGAATTTTTCGTGGGTTTAAGGACACAAAAACTCCTGTTTTATGTCTAGGCAAGTATTTGTTAAGATTTGTGTAATTATTACTTGGATACTTCAGGACAGTTGCTTTTCGTTCTTCTTGGTATATTGCACATGATTATACTCAAAATTATCACTATTACATGTTAATTCCTAGAGCTCTGGACGTCTCTCCCTCCCCACATCAAGTAAATTAACATAATAATTTTCTGTAACTCTCCAAATTATTGTTGGAGTGTGTGACTATAAGAAACTCATCATTAGAAGTTACCCCCAAAAAATGATATTAAGCTTATCATCCTGTGCCATGTTTTTCTTCTCCAGCCTAAACATACACCACGTTTTTCTGAGCTTTGGTCCTACTGTGGCCATCGATTTAATGATGGCAAAGGGACGATGCAGTACATTCCAAAAGGAGGATAATCGAGGAAGACTGCACCACCTCATGAGTGATGCCCAGTATTTTCCTAGCTTCTTGTGATTAGGCGCAAAGAAAGTGGCTTCAAAACCGGTATTAGTTCCATAAATTATTTATGGGGCCTTATTTGTTTTTTTTTTTTTTAAATATGAGAGTTTATGTGCATTTCCAGTAAAAGTGGACATCCGATAAATTCACTTTCGTGTCTTTGTTGCTGAGGAAGGTAGAAGTTAAAGGCAGACCTCAGCATTGTCATATAGAACTTAATGTAGTCATGGACATGCGAGAAGAGTCACAATGATCACTTTATCTCGTGAATTCATTACCTCTATTGATGGATAATAGTTCCTTACATGCAGGTATTGGTAATTTAGCAGCAGTTTTCTTGTTTCCCGTACTTATGTATGGCTTTCGACTGGGTGTAGTTGGGGCAGCCCTTTCTACTGTTGCATCACAGTAAGTTCCTTCCGCTGTTTTATAAACCTTACGTTTACTGAAGAGCGACACTATATGAAGATTTATGTATATGTATCAGGTACCTTGTCGCCTTACTAATGATTTGGTATCTTAATAAAAGAGTTATTTTATTGCCTCCAAAGATGGGAGCACTGCAGTTTGGGGGATATATAAAATCTGGCAAGTGTTTGGTTTCCTTCAGCACTGTTCATCTCTCTCTTTCTCTCTCCCTCTCCCCTTTTTCTCTTCTCTTTCTTTATGAAAAAAGTTGTTCCACACTAAGTTTTTTACTGGCGGTGGAGAACTTTTTGCTCCTGCTTCTCTATAAGGGGTTCCCATCTACTTGAGAGTTCACTTGCTCTTTTCCCTTATAATCATACGCATCAAGACATAGGATATTATACCATTTCCCTCAATTTTGGGATCCGACAGGTGGTTTTCTTCTTGGAAGAACTCTTGCCGTTCTTACAACCATGACTGTGGGAACATCTATGGCTGCTCGTCAAGGTCCATTAGCAATGGCTGCTCATCAGATATGCATGCAAGTTTGGTTGGCTGTCTCTCTTTTGACAGATGCATTGGCTGCATCTGCCCAGGTGAACATTATTTTCTTCCCTCGATAAGATTTGTATTTTCCTCTTTCCTTTTAAATAGTTTACTTAGCCTCTATTCTAAGAATTAACCAAAGCTCTTTATTTTTCTGGCCAAAAACAAAAGCTCTATAATTGTCGTCTGTCTAATCAATCAGTTGCTGGTTTTTATAACCACATCATATTTTCTTCAAAGAGTAGGATTGAGAAGGAGTGGACTAGCTATTCTTGGAAATAGAAATAAGGACGAAAGGTATGATGTAGCTCACTTAATTGGATACAGATAGCTGTTAATAGTTTACTTCTTGTCTTGGTTTTCACATAAATAATGGGTACAAATGTTTGTCAGTAGGTAATTTCAATTGTGGAATTATAATGCCATTGAATGCTGATGGTCTTGGAATAAAGGACTTAGCCATCATAAAAGATATGTTGCCCATAAATAATTAACAGAAACTGACATATTTTTCCGGGAGGAAAGGCGACGGCCATTGTAATTCCAGTGGGGAAAAATTGATGAAACCTTTGTTGTACCAGTTTAAGTGCAGCAAGTTATTTTTTCCCTCACCTGTGCCAATGTAAATTGGTCCAAAAAGAAACCCTTGGAGATGGTCTTCATTGAAATTAACGTAAAAGCCCAATTACATTTGTCTTATAATAAGTGATTCTCTCAGTAATAGACGCGCATTGATAACTTTTAGGCGGCCAGATTTCCTTAAATGTTTTGATCAGAGAGCTGTAAAAATAAGGGGGAACTGACTAAATCAAACAGCCATGAGAGCACTTGTGAGGGAGAAAACTGAAGGAAAACTAGCCAGAGGTAAAACAATTCGGTTCATGGCTGTTCACATTGGAATAGCAACTTCATAAAAAATAGACCAAGAATGGGATAGCTATACTGTTGAATAAAACATACCTTAGGCATAAATATTGGCTAGTGAAGTTTTATAGTTAAGGAACTATACAAGTACTTTGTAAAGATGTAATATTTTCCTTGATAATGTGCTTCTTTCCTAAAATTTCTAGTATCTGTATTTTTTATTTATGTTTCATATCACCCAACTTGCAGTCAAACTAATTATCTTTTTATTCATGTACTTCATAGGCCCTGATTGCTGGTTCATTATCTAAATCTGACTACAGAACTGTAAGAGAAGTGACAGACTTCATCTTAAAGGTGAGATTTTATAGCTTGTGTCTTCCAGAAACACCTTTATTTAGGTGGAATGTTTCAGAACTCTCTCGTAGGATTGAAGTTCACTAGATTGGCTATTGCTCTATTTTATTTCACATAAATACACTGACTTTCCGACTTTTTCAGATAGGATTATTGACGGGAATCTCCCTAGCTGCAATTCTCCTAATATCTTTCGGCTCTTTAGCAAATTTGTTTACCAATGATGCTGACGTGTTACTTATTGTTAAAACTGGGGTACTGGTATGTATGGTGGATTATCAAGATTCTGTTGACGTGAACATATTCAGGGCCTCACCTCATCTCTCTCTCTCTGTCTCTCTCTCTTTCTCTTCCTTCCTCCCCCCAACAACAAAAACACAGTTCGTTAGCGCTAGTCAACCGTTGAATGCTCTGGCTTACATTTTTGATGGCCTCCACTATGGAGTTTCTGACTTCCCATATGCAGCTTACTCCATGGTGAGTTGAGAATGTGTAAGGAAAGAACCTTGCGAGGATGATTTTTACAGGCCTGCTGGTTGCCTAACTACGGAATTTTCTCATTTATAGATGTTGGTGGGGACAATATCTTCGGCATTTTTGCTGTTTGCTCCTAGGATGATTGGTCTTCCCGGGGTTTGGTTGGGCTTTTCTCTCTTTATGGGCTTGCGTACAGCAGCAGGCTATTTCAGGTATACTTTGTCATACTTTTGTAAGTTTTTAGGATTGATAATAAACGACATGTCTAATTTTTTTACTCAAAATAGCATCAGCGTTATGACACAGGTAGTGCTTTATCTTTGCTCTCTGTGGTCTTCACCGTTTGAAAGGGTGTGATAGGCATTGCTATAATGATAGGCCCTGGCATCATATATTAATAATTCTTTGATTTCATGCATCCAGTTCGGTCTCTCTTATATACACGATGCATTATTGTTGCTACATGTAAACTGGCAATGCTTATTGCATGATACTTGAAGGAAAAATAATTTTTGCAGCATTTCTCTCATATAGCAGTTGTCTAAGGACATGATTTCCACCAATTTTCAGATTATCAGCAAAGACTGGTCCATGGTGGTTCATGCACAGAGAGATGCAGAAATTCGAAGTGAATAAAGTATACTCTGGTTTTTCACACAGGTTGCGTTAGTTTACTCATACAAGCTCATGATGCGATTACTAGTGGATAATTGCTTGTTTATCTCAAGATCTGTTAATAGTTTTCCCCTAAAACAGCTTCCTACATGGGAAAGAATGATTCAGAAAAAAAAGCATTCCCATGTTTAATGGCAACCAGCCTTCCCTTAATTTACTTTCTAGTATTTTGTTGCCATCTTTGTCCTTTCTTATTTTACCGCGGCAATCAACTTGTAACTTTTTTAACCATTTTCTTTGTCACCAAAAATCTTGATAATGGTGGAATTAGATTTTTCCACTTTGTTGGAAAAGGCTAACTAGTTCTGTCTTGCCGATGGAATTTTATTTCACTGGAAGTGGAATGGATATTATCAAGCGATTTAAAAGGCTATGTTTGAAACTTTTAGGTGTAGCAAATCTTACAAGACAGTTAAGGTAATAGCCTAAATTGTGCTGATTCTAGAGAAATATACAGCAATTTTTGCTGTACAAATATATCAACTAAGTTGTGAAGAAGTCTTGAGATGAGCTTTAGTGGTTGTTCATTGGTTTTAAGATTGAATGAGTACTTGAGTTGTTATGAGATCGAATGGTTTGTTGTATTCAAATTACTCCAAAATGGGGAATGCTTAATTTTGAAGCTCTCTCCAGCCTCATAGTCATCCAGTTTTTGCACAGTTTTCCTTTCTACTTTCTTGAAAAGAAATGGAAGGGAATAAGCGTTGTGTGATTCTTTGCTAATGGTTATTGAAGTGGGGGATAGCTTGGGCAGGCCCTCCTCCTTTTCAGGAAAAAGATTGTCATAACTTGACTATCCCCATCATGGATGGACGGCCTTTTTATTTAATATCAAAGCTATCGAAAGTCCATCCAATCTTCCTCAATGTCTTACATGGTTATTCCAATACACTTAGTTTACTCACATGTGTGTGTGTGTGAGAGAGAGAGAGAGAGAGAGAGAGAGAGAGAGAGAGAGAGCTAAGTTCTATCGGAAACCTTAATGTGCACGCCCTCTCCAAATCCTACCATCGGATTGTAAACCACTTGTCCTCTTACTTTGGTCCACCTATGAAGAATTGAGAGCAAGTGACTGAGAATGAGATCACGTCGTCTCTACCAGAAACCAAGGCAAGAGACTATCGTCCCAGAAGGAAAGAGCGATGCAAGTGCGCGCAGCTGTATTTAGTGACCAAGACGTGCATGAACACCGCCAGGACTGCCTTAGCATACTCAGCTCCCGCACACTGTCTCGTCCCTCCGCCGAAAGGCCTGAAGGTCTTTGAAATCTCGGACGAGTCAAGCTCCTGGTACCCGGGAAATTCACAAGACACGCACTCTGTCAAGGGCTCGGCTCAATGCATAACATCATCGAAAAAGAGTCAGACGCAGTTTTGTAGCTAGCGAATTTCACTGATTCCCCCCTATTGCAAGGTTTCGCCCACCACAAGGCCGTCACCTTCCAATGCCACGGATTGAAAATGAGTGGATCCTCATAAGTATCAGCGTCGAAATGAGGAGCGCTGTGCACAAGCAGTATCACCCAACCTGCTGGGATTGTAAATCCTGGAAAGGAAATCTGAGTTGATCTTCCAGTCTATGGTTGACGATAATCGATATTCAATGGGTGTATGGGGAGCGTGCCTCGTGTTTTAACATAGTACCATTCATTTGGATGTCCTTTAAGACTCGCCTTAGCAGCCCGAAGGCGATGTTCCCCAATCTAAGCGCTTCATTTATGACCTCCAATTTCACAGATATCAACTAGCTTTCAGTAACGACTGGATTGCTTCTTCCAGGGGAAAGAGACAAGATGAAGATGAAAAAAAAAAAAGAATTGCATCTGATATTGACTTGATGTGTAAATTTCATCGATCTGTATTCGTCCCAATTGAGAGTGTGCCTCGCATCTTCTCTTCTCTCCAATATTGCCCCGTGTTCAGCCTAATGTCCAAGCAAAAAGATCAGAACATTGCCATTCGTATTGCTCTCATTTATGTACTGGGAGCTGACAAGGAGAATTTTTCATTTGTCGCTGTCGCCGATGCGAGTTAATATTCGTATTTTAGAGATCCAAAGCTCACAATTTTGTCTACTGACATACCAGTGACTCATCCAGGACTGAAGGATGGGCTGATATAAAGTCGACAATCAAAGTGATTCCTGTCGATATCGTATCGAAGCTGGCATAGAAAACTGCGAACATGAGGTTGACTACTAATTCCTCGGTCAAGAACTGCTCGATCTGCGTATCAGCGATAGCATGATCAAGAAGATCTCCTGGACCATCAGAAGTTCCTGTTGAATTACGCCTCTCCTTTATCATGTTCCTGAACGAGTCTTTCAGTTTCTTCTGTTCCTGAGCATCAACAGAGTGTAAGACCATCATACAGCCAATGGATGTCTCAAATAGAAGGCCTTTGCTCTTTGTACCTTCACGAAATTATGGTACTCAGTACCCGGTATGTTCAGGGGAAATGAGAATGCACTTGGTTTAGACTTGGTTAATTTCTCGCTGATTTTCTCTAGTGATTTGGCAAAATTGTGGCCAAACATGAACTTTGTATTCAACTTGAAAATCATCTGCAATATTCAAGTACTTTGGTTATCAACTGAGGTACATGTATAGATTTGTGTTATGTGTAAGGAAAGTTTGAAGCATTATCTGAGTTTACCGATGCAGAAGAGTACTGGAGTTCTACAGACTCCTGGTTTGACCAAATGCTGAGTGTTCTGCCAACCATCTCTTCTATCTGAGTAAGGAGGCGTTGCTTTAGGCTCTCGGTACCAAAATGGCTCAGTGTAATGCCTCTCCCGTACTTGTGAACCGCTCCAAGAGCATTTACCCTTGCCTCGCCATCAAGCGTGAACAGCTTGGAGAATGTGTCCATGTACCAAAGCTCAACCAGTGTTCCTTCTTGATGAATGATATAATTGTTGAATTGAGGATCAGTGGACATGACAACATGTCGCCCTGCCAAGTTTGTCCGAAAAATGGGCCCATATCTGCAATGACAAGTTCGGTTAGAAGCATTCTCCAAATGGTAAACACATGGTACAGGTAATCCGGTTAGGATATGTTACTTCCGAACTCTTTCTTTGATGAATGGATGAAGGCCGGACAAGTAACTGGGCTGAATCAACTGAAGGGTCTCTCCAATCAAAGGCAAGCCCTTGCAGCCTGGAGGTGGAGTACCCTGGTTTGTGGTTGTCGCAGCAGTGCTTATGCATCTTCTGATCAATCTTGGGTAACATGTAATAACCAAAGCTACGATGCACAAAACATAAATCCACATCCTTATAGCTTTTATTTTTCCCCAAGGAAGTTGGCTTGGAAGTTGGCTAGAACTAGCAAAGAGTTTCAGATATCAACAGCTTATTAGCAACCATTTATAGAAGGTTGGTATGGATCCAGATCCGGTCAGAATGGTACGATATTTAGGTTAGGCAATTTTTCCCCCTATCTGGAGGGGTTAATGCTGAGGTGTTCAACACCAATTGGGAAAAGGGCTAATCCCAAAAAAACTAGTCCAAGGAATTGACAACATGGAGGATCGCACTCGAGACCTCTCGCTTCTTGAGGTGGAAGACTCGAGATGCGCAACCAATTACCTCAACGCACTTGGCCTTTTAGGTTAGGCAAGCTACTTATCGGACACAAGCTGAAAGAATTTCTGTGTAGGGTTAATAACGTAAGTAGCTATCGAAAATGGTTGTATATGTACTTGGTACCCATCTAGAATGGATTTGAAGTAGATTTTCTTTTTTTTGGTCAAAGATTTGAAGTAGATTAAAAGGCATATTGTTCAACCCAGACTTAAACCATCTCTTCCAAGGAAGGAGAAACAATTATTCTGGTACAGGCCCTAAGCAGAGGTGCTACCACCCATTGCCATTTTCATTAGGTCAAACTGCAACAAGAGATGGTGGAGCTTACAAGTCGGCAATGTATATGCATGAGCAACCCCATGCTCATCTGTAGCCTTTTCGCTGAAAATCCAAAGTCGTCGAGTACTTATTGCGGACGAGTAATTGCCTTTAGTCAACACGTGAAGTGCTGCTCTAAATCCAAATTGGCTCCGAAATACTTTTACAATTTGGTGCAGGGCAATTTCTTAGCAGAAATAGAAAGCTCAAAGAACTTTAATGCAAGAAATCATGGTTTGGACTTTGGAGTTCCAGAACCAAAGGAAATAGGAAGATACATCTTCTTGATGCAAGAAATCATGGTCACATTTTTTATGGCCTCCACTATGGTGTTTCTGACTTCCCATATGCAGCTTGCTCGATGGTGAGTTGAGAATGTGTAAGGAAAGAACCTTGCGAGGATGATTTTTACAGGCCTGCTGGTTGCCTAACAATGGAATTTTCTCCTATATAGATGTTGGTGGGGATAATATCTTCAGCATTTTTGCTGTTTGCTCCTAGGATGATTGGTCTTCCTGGGGTTTGGTTGGGCTTGCCTCTCTTTCTGGGCTTGTGTACAGCAGCAGGCTATTTCAGGTATACCGTGTCATACTTTTGCAAGTTTTTAGGTTTGATCATGTGCGACGTGTCTGATTTTTTTTTTTTACTTAAAATAGCATCAGCATTATGACACATGTATACTGGGAATGATTATTGCATGATACTTGAACGAAAAATAATTTCCGCAGCATTTCTCTCATATAGCAGCTGCCTAAGGACATGATTTCCACCAATTTTCAGATTATCAGCAAAGACTGGTGCATGGTGGTTCATGCACAGAGAGATGCAGAAATTCGAAGTGAGTATAGTATGATCTGGTTTTTCACACAGGTCGCATTAGTTTATCGATACAAGCTCATGACGCGATTACTAGTGGATAATTGCTTGTTTATCTTAAGGTCTGTTCATAGTTTTCCCCTAAAACAGCTTCCTACATGGTAAAGAATAATTAAGAAAAAAAAGTATTCCCATGTTTGGTGGCAACCACCAGCCTACTGGTTCCCCCAATTTACTTTCTAGTATTTTGTTGCCATCTTTGTCCACTTTTCTATTTTACCGCGGCAATCAACTTGTAACTTTTTTGCTATTTTCTTTGTTACCAAAAATCTTGACAATGATGGAATTAGATTTTTCCACTTTGTCGGAAAAGGCTAACTAGTTCTGTCTCGTCAGGAATTTTTATTTCACTGGAAGTGGAATGGATATTATCGAGCGATTTAAAAGGCTATGTTTGAAACTTTAGGTGTAGCAAAAACTTACGAGACAGTTAAGGTAATAGCCTAAATGGTACTGATTCTCGAGAAATATACAGCAGTTTCTGCTGTACAGATACATCAAGCTAAGTTGTGAAGAAGTCTTGAGATGAGCTTTAGTGGTTGTTCATTGGTTTTAAGATTGAATGAGTGCTTGAGTTGTTATGAGATTGAATGGTTCGTGTATTCAAATTACTCCAAGATAGGGAATGCTTAATTTTCTCGAAGCTCTCTCCAGCCTCATAGTCAACCAGTTTTCGTACAGTTTTACGATTTCGGTCCTCTTGCTAAATGATGTTAACCTTTTCTATTAACTGTTTACGATGAACATTATCAGGTACTTGTAGATGATTATGATTCCGGTGTTTTCTTTGAGGGGGAGTTTATTCGCCCGATTGCCCATGGAAAGTAATCTAGTTATGCCTAATGTCTTTCTAAAGCAATTTCTTCTAACAAATGCTTGTTCTCCAGCTGGCTAGTTGAGACGGGGATATTCTTCGGTTACGAGGTGCTTCGTGCTATTGATATTCTGCTCCAGGATCAGGCTTCATGCTATTGACATTCCGATCCAGCATATATGTTACAAAGTATAGCTTTCCTATTTTGGCGCAAAGGCGTACTCCTGTGCCTGTGCCAACTTTTGAGTCTCCATTAGGGACGATAGATGAAATCGAGAAACTACTTCTTCATTACCTTGTTCTGTTTCTCTGCCATTTCTTGTTTATTCAGAAATGTTTGCTATAAATCTCTCTTCATTTTTCGGTTGGGGGGGGGGGGGGGGGGGTTAAATATTTGTGAATAGCATGATCACTAATCAATCTAGCTGGAATTCCTATAAGCAAGGTTGTATCCCTAAAGCGGGAAGTGGGATTCGGAGATTGATGCCTCAGACATTCGAAGACGATGTCTTACGGCAAAGGTCGAAATGGGCAAGCTAAGGACTTTTTACAGATAGATTCTGCAACTTCAGAATATCACAAGGGATCGATCTTCCGGCACCTTCAGTTGTATCACTAGTGACGCAATCCACGGATCAAGATCAACTCCCCTCTCGATCCATCACTAGACTGGAGATGATCTGTTGAAAGCGATATGAGGCCTTTCAAGGAAAAAGATTGTCATAACTTCGAAAGTACATCCGATCTTCCTCCATGTCTTACACAGTTATTCCAATACACTTATTTTCACTCACGTGTGTGTGTGAGAGAGAGAGAGCTAAGTTCTATCGAAGACCTTAATGTGCACGCCCTCTCCAAATCCTGCCATCGGATTGTAAACCACATGTCCCCTTAGTTTGGTCCACCTATGAAGTATTAAGAGCAAGTGATTGAGAATGAGATCACGTCGTTTCTACCAAAAAACCCAAGGCAAGAGACTATCGTCCCAGAAGAAAAGAGCGATGCAAGTGCGCACCTGTATTTAGTGACCAAGATGTGTATGAACACCTCCAGGACCACCTTAGTATACTTGGCTCCCGCACTTTGTCTCGTCCCTCCGCCGAAAGGCCTGAAGTTCTTTGAAATCTCGAACGAGTCGAGCTCCTGCTTCCCGGGAAATTCACAAGACATACACTGTCAAGGAGTGGTTTCGGCTCAATGTGTAACATCATCGAAAAGAGTTGAAAGCAGTCTTGTAGCTAGCGAATTTCAGTAAATTCACCCTATTGCAAGGTTTCGCACGAAATAAGTCCCTCACCTTCCAATGCCACAGATTGAAAATGAGTGGATCCTTGTAAGTATCAGCGTCGAAATGAGGAGCGCCGTGCACAAGCAGTATCGCCCAACCTGCTGGGATTGTAAATCCTGGAAAGGAAACCTGAGTTAATCTTCCATTCTATGGTAGTCGATAATCGATATTCAATGGGTGAATGAAGTTGTCCTCAGTCCAACATAGTTACCATCCATTTGGATGTCCTTTAAGACTCGCCTTAGCAGCCCGACAGAGATGTTCCCCAATCTAAGCGCTTCCTTTATGACTTGCAATTTCACAGATATCAACTAGCTTTCAGTAACGACTCGATTGCTTTTTCCAGGGGAAAGAAACAAGATGAAGATGAAAAAAAATTTCATCTGATATTGACTTCATGTGTAAATTTCATCGATCTGTATTCGTCCCAATTGAGAGTGTGCCTCGTGCTTTCTCTTCTCTCCAGTATTGCCCTGTGTTCAGCCTAATGTCCAAGCAAAAAGGTCAGCACATTGCCATTCGTATTGCTCTTATTTATGTACTTAGATCAGACAAGGAGAATTTTTCATTCGTCACTGATGCGAGTTAATATTCGTATTTTAGAGATCCAAAGCTCACAATTTTGTCTTCCTACATACCTGTAACTCATCCAGGACTGAAGGATGGGCTGATATAAAGTTGACAATCAAAGTGATTCCTGTCGATACCCCATGGAAGCTGCCATAAAGACGTGCAAACATGAGGTTGACTACTAATTACTCGGTCAAGAACTGCTCGGTCTGCATATCAGCGATAGCATGATCAAGAAAATCTCCTGGACCGTCAGAAGCTCCAGTTGAATTGTGCGTCTCCTTTATCATGTTCCTGAACAAGTCTTTCATTTTCTTCTGTGCCTGAGCATCAACAGAGTGTGAAGACCATTATACAGCCAAAGGATGTCTCAAATAGCAGGTCTTTGCTCTTTGTACCTTCAGGAAATTATGGTACTCAGTACCTGGTATGCTCAGGGGAAATGAGTATATGCTCAGTTTACACTTGATTAATTTCTCCCCGATTTTCTCTAGCGATTTGGCAAAATTGTAGCCAAACATGAACTTTGTATTCAACTTGAAAATCATCTGCAATATTCAAGTACTTCCGTTATCAACTGAGGTACATGTATAGATTTGTGTTACTTCTAAGGAGAGTTTGAAGCATTCTCTGAGTTTACCGATGCAGAAGAGTTCCAGACTTCTATGGACTCCCGGTTTGACCAAATGCTACTATCTCTTCTGTCTGAGTAAGCAGGCTTTGCTTTAGACTCTCGGTACCAAAATGGCTCAGTGTAATGCCTCTCCCGTACTTGTGATCCACTCCAAGAGCATTTACCCTTGCCTCGACATCAAGCGCCAAAAGCTTGGAGAATGCGTCCATGTACCAAAGCTCAACCAGTGTTCCTTCTTGATGAATGATATAATTGTTGAATCAAGGATCAGTGGACACGGCAACTTGTCTCCCCGCCAAGTTTGTCCGAAAAATGGGTCCGTATCTGCAAAGACTGAGTTCGGTTAGGAGCATTCTCCAAATGGTAAACACATGGTACAGGTAATCCGGTTAGGATATGTTACTTTCGAACTCTGTCTTTGATGAATGGATGAAGACCGAACGAGTAACTGGGCCGAATCAACTGAAGGGTCCCTCCAATCAGAGGCAAGCCCTTGCAGCCTGGAGGTGGAGTACCCTGGTTTGTGGTTGTCGCAGCAGTGCTTATGCATCTTCTGATCAATCTTGGGTAACATATAATAACCAAAGCTACAGTGCACAAAACATAAATCCACATCCTTATAGCTTTTATTTTTCCCCAGGGAAGTTGGCTCGGAAGTTAGCTAGAACTAGCAAAGAGTTGCAGATATTAACAGCTTATTAGCAACCATTTATAGAAGGTCGATACGGATCCAGATCCGGTCAGAATGGTCTGATATTTAGGTTTGGCAATTTTTCCCCCTATCCAAAGGGGTTAAGGCCGAGGTGTTCAACACCAATTGGGAACAGACTAATCCCAACAGATCTAGTCCAAGGAATTGACAACGTGGAGGATTGCACTTGAGACGTCTCGCTTCTTGAGGTGGAAGACTCAAGATGCGCAACCAATTGCCTCGACGCACTTGGCCTTTTAAGTTAGGCAAGCTACATATCGGACACAAGCCGAAAGAATTTCTGTGTAGGGTTAATGACGTAAGTAGCTATCGAAAATGGTAGTATATGTGCTTGGTACCCATCTAGAATGGATTTGAAGTATATTTTCCTTTTTTTGGTCAAAGATTTGAAGTAGATTAAAAGGCATATTGTTCAACCCAGACTTGAACCGTCTCTCCAAGGAAGGAGAAACAATTATTCTGGTACCCACCCTAAGCAGGGGTGCTTCCACCCATTGACATTTTCATTAGGTCAAAACTGCAACAAGAGATGGTGGAGCTTACAAGTCAGCAATGTATATGCACGAGCAGCCCCACGCTCATCAGTAGCCTTTTCGCTGAAAATCCAAAGTCAGTCGAGTACTTAATGCCGACGAGTAATTGCCCAAAGTCAACGCATAAAGTGCTACCCAAAATCCAAATTGGCTCCGGAATACTTTCACATTTTGGTGCAGGGCAATTTCTTAGCAGAAATAGAAAGCTCAAAGAACTTTAAATGCAAGAAATCACGGTTTCGAGTTCCAGAACCGAAGGAAATAAGAAGATGCATCTTCTGTAGTCCGAAAACAACGCCGATATTATCAAGTCCCCGAAAAAAAATCTGAAGCGGTAGTGTTCGCATGAGGAAGTTATAGCTGCTCAGACTCGAAGAAATGCCCTTACTATGTCACGTTCAACTCAAGTTCATAAAGGACGGACCATATTTTCCTATTTGGCCACACAAAGCCAGCACGCTCCACTACTTACTCGATTTACAGCCCCCAACCCAAGAACTTCTTGGCTGGGAAAGATAAGTTTATAGAATTCGTCTTATCCTACTATTCCCCCAACAAAAATACATCTACATCAAGTGGATCATGAGCAGAGGACTAAATCAATTCTGTTAGTAGCATGTGCTTATTCGATAGTTCATTCAGAAGCAGGAATGTACAATGTCAGGATGAGAGCATATTTTATTCAAATTCCTCCTTAGAGAAAAGGGAATATGCTAAGTTCCATCAAAGAGATAACTTGCGACTACGTAAAATGGAGTGTCCGCACAAAACTCTTCATTTATAGATACTAATCACACTATATTTGAATTACGCAGTGTTAGCCCCAAAAAAATTGACATTGGAGCAATTTCAAGAACAAAAACATACAAGAATGGCACAAGGACTATGGTCGGAACTATTAATCAGCCGTCACAGCGAGGTACTAACAGTTAATCCAGCTTAGCAATGACGGCATCCACAACCTCCTGGGTTGTGCTGTCTCCCCCGAGATCTTTTGTCCGGACTTTACCCTCTGAGATTACTCGCTTTACTGCGGTCTCAAGTCGATCGGCAAAGGATGGAAATTGCAAGTGCCGCAACATCATAGCAGATGAGAGAAGCAAGGCCACTGGATTTGTCTTCTTCTGCTCCACTATCTTTTCATTTCCAACATTTCCTGCTGAAGCACCTTGTTCAAAAACAGCCGTATCTGCCCCCACATTGCCTGGACCATTAAAATGTTAACAATGGATGAGACATCCGGAGCAATTGCATGACAAGGCAATTTCAGGGAAATCCCGTAAATCAACTTAATCCCATTAGAGTCTAATTCCACGTATCACCCCCCAAAAAAAGGAAAATTTTCAAGCAAAGAAAGGGCTAAGTAATGATACCTCCGGGCATAACACCTGTTCCTCCAGCAATACCAGCTGCCGTATTGGCTACTAAATTGCCATAAAGATTTGGAGTCACCTATTTATTAAGAAAGAGGAAAACTTACATTATTTAGACAGAACATGAAAGAAATAAGGTACAATATCAGAGCAACACTAGAAAAACATAGTGATTAAAACTCTTAAACAGCTTCCTGAAGACTAAAGTATATAAACCCAAACAGGAAGAGAAGTGAAGAACCACAACTGAAACATACCATCACGTCAAATTGCTCAGGCTTTGAAACAAGTTGCATGCAGCAATTATCAACTATGATCTCGTTGTACTTGATGCTGGGATATTTTGTTGCAACCTCCCGACAAGATTCTAAAAATAAGCCGTCAGCAAGTTTCATGATGTTGGCTTTGTGGACAGCCGTCACCTTCTTTCTGTTGTTTAAGTATGCATATTCAAATGCATATTTTGCAATGCGTTCTGAACAGAACTTTGTAATCACCTAGCAAATAGTTTAATGAGCAACAGAGGCCACAAAATTCCTCAACTCAACACACACACACGGACGCACATGCACACACACAAACAGATGGCGGAGGAACAATCTGACTCATAAACATATAGTATTTAATAGGAGCTATGATAACAGATTGCATATCAAGTAATTGGCACTTACAATCGAGAGAGCTGAGCTTGGTGACAAAAAACACAACGGCGACATATGTAGAAGCAGACCAATCACTAAAGCTTTGAAGTTCTATTTGTCTAGGAAAAATCCCATCATCAACGCATTAACTGTCAGTGGTTGCAATCCTTCTCATTATTAAAGAACATCATCGAGGCAAGTTATGAGTAATCATCGGTTCAGGAAAGGCCTTATCCTAGCAAAATGATGCGAGTCTCGTCCCTTAAAAATTAATCTCTGAACTCCAGCCGGTCCAGACCTGATGGCTAACACTGCCATGCCATCAGTCGACCGGGTCAGCCTGCTAGGTGGGCACCTCAACCAGTACCCGCTCATGACACATAGGGAGCACACAATTCCGAAACCTCAACTTACAAACCCCACAATTTCTGCAGTACACTTCTCAATTCTCAGTCAGCATTTTTCACGAGCACTTTGAGGATTTGGCAAAATTTTCTGCCAAGTTTCACATGTAAATCCATCAACATAGAAACATGTCTCCGTAAAAAATCGTCACTTGAACGTCACTCGCCAGAGCATATCATAACGGACTCTAACGACAGAACCCAAGCGAACTCTTAAATCGACTAGTCCGTGGGCTAAACAAGCAAGAACAACAGTTGTTCACACAAGCCGGAAACAAAGAGCAACTTCGCCCGTACCTTCAGGCTCTCCACGACTCCGGGAACAACCTCGTGCTCGAGCCCAGAGTACTCGCCCTCCGTGTTCTCCCTGATCACCACGATGTCCACCCCCTCGTGCCGAGTGGGCAGCCCCGGCAAGTTGAAGCAATTCACGAGCGAAGCGTACAAATCGAGCTCCTTCCTCAGCTGCACGTTCAGCGAGCTGACCCCGCCCCCGACTGGGGTCCTCAGCCCGCCCTTCAGGCACACCTTGTTCTTGCGCACCGACTCGATCACCTCCTCCGGCACGCGCTTCATGTCGCCGTGGACCTCGTAGGCCTCGAAGTAGACGGGCGCGTGCATCGCCGACATGACCTGCTCGACGGCGCTGGTGACCAGGGGGCCGATCCCGTCGCCGGGGATCAGGGTCACGGCGCGCGGGGCGCCGTCGCCGGGGCGGGGCATGTAGGTGACGGCCCGGGCGGGCTGGAAGGGCGGGAGCAGGAGGGCGGCGCCGGCGGCGGCGCCGGCGGGGGAGCCGGAGAGGCGTCGGAGGGCGGGGAGGGTCAGGGCTCGACGAGCCATGACGGAGTTGATCGGCGGCGGTTGAGTCGAGCGCGGTTGGGTACGGCGTTTGAGCAAGAACTTGAATAGCAGAGAGAGAGAGAGAGAGAGAGACAGAGAAGGGAGGGCGCGGAAATAACACGCGCGCGTGCGCGCGCGGGAAAGAGAGAGAGAAAGCACGTTCAATAAAATAACGTTTCTTCTGGAAAACACGCGCGCGCGTGGGAAAGAGAGAGAAAGCACGCTCAGTGAAATAATATTTCTTCTGAAAATGTCTTTTTTTTTTTCATCAAAACGATAGGAAAAAAATGGTACAAATGATTTCTGAATTTTGTGCAATATAATTTTTAAATTTTTAATTTATTCAATGCGATTCTTAACTTTAACCCAACGTGCAATGTAGTCCATTAATTTTGATATTTGTTCAATCTAGTCTCAAGATGTTGTCCCTAAACTTAAATGGATAAATGAATGATATTGAATGTTTTCATATAATCTAGGGGATAATTTGAACGTGTACAAAAAGTATGGGAATCATGTTAGACAAATTAAAAATTCAAAGATCACGTTGCATATTAAATCAAATATTGAAAAAATTAAAAATTCATAAATCACGTTACATATCGGATCAAAATATAAGGACTATTTGTGTCATTATTGCAAACGATTTTGTTATGGAGTATTTTATGATAATTTATTTTGTTAATAAAAAATTTTAGATTTTGTCTTTAAACGCGCTGAATTTGGAATATCATCATGGGTATACGACACCAACAACGGAGAAGATGGTATGGACGATGAACGTGTCGTGTCGCGAATGGTCGCCCACCCGCGATTCCGCCTGTTAAATGTGCTGGGGATGGTGGGATGATGGGATGAGAGCTCCGAGGAGTGTCGATGCCATGGAAATGGAGGCGGCGTCGGGGCTGAGGAACCGGTACTGGGTCTTGCGGCACGGCAAGAGCGTCTCAAACGAGAGGGGCCTCGTCGTTTCCTCGCTGGTTCGTCTCTCTCTCTCTCTCTCGCTCTCGCTCTCGCTCCCTCGCTTTCTGATTCTGGGGGCGAGAATTACAGACGATTCTTGACAGAACCCAGTACTAGGTTCCGGTTTCTCTGTGACGCACGATGGCCTCTGCTGGCAATGGATTTGGAAATAAGAGATGCTTGATTTTGGCCTCTGGGTTCGCATTGTTTGGCTAGCTTCCGACGTTGATTATGCTGTGCTTGTGACTGTTGTTGGGTCTCTGAATTGATTTTGGGTTCGTGGCTGATCCGGGATCTTGGGGGTGATATCCTTCTAGGAAAACGGCACGCTTCCGGAGTATGCACTGGCCTCGGACGGTGTCGATCAGGCGCGAATGGCCGGCGAGCTGTTTCTCCAGGTTAGGGTGTTTCCCCCGAGAACTATGCTTTCGTTGTTATTCATCATTCAATGTGCCGCCTCGTGCTCGAATTCTTGAGGTTCTAGCTGCTGAATGGGGCTCCAAGTCCAATTCAATGGGTTTCCGCCTCGCGGTTAGAAGCCTGAGTCTTTGATAAGGGAATCCAATTTGACTTGGAGAGATTTGTTGTGGTAGCTTCAAGAGGTCGGTTTAGATTTATGGCGTAAAACCAGCATGCTTATCGACTGTATCAGAGTCGGAGACTTTTCTGTTTTCATGCGAGGAAGAAGGGTGAAATTAACTCTAAATTTCAAAAAGAAGCTTTTTTCGAAGATGATAATATTGACCACGCTAGAGGATTGTTCAGGACTTTACCGGCAATGAAAGATACTCCCGATAATGGTGGAGTAAATATTTAGATGAGGAATTTGCTGTCTTGCAATCTCCAGTGCCGGTTCACAGCGCTTTAGCGAATTGACGGCTTTGTTTGTGCAGGCACTGAAAGAAAACAACATACCGCTAGAGAATGTCCGTATTTGTTACTCACCATTTGCGAGAACCAGCCACACCGCCAGAGTTGTTGCGTCGGTTCTGAATATTCCATTTGAGGGTCCTCAATGCAAGGTAAGCTATTTTCCATTCAAGAACATGTTCAATGTGAGCTTGGCATAGAGAAGTATTACGTGTGATAGCCATTAATAGATGCAAGTGGACTAATTCACAAAACTTCTCCAGTCTAGCATAATTAGTGAACTTGTTGAGGGCGTTTTAGGCCCATTTGATCCACTTTGCTTCTATGAGATTAATGTAATTCGACCACATTTGGTATTCCGATCTTCGATAGTGTATGTTCTCCTTACTTGTGAATTATCAAGTCAGAATGTCAGAGCTGATGCTTCGTTTTCGCTACTCACATGCATTAAGCAACAACTCAATGTGGATAGGTGGTGGTGGATCTTCGGGAACGTTATTTCGGTCCTTCATTTGAGCTCAAGTCACATGATAAAGTGAGCAAGTTTCAGTTACTTCATATTCTCGGTATACTGCTTTTGTGCTGTCTCAATTGGCTGATTAGTGTTTCTCCTTCCTGTGCACAATCAGTACACTGAAATATGGGCGCTCGATGAGAAAGATCCATTTCAGAGGCCAGAAGGCGGAGAATGTGTCGATGATGTCGCTTCCAGACTTGCAAAAGCTATGGTTAATATTGAGACGAAATTTCAAGGGTAATCGCATTTTAATATCATTCGTCTGTTCAATTAGGAAGAGGAAGAAATAACAGTGCGCCAACGGTATCTGTCTGGGTACACATGGGCAAAACATCCGCTTTCTTTGCACCATGGTCTGCTAGGTCTCCGCCGATGAAATATCTTTGCATTAGTCGTTAACTGTTCCTCTCTTTGACAGATGCGCTGTATTGATCGTTAGCCATGGCGATCCACTGCAGATTTTGCAGACAATAGTTTGTGCAGCTAAACAAGAAATTCCAAACAATAACGAGTTTTCATCAAGCATACAAGCAACCAGAACCTTTGCGGTCTTGTCACAACACCGAAAGTTTGCCTTGCTTACCGGAGAACTCAGGGCACTCGCATAGTTTTGGGCCTTTTGCCTAAGTTTATCTGCCTGTCGATTCAGCCAACTTGCATCTCTGGACTAGATTCTGATAAATTCATTGACATTTTTCATTGACAGTGTCAAGAATAATTATGAATACATTTTTGCTATATTACAAGCTACATACCATAGAACCTGTTTGTTATCCACGTAGAGGTAACTAGAGCCTTGCCAAAAGGTTTTGAAGCGAAGGCATAGTTGAGAACAGACAAGCCATTTTACTCTGTCAACGCCATATCTATCTCGACATTATGTTTAACGTGCATGTTCTGAAGTCGTCTAAAAAGGGTGCAGTAAGCTTCGTACCAGCTCTTTAGCTTCGAATTCGTGCAGTCATACCGTCAGAGAAGATAATCTGCATCCACTTTTCCTTTCAAATTATAGTTACATTCTCCAGAAAGTTTCTCACTAGAGGATGTCCTATATCGCCATGTTAATCTTATGCAAAGTTCAGACACAAATTTCATTCACAACTATGGCCATCTGAATCAATCCACAGGACTCACTTACACAATTGACAATTTGAGTAATTAAGTCAAGCATCTAAATCCAGCAGCAGAGAGGAATCTGTATTACATAACCACAGTATTTTTCTGTTTAACATGAAAGCATTTTCTTTTTTGGCCGGTAACCCTGGAAGCATTCAAAAACAAAGAAAATAATTCACAATTGACACAGAGATCCCTCATCCTTGGCGCCAATAATGACATGAGCCACAGGGACTTAAAAAAACCATCGCCTATGGCACATAACCACAGTCAGTGACCAACATGCAGATTGCTTCCTCATTAATATAAGCATCTGGGAAGAGAGTGTACATATGTTGACCAAAACTTGCAAGGCTTTTTTCGTGGCGTGCAGAATGAAATGGCCGACCTAGACGACATTGACCCAAGATAATAAGCCATTCTTGGAGGGTATGCAGATTCAACCTATCAGAAGCAATCTCAGGAAATAACTTCAAATTGATGCACTTCTTCCTGGCAAACTAGTCCTTGGTAATCCACCGCCGGCCCCTGACCTGGTACCCAGCATAACTTTGATCGCTGCTGCTTTCACCTCCACTTTCTCCACTTGTATATCCTGATTTCCGGCGATGCTTCTTTGCTCTTGAACCACCACTGTCACTAAAGCTGCCATTCAACAGGGGGTCATCTATTCCACGTATCACTCTCCGCGTGGATGATGACGAACCAATGCAGCTGTCATCCTTTGTTCTTCTCTTATCTTTGTCGTGTCTCTTTATATTTTGAGAGATCTTGTGCAACTTCTCATTAAATCTTGTAATCCCCTTCTCCACAGGTTCTACTGCCTGGGTCACTGTGAACTTCACATCATTCACGATCTGTTCAAGAGTGAAATAGCAAGTTGTAAGATGAGAGGCAATATGAAATATTTTCACAAAATTATAACTGCAAGAGCTTAAAACTATATACGAGGCATTTTTCCATATCCCTCAGTTCACATGAACAATAAGCTTTCCTCTTGTCCCCTGAACGTCATATATCATTTTCTTCCTCCAAACAGGTCCTACAAGCTTACATTGGAAGAAGAAAATACACTAACATCACCCTGTTGCAAAAATAATCTCCGATCATTCTTTGTCCTCCAAGTGAGAAGAGAAGGATTCTAGCATGTTTCCAGAAGTGACTCTGAAAGTGACTTCATGGGGAAAGAGTTTGTTGTCATTCTTTCATGTATGCAACAAAGACACCACACAATCAGTACAACTTCTGGTCAATACACACATCAAATTGACTGTAATATCACAACTTTGTAATTGAAGATAAAAGCGTCATGACCATAACAATCACATTGCAGAGGCAGCCAGCAATTTATTAGGAAATTTTTAAGGTAGATCCCTCCTTTAAGTCTTCAACCCTATTTTACAACTACCCACTGAATCTCAGTAAGAAAGGATCTGAAACACAGAAGTATGATACTCTCCCTTCCTCAACAGGACCGTATTTTGAAAACAGAATGAGATACATGCACACGCCACCCGGAAAAGGGCCACTATCTAACTGTACTAAAAAATCAGTTCCTTTGACTAAATGGAAGCATGCATCCAAAATGCAAAAGCAAAAATTATAGTTATCATTGCTATGAATATAGTAAAATTGCATGGTCAAGTAGCCACCAGCAACTTCATCGAAGCAATATAAACAGTCATTCCTGCACTTATTCTCCAGGTGGTTGTACAATAATGAAGGTTAACTTTATGATTGGCATAATTCAACATCTTTAAGTTCATGAACAGATTAGATAGTTAACATTTTAAAACAAAAGAAAGAAACTCAGAGAAATGCATTAACATAGAGAGTCATCAAGCACTTCCAAAATACAACCAGTAAGTTCTCCATGTGGCTTGTGATTCAATGCTCAAAAACAGAACAATCAAAACAATTCAATTTTACCCACAAAATAAGGGTGGCTTTATTTTGTACACAACGCAAACTCAAAGCTTCGTCTTAAGGATAAATATAGGGCAGTAGATTAAAGATTAGCAAATAACTTACATGTCCGCCACCACCTACAAAAACATCCCGCACACTTTCTCTGATAGTCATTCCACTCCTTAAATCAGCATCAGGCTGTGGGAGGCGTAACTTTGTGGGGCGCTCACTGTCCCTAACGTCATCAGGATCCAGAGGGCAATCAACAGATGCATAGTCTCCAAGAACTGCGACAGTTCCAGTAAATCGGTCTCCCATAAGCTCATACGGTTTTGCTGGGAATACATACAGATGTACAACAGAAGCAATTCCCATCTGCACTGGTGAATAAACAAACCTGTTAAACCCTTTTTCCCTGGGAATCTTGGACAGTTTAACCCTTCACTAAGTTTTCATTAACATCATTTACTTTTAACCAAGGAGAAAAACCAAGCTAAAAACATGGAAAGGAAAAGTTTTTGAGAGGATCCTATGTATCAAGTGCCAATATTGTCCAAAACTATATTGCAGATGCACAAAAGACAGCAATGTAAATAGGAGCAAATACATTAGGCTTTAATGAGTATATCTGTGACAAGCATTCCCACATATCACATTTAAACGGGAAGATAGACATAACCCAAGTAACATAGATAATCAAACATCATGTAAGGAAATCAATCCATTAGATCATGACAGAAAACGATCTGGGATCAAACTTTCCTGCAATAAAGAAGCAGAGTTTGTGCACATATATGGATCGTACACAATAGCCTCTATTAACCATGCTTAACTCAACCTTTAAAAAGCATATGACATATATAAAATATAACCCACCAATATTCATACCCTTAATAATGTGATGACCACCTTAGAAAGAAGACATGCATATGAAATAAAAAAGATCTACCTCTATACAGATAATGAAGTCTTGCACACTTGACTTAAACTGCAAAGCTTGAGCTATAGGACTTTTGAACAAACCCAGGGCGTACAGAATAGCTATTGCAACGCCCTGCCACCAAGTCAAAAACACAATCGACTTAAATGTGAGAAACTTGGCCAATGGCTTTATATGTGCCAATTCGTCGTTGGTGACAGTGTAAAACTGAACTAAGCAGTACAGAGCCCAGGACTGGCTGAAATTAAGAACAACAGCAATGTAAGGGTATCTGCAAGAACAAGATAAGACACAAACAAATTAGTAAAATCTACAAATAAGACTTCAAATAATGCCAGAGTCTTGTGAACCGCAGGAATGCTGTTAAAGCATTTAGGGGTCCATATGTCAAATTTAAAAAATACAGGTTGCAGTAAAGGCGATTTTGCACTAAATTAATTGCGAAATATCTTGCTACTGCTTAGTTTAAAAAGTAAAAACATCCGACTCAGATAGTTTTTCTTTCGAATAGAAACATAATAACCTCATTTACAGGAGATCACAACAATATTAGCATCTCTCCAGATGAAAGGGGTCCTTTAGTCTTATGCCTCGATAATATGCTCTGGCCATGCCATGAATATGAACCTTTATAGGTGTTGTCTGTGAGTTCCTTAGATGTCCAAACTCATTTTCACTTTAAACAGCAAAATATTCCTCTCTTCCTAAAATCCAAGCAAACAATTAATGAAACTATCAAGCTACTGACTAGAGATAGTACTATGAAAACTCGTGCCTGGATGAAGGGATGAAAAAGTTAATGCAAGGGCCAACTTCATAAAGGCCCAAGTTAGCTTGTTTCATTAATAAAGGGAAAGCATCTGGCATGCTTCCAAGTGCAACTATTCAATGTCCCCGTTTATCAGTTTATCGATGAGAAGCTCGAGAAAGGCAATCGTCAATTTACAGACACATTAAGAAAGAGTATGTATTTAACTATAGCAGAAACTTGAAAACTGATAAACAGAAAACACCTCAGAGACTACCGAGAAAGTAACAGGCAGGTGCTCCCCAACATAAAATAGAGAAACTTAAGTTTTAACAATGATGAAGAAAGCATGGATTTATCGCCACTCGCATAACTTCTAGAAACAGTAGTCATGATATACTCACCCACATCCCCACTCAAATTCTCCATCGCAGTATACTCCGAAGGCTTCAAGAATTACTGCTAAGACAGCACTTAGAGCCTTTATTATCATCTGCCAGACAAAAGCACATTTTGCACTGTCTAAGACTGAAATAGCTAAGCCATAAAAGAAAATTTAAGAGCAGAGCTGCAGAGTAATGCTTCGCAAGTAATACATACATATTGAACAATCCCAATCTTGATAATTTGGTAGAACCATTGACCGAGTTTCCATGGTTTCATAAAGTAGTTCATTGGAAAAGGATGCTTCACAATGCCGTGTTCAGAATAATGTTCTAATAGAGGATCTTTAGCAGCTGTACGTCCTTGTCTTTCCATAAATTCGACAGTCCTTTCTTCACCCCCTGAAAGAAAGGTCAACGAAACAAAAGTCTATCAAACAAGAATTCAGCCAATATCTGTTAGATATCTAAAGAGAAGCCAGAAAAGTAAATCAAAACTCAGAAAATGGGCATACCCAAGCATGCGACGAGGTATCTCCCGAAGCAATACATTGCAAAGGACTCGTAGCAATCTCGCAGTATTTCACAATAAACACTAATTGATGGATTCACCAATGAGACAAACTGCTCGTAAAAGTCCAAATTAGAAATCAGAATATTACAACATATGATAAGTACCAAAAGGTGGCACAATACTACACACAAAGGCAGCATAATTGTGAAAGAATTCATGTAAGTATACATATGCAAGTATATTAGCATTCAAAATATAGTGCATGTGTACGCATTAAAACATGGTCATTTTCCTGTGCCAAAAAAGAGTAACAATCAACCAAGAAAAGAAGGTACACTTGGTATCACCAGACATGAACGTAAAATTTTCTGCATCTCAGACTTTTATGCACAATGAATCAAGTTTATCTCTGTACAACTTACTGACTCTACCGCATAACACGGAACCATAAGGATGACACCAATGAGAAATTTTTGCTCCTGACAAGCACAAGAAGAAAGCGAGAGTCAAAGCGATATATAAGATAATGCGCAGTTCACAACCTAAACATAGTGTCGACGAAGATCTTAGCACTCAAGAGAAGGAAAAAACCTCAGGATTTTTGTAGGCTGCTAAGTGCTCGAATAAAAGGTAGATGGAGAGAGCGAGAGTCACGAGCACAAATGCACCAGCAACTACAGTTGTCCATGTAGGAGCCGTATACGTCAAGAAAGTGATGAGATACGGATAAGTAATTATCTTCATCAGCTATCTCTTCAAAGATACCCAGCATAATGGATTGAGAGACGCCCCAGGTATTGCACCCAGTTACTAATCATAAACATCCCCATCGAGATACGCAGACCTGCTCATAAAAATTGCAGATGTTACAAAAAGCGAGAGTTCCAACCTAAATGAAACTCTTCTCACTAGAGAAATTACATTTATGTAAAAAAAAACAACCACTATTAAGGTACAAGAACTCCACCTATCATTCATAAGGTATTATTACTTCAAAATGTAGACCGGTTCATCACGATACGATTCACCAGACAACCGAGGAGTTACGATGCGAAAACAATGACATGTACAACTACAAGAACGCACCCACGAACCACAGCTCAAACTAGAGGAGAGAAACGGCATGCTTGCACTCAGACTGAACTAATTTCCCTCCATTTTGGGTGCCCGGAAGTCCACAGAAACGCAGAGAACAACCAAATATAAAAGAGAAACAACCCGCCAACCGAAACATGCGAAATTAGGTAACAGTAGGTGAATCAATCCAAAGAAGCACGAGACCTATTCCCCCACATTTCTCCACAAAGAATCAAACTTTAAGGTCAATTTGAGAGCATACTACCAGCCCAAATCTAGTCTCAAGCACTATGTTGCCAAGACACCCCCATCCGAGACCCATTCCTCATCAACCCAATCGCCATCAACGACACGACCGTCTTCTTCTCGCACCTCACGAAATCGAACGAAGGGAGACAACAACTCCCACGGGATTCATGCGAGAACACGAAGCAATCTCCGGCGTTCCCATCGAATTACTACAGTGAATTTACCTCGGAAAAGCGGTCGGAGAAATGCGTCTCTCGCGCTCCCGTGCGCAGCTCGATCACGTTGCCGGACATAGATTCTCGTTTTCTACCGAGATGACATTTCCTTCGCCGAGCCCTAGGATCGTTTCTTTCTCCTGTCTTAACGATTTAACAGAAAATCTTTTTTCATGAAATTTCTCGCGGGTCAGGTTCCGTTCGCTTCCAGAAAAAAATTAAATTTTATTTGAAGAATGTTTTTGGACGTAACTTAATTTCAAGGAAAATTTTATTTTCCTATATATTTATTATATTTTGCAAATTATAACGAAAATCGTTTCCTCTATTTACTACAAAAATATTATATAATTACATGTGAGAAAAACTGAAAAAATTCCCAAAAAAGTCATATACATTTTGCACGGATGTCAATTCAGTCTAAACCCTTCAATTTTACCAATTGAATTATAAATCTTTTGACGACTTGCCAATATAGTCATTTCAGCCAATTTTGACAGAAAATTGTTAATGTAGATGCCAGTCTTCTTACATGTCACGATCGATGCAGACGAGGATAATTTTTATAATATTTTTAAAATTTTTTGAATTTTTTTAAAAAAATTTCTTCTAATTCTAGTGATCGAACTTAGAAGAAAAAAAGGAAAAAAGAAAATAAAAATTAAAAACTTCAAAAAAAAAGTTAAAAAAATTTATTTACGTCGGCATCGATCGTACCATTTAGCAATTTTCGCCCAAAAATTGTTGGAATGACTATATTGTCAATCGTTAAAAAGTTTGTGACTTAGTTGGTAAAAATTGTCCAACAAAAAGATGACAAAATTAAAAGATTTAGAATTAAATTAGCATCCGTACAATAGATTTAAGACCTTTTTGGTAATAATCCTAAGAAAAACTAAATCTTGAGTTTGGGAGCTGGAGACCTGTGCCTGGGTGCCTAATCGTAAGCATGGCCATTGGGAATTCAAGCAAGGCCGTTGAGGTCACATCTCGACCTTGGTCACATCTCGACCTTGGCGAACTAGGGCCTAGGATTGACCTCGAGGGACCTGGGCACAAGCATTGGCAACTTAGGCATGAGCTTAAAAGACCTGGGTCGTGCCTCAGGAGTTATAGGCCCAAGTTTTGATGCCAGGGTCTTGAGCCCATTCAATGAGGTCTTGGACTCGATCATCGAGATCCCTATCTCATGTGATCATAAATGTCACGTTGTAATAAATGTTTTAGAATGAGTCATGGTGTTATAATAAATATTTTAGGATGAGTCATGGTATTGTATTAATTGTACGACAAAGGTATTATATGTCTGAACCACATGTTTTATTAGGCATTAATATGCCTATGTCACAAGTGATGTAACATTGTTTATCTTTTCTTATGCCTATAAAAGGCACGGTTCGTAATATGTCGAGGTAGACTAGTAAAATGATGGGTTTGTGTGTTTAAACCATGCAAAGCTAATTCTCTCTTCTTCTCTTCAAATTTCTGCAAAGAAGTAGTTAGATCTTATCTTATCTTGATAGTATGCTCTGCACTCGCCTCCATAAGGATTTTGTACATCAAATACTGAGGCCAGAAGGCCTTATGTTCAGAATAACTGAACAATGGTTTAGCTATATGCTAAAAGTCAATCTTGATAGGTAAGGCCTAAGAGAGGCATCGCAAGGGGACCGAAAATCTACATTTGCTAAGTTCTTGTTCTAGGCTTGAGCCTTGGTTTTTAGGTTCAAGCACAAGGGTAGAATTCTATTTTGGAAAATGAAATATAATTTTTAAAAGTGAAAAAACCATATCCTTTGGAATATAGCTTTCCATTAATTACGATGATTTTCTAGTGACTCATTTCCTAAGCTATTGAAACGTTCGAAAGTAGAAAGGATAACGGCACAAATGGTACCTAAATTTTGGTCTAAAATGAGATGCTGTCCTTGAATTTTTAATTTGTGTAATGTGTATCATAAATTTTACCCAGTATGTAATATCATTTCTAGATTTTTAATTTGTTCAATGTGATTCTTAAACCATTCATAAATGTTTAATATAGTTCCTAAACTATATAAAAATGTTTAAAAGTTAAAGGACCACACTGAACAGTAGACCAAAGTTCATGGACCATTCGTGTCTTTTTCTCAAATGAGAAAATGTTATTCACGAAATGAACCGACTCATGTATTTATTTCGTGAAAAGCAAATGATTTGAAAAATATTTTCCAAAAATAGATCACTTGTATTGTTTACAAAAATGAATGAAAGAAATATATTTTCATTGTCCACAAAAAATGTTTAAACATAAATTATTGTTGATAATAAAATTATTTTTCATTGATTAATTATTTCAAATTATATAAGTAATTATTTTTCAAAAAATGTTTTTCAAATCATATTTGCAAAATAAACATAGCCTCAATATTTATTTATTTATTTCCTTTTCTTTACTTTCCCTAGACCAAGAAATTAAGGAGTCCCACCAATTGTATGAGCTAAAGGGATAAGAAAATTTCACAATATAAAGTTATCTTTCTTTTCTTAAACCATGAAATTGAAGAGGGGCGATCAGACCGCTCCTTAACGTTATCACAAGAGTCACACCTACCATAGATTTTTCAAGATCATCAAATAAGCATCACTCGACACCATACTTTGTTGATTGTGTGATAGGCAACCCCGTAACCATAATCGGACCATGATGTTAGAATTCCTAAACCTATTCACCAGAGTAACCCATTATGTTAGAATTCCTAAACCTATTCACCAGAGTAAGATGTACGCACCATTACCACAATCAGGTTCAAACTCGTGACCTCATATCTAAGTTCATTAGCACCTGCTACTGAGCCACCACCATAGTTTGATGGATCCCATGTTAGGAGTTCATAGAGAAGGCAACTTTCGCATGTCACATACACTGAGAAGGATGAAGGTGGGACGATGCGTGGGACGGCCAATTCATCTTCATATCCCTCCTGATAATTTCCTAATTTCGATCCAAACCCATTACGGGGTTTGACAGAAATATTATTAAATCCTGTTCATTGTAATTGAATGTCTATTGGATAACCGCAGTCCGCCATAGTATTCTTTGTACAGACAAATTATCTCGCATTCTGTTCATGGTGAATCATGTCGAAACCACAGACCGGTCATTCGAAACCGATGCATTTCATTATGCAAATTAGAAGCTACAAAGTTGCTCAAAAATCACATGATCACTTAAATTAGTTTGTTACATCTTGTCAGCTCCGCGGCACGTAAAAAACCTTCCAAGGCAAGATGGGTTATATAGCAAGTGCATTAGACTCCATGAAACCATTTCAGTCCTAGTTAATGTACTCATTTTCATTTGAGTTTTATTAAGCCAGCAAATTTTAAAATTTTAAAAAAAAGTTATTATTTTCCGCACATATCATGTGCAATAAATGAATTTAAAGAATTGAAAGATTGCTTATTAATTATGTGATATTCGTCGACAAGACTTATTGGTGCCAAAACCAAAAGTTGAATCACATAGCCGGAGGTTAGTGAAGAATCGAAGATGGGAAACTATTTGTGCATTAGAGAGAGAATTGCGCGTGTAAAACTGTTGTTCCAAGTACAAACGCGCCTCTCTTTTCATGCACTAATCACATTGTCAAGTCTTTGCACAACGAAGCATATGCATATCTCACCAGAGATTAAGGAAATGCAAGTCTCGAACTCAAAGCCCAACCAGTCATGTCCCGAGACTCCTGACGATAAAGCGTTTTCACTGGTTCGGTCCCACCGCTTTTACCGGGTTCGGTCCCGATAGTCATAAGAAGACCCAGAAATTGAGTGAACTGAAGTCTCGGCGATAGAGACGTTATCCGCTACTTTAAAGCGAAAGGCAACATCGACATCCACCTCTTAAACATCATCAGGGGCAAGATAACCAAGACCCACATAGATATTGGAAAACAAGAAACAAACAGTATGTAACCGTCTGAGAAAAAGAGCAATCAAAGAACCAGTCTGGAAAACCAGACATGCTTCTTATGAATGGTGAGGTGCATCTATAGCTCAACAATTGCAATATAGGAACAATCAGTTCATCTCAACAGCTGCACAGAGAGAGAGAGAGAGAGAGTAACTTTGAAATTCAACTATTATGAACAAACATCTGCATGTTTCTGTAGTGACTTTTAGACTATAAGACTGATCATCTACTTTAACCACCATTCGATAAACTGACTATCGTATATCCCTAAACAAACGATAACAGCAACATGAGATTGAGGTTGTCTGCACAACTCCCTACATCGGAACTCTAATCTAAAATGTTCAAGACCTGCCTGATGAACTTACCTTCTCCAAGAGGTCCTTTATCTCGCCCTCTAGACTGGACTTCATCTTTTTCGACAACTTTCCGTGGGATTTATCCACCATTGATGTCATCTTCTCAAGTTTCAGCTTTATGTATTGAAGTTCAGATGCTTCTCCTGTTGATGATTGCAAAGCAGATTGCTTCTTAGGTGTCATGTTGCTGTGCTGCCTGGGAAGAGGAGAATCTTCAGCGTCTCCATGTGTCTTGGGAGTAGCTGAATCGCACTGGAGCTCGAAGCTGGCATTGGCAGATCCAAACGGATTCTCCTTTTGTGAACTTTTCAGGGCTTCTTCAGCATTAGAGTTCTTTTGAAAGACCACAAGAGCATATAAACTGTTGTAGCACATATCTGTTTCTGTTTCATTCAAAACCCCAAATTTACTATATATCTTGATGAGATCGTCTTTCGTGGGTAAAGAAGCACCTGGACTGAACGTAACAAGAAGCCGTCCTGGGACTTCTTGTAAGTTTTTCTTCCCACTTGATCTCTTAGAAGCTGGTTGACTTTTAGGAGTATCCATTTTTGACTCATTCTTCTTGATTCTTTCCCTCCCTGGTTTACTTGGAGTTGATTTGCCAGAAGTTTCAGATCGGTCAGTCGGGGCTCCCTTCAATGACTCGGGCTCTGTCTCATGAGACTTTCTCTTTCTCCCAAGTTGGCGTTTATTGAATGTCTTATAGTTGGATCCATTGCGGTACACAGAGCTTCTATACACAGGGAAGAACTCCTCAACAACATCAGATTTGCTCTCCCTTGCATGTACAGGGTCAACAGCTACAGCCCGAACTTCAGATAGGACATCATTGGCAGAAGCCGTGACTTTCATCGACTCAACAATCTTGTTGTCACCTTCTCCTTGAGTTTCAGGAATTTTCTCACCGAATGTCCTGTGTCCGGTTCCAGATTCCTCCACATCTTTTTCCTGACCTTTACTGCACTCAGACTTCAAACTTGAAGCTGAACCCTTTAGGTTATCAGCAGCCTTGACCATCCTCTCTCCTAATCGAACTAAACTAGAAATTTTTATGGATTCAGCATCAATGTCACCCTTTTTCTGACCCCTCCCTATATTCATGTACGGTGGAGACAAATATTTGCTCTTCTTCCTTTCCCTTGACAAAAAGCCCTTCTCAAGTTGTTCAGAGTCACCATCAGAAGCTTCTGTGTTAGAACCTTCTTTCACCTTTCCCTCTGTTATAACAGAATGCTTAGATTGTTCTTTGTCCCGAGGCCCACTAATTTCAGGACTCGAGATTCTTTTCCTCTTCCTTCCGCTCTTCTTAGTTTCCTCCTTGCGACTGCCACAGATGCCACTATCCATCTCAACATTTGAATCGGACCTTTTGAAGTCCACCGATTCATTTTTTGAAGAACTCTTATCATCAATGCCAGCTTCATCAACATTAACTTTTTTCTCTTTCACAGATGACCCTGCGCCTTCTTTGGTTTTATTCCCCTGATTAACATCCGCCTGAGTATCCAGGTTGCCACCAATAATTTCAGCAATGCTCTTCTGCTTCGGTTTCTTGTACCCTCCATTGGCGGATGCACCATGGCATTTCTGCAACAGAGCCTTTTCAATAGGGGAAGAAAGCCATTCTTCCAATACCGGCCCCTGAAATGGGATCCCCACTTTGCCATCAACCATTGCAACATCTTCTCTCAGGTCTTCAAGACCTGGTATCTCCACAGCTTCATGGTAACCAGGCAACTGATCGAACCCTTTCGCGCTATAAAAAGCTAAGAGCCAATTTTTCAACACTGCCAGCTCAAGTATACCGGATGTAGAAGCAAGATGTGTCATAAACTTCAAATGAGAAAGCAACTTCCTGGGTTCAGTCCAAACAACCGAAAGCCTCCCGATCCCATCATCAGAAACAAAAACCTCTTCCTTAATTCCGGAATTCCCCACCAAGGGCCTAGTCAAACGCTTTTCCATGGGCACACAAGAGCAAGTCATCCTCATATTCACGAATCTACCTATCTGGTCTACCACAGCCTCTACAGCGTTTAAAAAATTCTTCGAAGTACTCTGCTGCGTCATTACCTCGAAATTCTCCTCGAAAGGCTTCAACTGAGTCGGGTGACACCAGGCAAATGTTCCATCACCAAAGTACGACACAAGGTGCTTGCGCTTCGTCCTGAGCTTCGCAGCAAAGTCCGAGGCATCTGACAAATCATAAATCTGCCCCGGCCACCACGGATGGCTCTTCACTTTACCCCACACCAAGTCCCCTACAGAGTACTGACAATCTCCAACGTCCTCCCCTTCTCCATCAGCAGGTTCGCTCGTCGATTCGCTGATTTTCCCAATTTCCTCTGCCGCATCAGCTAGAGTCACACCATTTTCATCGACCGCAAGAATTTTCCTTCCGCCGCCAGGCGCTCCACTAGCATCCCCACCGGCCAAAGCAGGCGCGCTCAACGTACTCTTAACGCCCTCTGCATCCTCATCGACCCCAACCGAAGGCGCCAACGACCCATCTTTGATATCGACCACTCTCCCACTTCCCTTCATTTGCCCATCCTTGATATCGACCGCTCTCCCACTTCCCTTCATTTTCAACAAAGACGACACTCCATTCATCTCGAAATCTTCCAGCCCGCCATCCCTACCGCCGCCCAAACCATCCTCATTTCCGTCCCCAGGAACCTCCGTAGCCCCCGCGCCCCCCGAACCTTCCTCCTTCCCATTAATAGAAACCCTAACCCCATCCTCGCTCTCCCCTCCGACCAACCCCGGGTCCCCACGAGCCCCGTCTTCTTGAACAGTTCCCTCCGCCGCAGCCGCTTTCTCGGCCAAAGGCTCGACCTTCGCCCCGACCGTACCCATGTCGGCCAAGGAAAACCCTTTTGTCCTGCACACACGGGCACACCCTCCACGTATATATATCGGGAAACGAGAAACGAAACGAAACGAACTGAACTGAAAACCAAGAACCAGAGAGAGAGAAACGGTAAAAGAAAAAGAAAGGAAAAAAAAAACAAAGAAAGGCGAGGTACGTTAGGGTTTCCTCGTACAGGAAGACGATGACCCCACCAACGGGAAAACAAGAACGAGCCCAATAGAGACACACGAAAAGAGGGAGGACCAGAGGAACGTCGATACCTGAGCGTCAAGACCGAGCCCCTCTCTCGTCTAGAAGCTTTTGAACAGATGCTACGGGTTCTCTCTACGTACACTCCACCAAAAACACCATCTTCTTCTTTCCACACCAAGAAAGAAAGAGAGAGAGAGAGAGAGAGAGAGCAATGGCAAAGGGATCAATTTTCTGAGAAAAAGAGAGAGCGAAAAGAGATTTGGTGGGTTGGTGAAATTTACCGAAACTGGCGAATGCTTCGTTTCGCTCCCCGGGATGTAATCTCGTGGGGCGCTGGCGAAGATATAGAAACTTCGTATTTGCAGGCGTTGACGATTCATTCACCAAGGTTTATATCTTATATTTAATTAAACGACTTACAGAATGGTCGGCCCCCGCGTTTACGGCGGTGATCAGGTTCGACCCTGCTGCGCCCTCTTTTCCTTGGCTATTTTCACAAACTTCGCAAAGTATGGAGCATGAGAAAAGGTCGGATAGGCCGACCCTAAAATGACACTGCGACGAGCCGTGGTGCTCGGCCTACGTCTATCGCCTCTTTGGTCCAGAAAAAAAAATAAAAATAAAAAAAAGTAGCGAGTCTCCGGTACGGGTTTTGCGTGGAGAGTTAAGAAGAGTCGAGAGGAGTTACGAAAGGGCGAGAGGAATCATCATCCCTCGGGGGATCACGAGATTTTTCTACACGGCGGGCAATTCAAATATGAGCCATATATTCGTGTGTGATTATGTTTGTGCGTCTCTCTCGCCTATAAGATATTTCAATATCGTTGTTATTCTTATGAAGAATGTATCAGTTCACACGTAGATTTAGTTGTGTAAGATCATGTCGAGTTCAAGGTTTTTCTCGTACCGCGTCAGCGCTCGAGGTGTTCTCCCATGTCCCCCCGATAAAAATTACCATCCCCGGGGCTGTAAATGGGTGGAGTCGGACAAACCAAGCCTAGAGGTATATTTAATCAGTTCATCCACGCCAGATCGGGGCAAAAGGTAAAAACTCTCTCGAGAAGATATTTAACGATTGTCAATTTCGAAATTTAATCTCCGTTCGTTTCGCAGAAAATGTTACGGGCGCGAATGGTAACCATTCTGCTCCAGAAATCAAATTCTTGCCATAAATTGATTTTTGGAATTCTTGCCAGAAATTGATTTCTGGAGGAGAAATCTATTTGATAAAACATGACTAATTCTGCTCCAGAAATTGATTTCTGGAACAGAAATCTGTTTTGATTTGTTGATTTTTTTTTGCACCTAAAAAAAATTAAATTTCACTCAAAGTGGGTGGCCACAGATATTCTAAGCAATTTTGTGAAGTTTTAAATTTTTTTTATTTTTTGATTTTTTTGGGCACCTCAAAAAATTTAAATTTCACTCAAAATAGGTGGCCACATGTATTATTAAGCCATTCTGTGAAGTTTTGAAATTTTTGATTTTTTTTGGGCACCTCAAAAAAATTAAATTTCACTCAAAGTGGGTGGCCACATGTATTCTTAAGCCATTTTGTAAAGTTTTGAAATTTTTGATTTTTTTGGGCACCTCAAAAATTTAAATTTCACTCAAAGTGGGGCTACAAAGATTCTAAATCATTATGTGAAGTTTTGAAATTTTTGATTTTTTGATTTTTTTGGACACCTAACAAAATTTAAATTTCACTCAAGGGTGGCTTCTAAACCATTCTGTGAAGTTTCGAAATTATTGATTTTTTATATATTTTTTGGAAAAAAATTCACCAGATTTCCTATTTTCCCGAAATCTAACTTTTTTTATTTTCTGGAAATTTTTATGAATTTTTTTGGAATTGTTCAATTTTTATGCATTTTCTGAAAAAAAAAATTAGTGAGATCTCAAAATGTGCTGTAAAGGCCACGAAAAAGAGAGAAAAGAGGGAGAATACATTCTGGAAAAAGAGAAGTTACAAAAAATAGCTTCTCTTTTTCTTGCCCAAAACTCATTCTAGAATAAAAAATGCATTCTGGAATTAAGTATTTTTAACAAACGCATTTTTATTCCAGAATGCAAAAATTGCTCCAGAATGTATTCCGGAAATTTTTTAACAAACGCATTTCTGTTCCGGAATGCATTCTGGAGCAGAATTTCTGCTCCAGAATGGATTCCATGCACGCCCTGCGTTTCTGGAAAATATTTTCCAGGAAGCTATTTTTATGGAAAATGACACAATTTTTCAATATTCGATTGAAATCTGAAAAAGTCTCGATTTCTCCAGTTCGATATGAAAAACATTTTTCTTCATGCATTATTTTTAATAATTTTTTATTTTGTATTTTAATATTTCTTTTCTTTTCTTCTCTTTTTTATTTCCCTTTCTTTCTTCCTTTGCCGGTTTCCGGCCACAGGCGAGGCTCGACCTCACTTGCCCAAGGCCGGCGACCGACCTCGAGCGAGCAAGGCTAGGCCTCGCCTCGCTAGATTTGGCAAGGCTCGGCCTCAAGCTTAGCCGACCATCGTCGGATCTGGCGAGGCGAGGCGAGGCAAGGCCTCGCCAGTCTCGAGCTCCACCGAGCATTGCCGGATTTGGTGAGGCGAGGCTAGGCTCGAGCTCGCTGGCCATGGGACGAGACAAGTGACGAGAGGACGCGCAAGGCAACAGCGGAGGAGGAGCAGACGAAGCGCGAGGCAGCAATGGACGAGGAGTGTCTCTGGAGATCCATCGATGGGAAGAGGAGAGGACAATGGGAACGATGGGAAGAGGAGAGGACGGGAAGATTAGAAAATGATTTCCTTTCCTTTTCCTCAGTTTTCAAAGGAACTTTTCTATTGACCGGAAAATATTTTCCGCCCCCGAACACCGGAAATTATGGGAAATTATGGAAAATGTTTTTCAAGAAATGAAGGGAGCCTTAATATGAAATTACAAACAACTAACACGACTTTAACGTGAAATTCATGCATCTCAGACTTTACCGCAAAGATATTTAAGTTATGTAGCACGTATTATGCCTCGAGGGTTCCCTTTTTAACGATGGCATCTTCGCACTTAATGATCTGGGAAATCATGTAGCTCCAAGCTTATGCTGTGAAATGTAATTGAAACTTCAAATGCACGCGGATGTTTGTATCAGGAAAACGCGCAAGTGACTAGCGAACCTCATAGGAAATCACCGGGTCATGCAAATCCTGCTCAGGAGAAAGCCAAACATCGTTCTAAAGATAAAAAAGTGTGGAATGGTGGAAATATCAAGAGTACTTTCTATCTGCATAACCGAAATCGGTCACTAAATTTTTCTGAACAAAACAAGCTCAGGCTATAGAGATAGAAAACTATACACTGACGTACTCGCATCAACATTGCTATTGCATAGTCAACCCTTTCAATTACACATTGCTAAAAAGATATACACAAGTTCATGGGAAGAGACAAGTTCATGAGAAATGTAATATCTCATGTAGCAATGCACGGCATAGCGACATGAGAAGAAATAGGTTAATAAGAGATGCATTGTTTTGGAAAAATTTCGAAATAAAAATGTGATTGTAATCTACATTGCAGGCAATTAAATTAGTTGGTTACACCATGTCAATCACTTAGCCAACACATGAAACGCTTTTCTAAAGACACAGAAAGAGCAATCGCATTAGGTTCCACACACTTCTTGGTTTGGAGGATTGAACCTGCGAAACAAAAGAATGTCTCCAGCAATTTTTACATGCATTGACCGTTCATCCCCACACACGCACACATTTCCGATCTAAGTGACATCTCGTTCTTGAGCATATCGTATCAACAAGTTGCATCCACAGTAATATGCTTCGAACACGAAAGAATTATTAATAATATGCATCAATAAAGGATGAGCGATTTCCCCTTGGAAACAATCTAGATGCTGCGTGAACATGAAAGAATCTACAACTATAGTATGATATACGAAAAAAAGACAAGTCTTCAAAGTACACACATGCCTTTATCCTCATTCACCAATAATGTCGTTGAGTCTGTATATACATAATTTGTCAGGCAGCTTTTGCAGTTGCAGTGACATCATGTGAGTTGACTTCATATCCGACAATTGGCAGCTGTACAGTCACATGAACATCATCAGAACTTTCTCATTAGTTCGCTAGGCGACAAAATTCAAAACATCTGTTCCTCAAACTAAGCCCATCTGATGAATTTTTATGGAACCCGTCTATCTTCTCCCTTTCTCAACATCATTGCTAGTCGAATCCGAAGGGACTAAATATAATTCAATTCCCTTCACCTATTTCTTTGTATTAGATAGGGTGTTAGATGAGACATGTCCGCACACATATGGATTAGAAAAACAGGTAAGCATGACTAATGCTTGAGTGAACACACACAAATTTAAAGAACCATCATTCTATGCTTGGAAATTGGATGAACTTGGAGAAGTCAAGCATCAATTCTACCCATTTAGAGTCAACATTATGAGATTTTCAGGACAAAAGAAGACGAAATAAAAGAAGACTGAAAGAATGTGTTTCTCGAATGGTTGTTTCAGACAAGTTGAATACAAGGTATTTGTCCAACAGAAGTACTTACTGCAATAGACAAATTGGTTGAAGTCAAGAGTAACCCTCCCCTGCTTAGCCGTATCAAAAGAACTAAAAAGATTCCTGCAACAGGCAAAATCGAGGTCAGCCGTTTAACCAAGTGTGGAGATGAAGTAGATAGGGTACACCAGAATAATCACATCACTGCAATAACCTCCTGCACCAATACTGGTTCTGTTCACATCATATGAAGAATTTTTTCCAAATCACAATAACAAGCATGCACAATTCTATTAACATGACCGGTGAGACATGTAAGCAAAGCACTCAAATTTCCACACATTGGAACTATTCCTTCTTATACCGTTGTATTTACATTCTTGAAAGAAGCAACATCATGTACTTTTTGACTGGAGGAACACTTACCTTGCAGACTGAACAAAAATACAAAGAGACATGAAATCGTCTAGCCGAAACCTTCCGTTCTTCTTCTGATCGAAGCTCTTCATAATGAAGCAAAAAGAGTGTCAATAATTACATAGCACCTGCCACTAGCAATTATAGAACTTAAGGTACTAAATGACAATCTCAACATTCGTTTGCCTTGAGCTAGAAAAATGATCTTCATTAGAAAGAAAAATCACATCCATCAATTCTCCAAACGTTCTCTGATGTTATTTTGAGAAAACCATACAAGGCAAACTAATAATTGGAATAATCACGGTTGGGCTGTCTACATAAGTAAAGTGAATCTCAGACTGTAACTAGAATGAAAACAAGAAAATATTCACCGTAGCCTAAAGTTTGAGAGATAGTTTCACAAGAGAAGCATGTAAAATCTATGAACTATAAGGCTCCATTTGTTTTGCGAAAAATGAATGATTTAGAGAATATTTTTCTAAAAATGATCACTTGTATCGCTTTAAATAATTAGTCAATGGAAAATATTTTCAATATCGATAATAATTTATGTCTAAACATTTTTGTGGACAATTAAAATATTTTTCGTTCATTTATTTTTGTAAGCAATACAGGCGTATTTTTAGGAAAATGAATGGAGCCTAATAGCCTAGTTAACTTCAATAGCATTGGACAGCAAATGTTTGCCATGGCAGAGGAATTGAACTACTTATTGTATTATCAATCTGACTGGAAAGCGGTTTTGTGCCTCTATGACTCTTTACACAAGTATACCTCTCTTCACAAATAAATTATGGATAAAATGTCCACAGAAACCTTGCGATTCAGATTCCGTTTCTAATAAATATCCAATACAGGTTCCGTTAAATATCCAATAGCTATAATCCTCGGAGGTAAAAGATAGCTTATACTTCACTGTCCTGGGTCAAAAATAGTAGGGACATCCACCACTCATCACTATGATCATGCAACAAAGTTCATTACCATAAAATCTTTTCGGATCTTGCATGCACAATAGGAAATATATGTTACCTCACAGACACTGTAAAATGATGGAGAGTCAAGTGAGAACCCAATTTTCACCAGGGCCTGCAATAAAACTAATGACTTGAGGTAGGAAGGGAATAAAAATTGCGAACAACCATCACAAATGTCCTAAAATCAATGGAAAGACCATCATATATGTCCTTTGTACATCTTTAAAGATTGACAGAATGAATGCCCCAAAGCACGACTGATAATAGACAATCAGGTCATCAATGGGTTATACCAGTTCAGTTTCAAAAGTCAAAGGAAGACGATAAACTAAGTGAACTGAAATCTTGGTGACAGAGATGACTCCACGATTTACAGAAAATCCACTACTTTAAAGTGATAGGAAGCAGCATCATTTACCTCATATACATCGTCAGGGACAAGATATCCACGACCCCTGTAGCAATGGAAAAACAAGAAACAATTGGTTGGTATTGTCTGAACAAAGAAGTACTTGAAGAACCAGTCCAAATAAATAGACATGAAAGGAAAGGGGCTAGAATCTTCAGGGTGCCACTTTAATTGAGATAGCACGGGGCTTATTCTTTTCTCGACTAAGCTCGAGTGAGGTTGCCTTGAGTTGGGGTTCATTCAAAACCACATTAAAGAATTTCTTCAAGCTTTGGTTTACCCGTTATGAATCAATGCTGCTTTTTTATTGAAAAATGAATATCATCTGCGCACCTTAAATATCATATGCTTTTTTTCTCTTTCCAAAAAAGAATTTCTTTTTTAGATCTAGCTGGTGAAGAAAGATGTTCATCAGAACGGGTGAAAGTGAGCTGCCCTGAGGTATGCATTTAGTGTGATTACAAAAATCCCTCCCATTTTTGTCGAGGAGTGGCGCTTTTAGGATAGCTAATATAAGATCCCAGAAGGACTGATTTTTCTTTCCCAAGTAGGATTATATTAAGTTGATTAACACATGATCCATGTTGTCAAAGATGATAAATAATCACATCTGTGGCTCAACAACAAGCAACTTGTAGGAAACAATCACTTGCCTGAGGGATCAGCACAAGTATCACAAAATCCAATGTGGAAAATCAACCTTCTAGGCATGCTAGCCATCGTGGCATCGTTGAATGAAAAGATTAATTAGTGAAATATAATGTCAAACTTGCATCATGCATCAGCTAAATGTTGCATTGATAGCAGATTTTGAGATTGTCAAACAAGAGCAAGCAATATGCCCAAAGGACCTGACTCTACATCCAATTATTCACTTCTCCAAGCATTCTACAACTTACAGGACAAGCAATATCAAACCCAACCTTGATATCCATACCTAATCATACTGTTATTTATACTTTTGCCTGTGGACTTGTTTAAGTGGGAAAAAGACCCACTCAAGAAAAAAAGGGGAAAAGAACAACTCTGTCAAGGAAATCATGCAATTGTGCATGTGTCTACTAGAACCATGGATGGGACCAATCAGCCTCTGCAACATAAACTGTTGACTCACCTCTCATGGTCTGAGAAGGCATGTTGAACCTGCATACATCAGAAGAAATTAGTTCCTAAAATCCTTAGAAGGCAGGTCCTTCAAAATGCTTCTGTATACAATTTTATTGAGCAAGTAATACATGAGATTCCTTAAAGGTGAGGGCAAAGATTGTTAGAGGCTTTTTTGGGATCTTTTGCTACTAATATATAGTCATGATTCATGAAAGAGAAGAACCATTGGAAAAGGAATTGCAAATGACACCCCCAATTGCTTCAGTTGCTTCGAAAAAAGTTGAAGGGAAACAGATTCATGGAAACCGAAGTTTATTATATCTTCAAAACTCACATGCAAGGTGCGTCAGTGCTCTGGTACAAGATGGGGAGAATCTTGCATGGAGGGAAACTATTCTAGAAGTCATTTGCTATGCAACGTTTCTCTTGTTTCATCAACCGCAAAAAATAATACAATAAAGGCATCAAACACCAGAATACTAACCTTCAAAAGGAACTTGTTGAGAGCAACAAATTCTGTGCAAAAAAAAGAAATACAGAGAAATCAAATATCAAACATCTTCGGATTATACTATTTTGAAAAACAAAAATATTTATCGAGATAATATCAATTCAAACTAATCTGAATCTGCAAATATTTGTGTCCAAAGATAACTAACAGACGGACAGATGATTTTCACTTGATTGCAACCCCAAGACTTTGTACCAGCTCACATTGGAATCTTCTATTTCTAGACCCTGAGAATCCGTTCCCCCGGTTCCCCAGAGCAAGAACCATTCCTCCAAATTAGAGGACATCAGAGCCTAGGTCCTGTGAAAGTCGCGTTCGTGCTTCAATTTCTAACTATCGTAGCAAGCAAGCTTTAGGCAAACTCCAATCAACTTCAGCATAATCCTCGAAAGGACACAAAAACTCCCGCCGACCTTCCGGTGCACGGGAACGGAAAGTTCCCGTGAGCGCGAGTCGCAGCGCGGGTGGAGAGGAGCATACCAGTTCCAGACTAAGCTACGGCTACCGAGCACTTTGACTAAGGTTGCAGAAGCATGCACCTCTACGACAAAAATCAGCGAAAACAACCAACACAGCCCGGACCAGCTTTTCTCGGCATGTGCACCAGTGTACATTGTCAATTCTACGCGCACAAACACCTCGGTACTCCTTAACATTAGACACACCACGCAACGTACGAAAAAAATGTAAAGAGCATCGACAACAAGACAATCAACAGCAGGGGGCAGCATCCACTTGCCTTCGAAGCTCATCGTCCCATTCCTGTCGAAATCATACATCCTGCCCAAACAAAGGAGCCAAAAATCAACATCCGGCGGTCGCTTCCGATCACCTTCCACTCCAATCGACACGCACAAAACCGACGGACACGCACAACACGAGGGGAAAGAAGAGCTAGTCGGAGAGCGAAGATTCGAGGGGACCTGATCATCTGCTCCACGACCGAGATGGACAATTCGAGGTTCCCAACCGCGAGCGCTCGCTGATCACAACAGAGGAAGGGAGCCAAAAATCAAACGCCGTCGGCGACGGAGGAAAGCGGAGGCCATTCGATCATTTCCAGTTTGACTTAAGGGAGGGTCAGGAGAAGAGAACCTTGAGCTGGACGGCGGTGATGCTGCCGGTTTTGTCCGAGTCGACTCGCTCGAACCACTCCTTGAGTATCGCCTTGTTCTCCATCTTCGACCTCGGGAGCTCCAGAACTGCAGCGAATCGCCTCCCCGATCGACGCTCCTCCTGGTCTGGCAAGAAAAATATTTACAAAAAAAAATAATCAACGCGCTAGGTATTAAGCTCAACCATCACCTGCTCCGTACGAGATGACACCCTCGTCCTAAATTATTTTTCTCGATAGAAAATAACACAAATAATTCTTAAATTTTATCTCAATACGTAATATGATTCATGAACTTTTAATTTATTTGATGTGATCCGTGAATTTTAGTTCAATATACAACGCCGCCCATGAACTTTTGTTCAATGTAGTTTCTGAACTTTTGTTATACGTTCATTTTAGTTTATAGATTATATGAAAATGTTCAATATTGTCATTTCATTAATTCAAATACAAGGATAATATCGAATATTTTTATATAGTTTAAGGTCCAGATTGAACATAAATCAAAAGTTAGGGGACCACCTTGAACAAATTAAAAATTTAGAGACGATATTACGCGTTGGAATAAAGTTTAGGGGCCATTCGTGTCATTATCCCTTGTCCAAATGATACATGAGGCACCAAAAATATAGAATTAGAATATCTTTCACCCACTAATTTATGTCGCAGCCACGTCAATCATTTGTGTTATCTTGAAAATTATCGAATGAGATATAAATTTCCATGCGAAAAATATAGATAGCGGCATGTCAAATCGTGCCAATTTCAAGTTAAATTTGGTCCTAGTTGCAGCGAGTTGTGATTTCCAAGCGTTGACCGATATTCCGAATGGATCGACCCAAGAAGGATGGGTGCCATTGGGCATGAAATTGAGATATTCTTTCAGTGATTCACGACTAATTCAAGTTTTGTCTCGTTCGATGTGATTCGTTACTAAGAAACATGGGACGTTTTGCATGTGATGTTTCTTTTTTTTCCCCATTTTTCTATAGACCACTTGCAAAGTTATTGATGGTAAGCTCACATTTAGGATGCGTTTGGTTCATCATTTGCAATGGGCTTTGGGGAAATACAAAGCAATTTAGCTTAAAGGGTTTTGAGGAAAAGCAAAGACTGCTTGGTAATTGTGCTTTGAGAAGCAACTTTGAAACAAATGCCGTTCGGTAGAAACGTATTTGAAAAGCCCGTTTAGATGATTAATTTAAGCTTTTTAATTTTTATTGCGGCAACTTTTTAAATTTAAATATGGACAACACCGTTAAAGATATCGTGTAAATTTTTGCTAAAGAGTTCAAATGAAAAAAATTCACATCAAAGGTGATCTCTTTCTCGATTAAAAAAACGGAATACTTTCATCGCAATAAACATGGTAACAAAGCTTGCGTGTTATCCTCGAGTGGGGATGCTACACAGCAAAACCATTGAAGCAAGACCAAAAGAAAGGATTAGAGGACATTCTAGCTGCTAGCGGAAACGTAACAGAGGCTGGTTTATCAATCAAACACATATTAATCGTCAATGTCGCTCGCTCATTGTCCCATACAATGAGATTTGAGATCGCCTTTTCTTAGAGAGTGAAAGAAAAATGGATACATAAGCAACTTTTTGTCTGGCAATCGAAAGTTTAAGCCTGAATTCATTTAACAGTGAACACGGAAATTGCCAATTAAGAGGTCTCTTTTGAAAAAGCTGAAACAGCAGAGAACAAGATGGCACAGACATATTAGCAAAACACAAACTAGCAAAAGCCATTGCTCTTATATTTGAAGTCATTACAAATACATCATCACTCCCGAGAGGCTTTCAAAATGCTGAACCAAACGCGCTCTTAGATCATGTCTTAGCCAAAAGGAGGACTTCTTAGAATGAACATGTGACATCAGTTGGGCCGGGCCGGACCGGCCCATCTAATATCGGGTTCACTATTAATAGCCTTTGAGCCTCTGTCCACATTTGAGCTCTCTCTAAGTTTTGGGCCTCCACTAATTTCCCTAATGCAATTTATAAAGTGGCAAGCATTGATGTTGTTACATCGGGTCTGATGTGTGGCCTTTGTGCTCCCTCTATTACAAAATTATACACAAGTGCTCTAGTAACAAGAAGGGAAAATGACACTATCGGGTCATATACGAGATGTTGTGATTGGACTTTTGATTCGTCCAATGTGATAATTAAACTATCCCTAAATATTCAATATAACCCTTTTGTTTTGATCAAATGAGAAAAAATGCACCGCAAGTCCCTAAACTATTGCAAAATGTACAATTTGATCCCTACATTTTGAAATTGATCGATCTAGTACCTCAATTTTCCACGACAAAGTTTAATCGGGCCGCGAGTTTTCTTAATTACACTATTACCTATATTTCATAATATCATTTCGTCTCGATCTAATTTCCGAGTCAACAAAGAATATGATGTCTTTTTATTACAATAAAATCCGGATTTCATGTTCTCTCTGCTAAAAAAATTATACATAAGTGCTCTAGTAACAAAAGCAAAAAAGAGAGAGGAGCAACACATGTTGGGAAGTAGGTAATAACATGATAGATTGGCCAGAATGATTTTCACACTCAGCACCATAAATCAGGCTGTACATGGTAGAGTAAAAATGAAGAAAAATATATTGTGTCCATCTAATCTTAGCATGAATACTAACTAATCAAGGGAATCGCTTGATTAGGACGCAAGCCTACTTGAAATTCAACCTCCACCACCAAGTAATCTCTTTTTATCTTTTTGCCTTTTACTGGGCCAAGCATCATTGAGTTTAAAACAACGATACCCCGTCCAACAAGTCACCATAGTAAAATAGACTTTTTGGCAATGACTGCACTAAATTTTAATGGGATGGGTATTTTCATTTTTTAATAAAATAAAGAGTTTTTCCAAGAAAAAGGAAATTCTTTTTGAAATCTCAATGTACGTATAAATAGTTGATTATATTATCACTTTTATATATACGCAATGAAATTCACCATGTACAATAGTCACGAAGAAGTAGAGAGAGCCATTTCAGAATCTCCAATTCCATTGTGATTCGTACGTACGGATCACACAAATAAAATCTATCACCGCATTCATGGAATTAGGAAGCATAACGCATGTATCGATTGGCTGGCGAATTTCGACCTATCTAGTTTCCCAGTGCACTTCGACCGCGAGTCATATATTTCCGCCATGAAAACCAATCCCGCGATCTTAATATTAGTTGTCGTAGGGACGGCGACATCTTATTACTTAGTAGTCATAATGCCTTCTGGATCCGACATAAGATCCGATTAGTCCATTTTGGCCCTTCTTTTAGTTAACCCACAAGAGGGTAAAAAAAAAAAAAAAACTTAATATTGTCTATCTACTTTATCTACTTAAGAAGTAGATTTTAATTTTTTTCCTATTTAAATTATGCGGGGGTGCGCGAAATGACGATAACGATTAAATCACGATGACTTTGATGGCGATACAAAGCCCATGAATGGACTTTAGACCTTTTGCAAGACCAAACAAAATAGTTAGCATCGTTCTCTTTTCGATGGAGTTCGAAAATAGAAGGGTAGGGAGGAACTTCAAAATCTTTCGTTGTAGCGTCATGGTCGTTGATGAACCCTTCAATATATCCAAAAAACCCGTCCCGCGGTCTTAAACGGCTCGAGGGACGGCGACATCATTCCCGCCTTTGGATCCGACATAAGATCCGATTAGTCCATTTTGGCCCTTCTTTTCTTTTGCTCTCTACTTTATCCACTAAGATATTCGCACCCCTTTTTTTTTCTTTCCACATGGGGGGGTGGGAAAATGACGAATTCATCACGATGACTTTGATGGCGATACAAAGCGCATGAATGGGACTTTAGACCTTTTGCAAGACCAAACAAAATGTTACCATCTCTCTTTTCATGGACGATGAAGGGAGGGGAGGATTAGAGAGACGTTGTGGGGTCATGGTGCACCAACCAAAACCCAAGGCACAAAGAAACTGAGCTAGCAAAACAACATTAGCTGTCAGCCATTTTTTATCCAATCTCTCGTTAAAGTCGCAAGCTTTCTTTCTGCTTGGTGGCCCCCAGAGGAGGCGGTGAAGAGAGAGGCGCACTAGACTTTGGGGGTAAGAACATTGAACGTGCATCTTTAGCCCATGCCAAGGTCTAGATGGACTTTGAATAGCATCGTTTGACTCGAGCGCGGAGTTGCCCCCGGACTTCACTCTGGTCACCAGTGATCCGGTGGGAGTCAATTGGAATATGGACTACGTTTTGGATAGTTCCTCCATTTTAATTTAGTCACATTATATTCAAATTGCGTCTTGGGAGATTTTGACACGGTCTCGTACGCGCTTTTTAGTTTTTTGGTTTTTCATTTGACTCGCTTACCCGATCGCCCCGACTTCACTCTGGTCACCAGTGATCCGGCGGGAGTCGATTGGAGTGCGGGCTACGTTTTGGATAGTTCCTCCAATTAATCTAGTCGCGTTATAATCGAATTGCGTGACGGGTAATTTCGACATGATCTCGTGCGTGCACTCTTGAAATATTTTGCAAAAAAGAAAGAGGAAAGAAATTTGCCCAAAAGTAAATACCATCGATTGATCAATCAAATTGCCTCATCACCGAGGATCAAACAAAAGGCTCCACCCCCTACATTTCCCGTGTCCCACGCACGTCAAGACAGACACAACCAAAAATAGATACCGAAAAAAGAGAAAAAAAAAAAAAGGAAAACGACAAAGAGAATACTGTTTGGGACCCACCAAATTGCCCGAAAACAGAGAGCTCGTGTGGGGTCCAACGTGCCATGATAATTGATACGTACAGTACAGCACCGAGGAACTGTCGCGCGGCGCGAGAGTTGGCGTGCGAATGCGCGTCGCCCATGTCAAAGAACCGCGTGAGCCGCCCCCACGTAACCTGACTTAACCGATTTTCGAAATCCTCTCTTCCATCTTCTTCCTCTCAAGATAATCATCTGATGTTCTGGACCCGACTCGAAGAGCTTGGGAAGAGGAGGGAGAGAAGAGATCATGGTCCCGTAGATGTTGGGACGCGTTCGGAGTCAAAGTCTTGGACGTGCCCTTTACGTGAACAGGCCCCCTTTAACAATGTCCCGTTCCGCCATCGTCGTGCAACTGTAACTGTAACGCCCTCTCGGTCTTAGTCGCTCTCGTTTTGCCCTTTTCTAAGGGGAAGAACTGTTCATCTTCCCGGAGGAGCGAGCGAGCGAGCTTGGGACCCTTTTGGGTGAAGAGTCCGCCTGGTGTGGGGAGATGGAGAGGCGGGTGGTGATCGTGGAGGGAGGAGCGAGGGAGAGCTCGGTCTCCGGCTCGCCGAGCTCGTCGTGCGGTGATGTGGACGGTCTCGGAAGCGGCAGCGGCGGCGTCGACAGTGTCCTCGAGGACTTGATCGGAGTGATCGAGAAGGCCGGGTCCTATGGCGGGTACAGGAAGACGCAGAAGAAGGAGTGCCTGAATCTGGCGAGGAGGTTGAGGCTGCTGGTCCCGCTTTTGGAAGAGATCGGAGAGACCCGCCACGCCGCAAACTTCCCCGGCGATGCATTGGGCGCTACTCTGGATCGTCTGAGGCAAGCGGTGGTTGCGGCTGACAAGTTGTTGAAGCAATGTCACTGTGGAAGCAAGATTTATCTGGTTTGCTACTGTTACCTAGCTGTGTGTGTGCTCATTTGGGTTACTCGTTTTCGATCTTCTGAATCGGGTTTCCATCGAATATGCAGGTGTTGGAGAACGAGGCAGTCATGAGTAGATTCCATGCTGTTTACGATAAGTTAAATGAGGCCTTGGATGATATGCCTTACGATGAGCTCGGGGTCTCAGTTGAAGTCCAGGAACAAGTAAGTTTGCACAGACTCTTTAGTTTAATGACAATGCAGTCTCCTTCAGAGGAAGTTCACGGGTCCAGTTTCGCAGAATCAAGTGGAATACAACTGACTGAGTGAATTCTTGAGCTCAAAGCTCAGTATGCGATTTCACGACGAACAATATATGGCCCTTATGAAGCCAAATTTGTTATTTTAGATGAATTTTGTCTATTGTTCCATCGATCGTTCGCTGACATACTGATGTTCTTATGTATATGAAGGTTGAGCTAATGCGGATGCAACTCAAAAGGGCTCGAAAGAGGAGGGACACGCAGGACATGGAGTTGGCGATGGATCTGATGGTGGTACTATCCGAGAAGGACGGCCGGAATGTGGACAATGCCATCCTACAACGCCTTGCGAACAAATTGGAACTATGGACCTTGTGCGATCTGAAAGCAGAAACAGCTGCTATCACGAAACTCGTGAAGCGATTCGGAAAAGATGCGCAGAACATCCGGCAAATAACAGGCTTATTTGGTAAGTTCAAACGGATCGCGGGGTACGAGGAGCCAAATGCGCCAGATTGTTCTTTTTCCTCGAGGACTCTGGAAAAGTTGCCGTCCTTCTCCGTTCCTCATGAATTCTTATGCCCGATTGCGCTAGAGATAATGACGGATCCTGTTATCGTCGCCACTGGACAGGTAATTCCTCCAACCACCGCCAAAACACATGCATTCTTGCAGAACTCAATAACAAGTAGTTCAACTGAGAAACCGTGAGGCTAAAAGACATGTTTTAAGTGAAGCATCATGCTTCATCTTCTAGCCTCAGCACGCATTGCAAGATAGTTAAAACTCAATCCTCTGCAAATTTTTCTAGACATTGATGTTCATACAACAGTTGGCAATTCAGAGCATGGATTTAAGTAGCTCATGAAATTGATTCGCAAGCTGAGACATCCTTTTTTGTCTATGTAAGACCTACGAAAGAGAGAGCATACAGAAGTGGCTGGATTCGAATCATCGGACGTGCCCAAAGACCGGACAGATCTTGGATCACTTATTGATGGTGCCCAATTACGCCCTCCGCAACCTTATTCTCCAATGGTGCGAGAACAATGACTTCGAGCTCCCCAGAAAGGCTATGTCCGTCGGTTCCAACGGCTCTTCGAGTGAACTCATGAAGCAAGTATCTTGCCTTGTACAAGATCTGTCCTCTTCTCAGCCGGATGCGCGAAGGGACGCGATTCTGAAGCTCCGGGCTCTCTCCAAGGTAAATCCCGATAACAGAATCCTGATAGCCAACGTCGGAGGAATCACACCGCTAGTTCAGCTCTTGTCATTTCCAGACTCTAAAATCCAAGAACACGCCGTGACTGCACTCCTGAACTTGTCCCTCAATGACACGAACAAGAGAGTAATTGCCCGAGAAGGCGCTGTTCCCGCTATAATTGACGTACTGCAGAATGGAACGGATGAGGCGAGGGAGAATTCTGCGGCAGCCTTGTTTAGCATATCGATGCTCGATGAAAACAAGGTGCTTGTGGGCTCCGCGAATGGAATTCCTCCGTTAGTGGAGCTTTTGAAAAACGGAACAGTTCGAGGTAAGAAGGACGCGGCGACCGCGCTTTTCAACTTGTCCTTGCTCCAAGCAAATAAGTCCAGGGCCATCAAGGCGGGCGTCATACCGCCGTTGCTCGATTGGCTCGAGGACAAGAATTTGGGAATGATTGACGAGGCGCTCTCGATCTTGTTGCTTCTTGGGTCGCACCCCAAGGGGCGAAGCGAGATGGGTCAGCTATCTTTCATCAAGACACTGGTGGAGATCATCAAGAACGGGACACCCAAGAACAAGGAGTGTGCAACATCAGTGCTGCTGGTGCTGGGGCTGCACAACTCGTCCTTCGTGTTGACCTCACTTCAGTACGGAGTATACGAACATTTGGTGGAGATCACCCGAAATGGGACTAACAGAGCCCAGAGAAAAGCCAATTCTCTGCTGCAGCACATGAGCAAGTGTGAGCACATCCCCTGAGACGCCGCGAGAATGCGCGGCTTCCTTTCGACTCCCGGTCACGCAGTTCGAGCTCTCGTCGGCGACTCCATGTCTGTGTGGTCCTATGGACAAAGAGGCGAGTACCCAAATAGTGAATCCTGTTCATCTTCTTGTAAACACACGCGGCCATGAGGTTTCAGTTCGAGTTGAATGCGCAGCGAGAGAAGTTCTATCTGCTGAGACTGCGACCTTGATGGATCTGCAGGACATGCCATTTTCATATGTCTCGAGCAGATGAAGGTGAGGCGTGCAAGAGTTCTAGCCAGCCGCCCTCCAAAAGCTGCATATGGAGTTTGCTCAAAGGAGCAACACGATGCAGTCTTTCAAAGATAAAGTCTCACCAGACAGTTTGCTGCTTCAATTGCTGTGACAGACGATTTGGAAGTGATTCTTTGGACTCGTCTTACAATTCGAGCATTTCTTGTAGCTTTGTTTCATTGATTTTTAAATAGGCCAACTGCGTATTTCACATCTCACTTCATCAAAATACCCGCCGTAAATCTCACATAAATACTAGTGCTCTTGCCCATGTTTCATATGTGTTCAAAGTGTTTTTTTTTTTTATATATATATTTTTCAATTGCTAAAAATTCAAACTATACTTTTGTGCATTCTATTTCTATACGATAATGTGTGTAGCCGAATTGATTTTATCATGTTTATATGAATCACGTTATAGTTTGCATAGCGGTCGTCGGTGATTGTCGGCGAGCCTCGCGCGACCCTCGATGGAACATCAGACCGACGACCTAGATCTGAAACTCAGTTCCAGCGAGGGAGACGATGAATAGTAATTGCGAGGGCGAAACTGGAATACGAAAATTAGCGAGCGCAAAAGTTGGAAAGAAAAATAACTCGCTAACCCCGAAAAGCAGCGTTACGAAGGCTCTCCTCACGAGAGAGCGCCGGACCAAAATGCACTCTTAAATATCCTTGGATTTCAAAAAACTAGGTACCCTATCTTCGAGTTGCAAAGAAAACCAAAAATCCGCACGCTCTTCTTCTTCTTCTTCTTCTTCTTATTCTGGTTTTTCGCCCTACCGAATAAGGGAACCAAACAGAAAGAAAAGGAAGAAAATACCCCGCGCCTGCGCACACACACCATCGGGGAAAATACTTGACAAGGCCACGTGGCGGAGCACTGTTGGCCGTCCTTCCGGGGCGTACGATACCAAAACCCAATGGCGTTGGTTGGAATATGCGAACCAAACTGCAGGGAATCCAAACCCCTCCCCGGTCCCCTTCCCTTCCTGTCCTTCTCTCTCTCTCTCTCTCTACCTCGGCGAAAGACTCTCTCCTTCGGCATTGGACGCACACCCAAACGCATAATTCCACCTCTCTCTCTCTCTATCTCGAAGCAAATTCGATCCTGCGTGCCCAGAATCGTCGTTCAGAAGCCGCTCGATCCTCTCCCTCCGATTAGGTGTTTGATTGGGGAGGTCCTTTACCTTAGGGTTAGGGTTTTCCCTTGCTCGATCGATCGGTGGTGGTGGTGGTGGTGCGGGGGGGCGGAGCAAATGGGATCGGAGGGCGATTCGAGCGACGCCAGGGTCGGCGGCGGCGAGGAAGGGGTGGTCGTCAACATACGGTGCTCCAACGGCTCGAAGTTCGCGGTCAGGGCCGGCCTGGACTCCACCGTCGGGGCCTTCAAGGCCGTCCTGGCCCGCAGCTGCGACGTGCCGGCCGATCAGCAGAGGCTGATCTACAAAGGTCGCATTTTGAAGGACGATCAGACCCTCGAAAGTTATGGTACGGTGCCTCCTGGGTCTCTCGTCTCTGATTTCATGGTACTTTGCGCTTGTGTGTGTGTGTGTGTGGGGGGGGGGGGGGGGGGGGGGTTTAGCTGAATAGCGTGTCGGCATCAATGGAGGGTGGGCCGGCCGGGCGGCCGGCGTTGGTTTTGATTGGGGAATTGGCTGCTTAATTGTTTTTATTCCTTGAAGCGGTTCGTGGGAGGGTCAGATTTCAGCTATTATCCTCTAGTATTGATGATGTTTTGTTGCTATGAAAGTGAATTCTTATGCTTTGGCGGCTTATCTTGGGATATCTGGATTTCATGCCTCGAGGGCCTCATCCTATTTTGGTAGATTTTGACCGTTACGATCTCGTGCGGCATTTCGCTAAACAGGACCGATATGGAAAGGACGGCAAATTTTTAACAATTTCGTAATCGGCCGTAGATTGTTATATATATCATAGATATTTGATATCAGGAGTTTTAAGAATCTGGAAGAAAACTTGCGAATTAGTTGTTCGTTTTTCTCTATACGGAACATAAGCCTCTTTGTGGAAGCCTGGTAGTCCCCATAATTGGCACATATGTAGTTCAGAGATTTTCGCCTATTTTTTAGCTTTGGCAGTTTATATCGGGGTTTTCTGGATTTCATGCCTTGAGGGCCTTATCCTATTTCAGTATATTTCGACGGTTATGTTCCCGTGTGACATTTCGTTAAACAGGGCCAGTATGGACCTTTTACAGCAAATTTTAATGATTTCGTTGTCGTAGGTCGTAGAATGTTATTTATATCTTAGATATTTCATATCAGAAGTTATAAGAATCTGGAGAAAACCTGCGAATTAGCTTTTCATTTTTCTCTATATGGAACATAAGCCTCTTCGTGGAAGCCTGGTAGTCCCCATAATTGGTACATATGTCATTGTTAGTTCAGGGATTTTCACCTATTTTTGAGCTACTGAATTAGGTGATCCAAGAATGAATCTCTTTCTCACCTCCCTTTTATTGGAAATGGGGTGTTGGCTAGGACATGGTGTTAATGCAAGTTGTATGTATCCAGTAGAAGAGACCGTGAGCTCCGGGCCTTAGTTTCTCCGAGTCTTGTTTGTGATGGCAATTACTGACAAAAAGCTCGTGTCCAAGGATGTATATATCTAGTTTCCCCCCAAAAAAAGGATGTATTTATCTTTTGATTGTTAGTGAAGGTTGGAAAAGTGTAGGAATGTTGGATGGTCATCCATTTGGTGTCGGAAGTATGATGGACGAGCGCTCTATTGTCAAAAGCTGTGTCAATATCTTGACAGATGCCAGACGCAGACTAGATTCAGATCTAAACCTTTTTCAAATGAGCAAGAACAGCTTGGTCTTAGGAAATTAAGTTGTCGTCTGGTTATCAGACTTCTCCATTTTTAAGGCGTAGATGGTCACGGAGTGTGATCCGTCTCTTCTTCTGCTTCTATTCTAGATCTGAGATCCATCTTGTTGGTTTTCCTCAAGTCTTCTGAGTGAATTATTCTTAGGGTGAAGGAGATGGCTACCTCTGTTAGTCCAAAATCCATTATTAGTTTGAATCCACAAATACTGGACCAAATCACAAGAGGATTTGAGACTTTATGTCTTTCCCTTCTGAAGATATCAAGCTATATCTGATAAATGACCCCGGAAGCACTTAGCACAGACTGTCTCTTTATCAGAATTTTTTCTCTTTTTTCATCTCTCGTCCATTTGATGTCAAAACCTAACTATACTCCCCTGAAAAATAAATTTTCTTTAGGGGTTGCTTTATTCTCAATCAAGTTCTCCAGTGAGATTTGTAGCCTGAACTTGGTGATCATTTGCTTATATACTAGGAGAGCTTCAATCCTGTCTTCGTGTGCCAGTGCTACCGCCTTTTTCTGGTTACATATTCATGTTGAGGAGACTCTTTCTGTGATTTTTTCATTGTTTATGAGATCCATCAGGTGTTTATTCTTGTATCTTTTTCATTTATTAAGGTTTGCCAGCTGATCACAGTGCTGCCACCTCTTTCTGGTTACATATTTATGTTGAGGATACTCTGTCTGTGATTTTTTTCTTTGTTTATGGGATCCCATTTTTATCAGGTGTTTTTTCTTGTTTCTTTTTCATTTATCAAGGTTTGCAAGCTGATCACACAGTTCATATGGTCCGCGGTTTGCCACCAGCAACACCTCCTCCCCCTGCTACTCCTGGAGGTGGAATTTCTGACACTGCACCAGGTGTCACACGAGGTGTTGGCTCCAATGAAGGTGGGGGAGCCGGTCTTGGGGCATCTTTGTTCCCTGGGCTTGGTCTAAATGCTTTGGGTGGGGGTGGGGCCTCTGGATTATTTGGAGCTGGACTTCCAGAATTGGAACAAGTACAGCAACAGCTTACTCAGAACCCCAACATCATGAGGGAAATAATGAATATGCCTGCCATTCAAAACCTGATGAACAATCCTGAGTTAATGCGCAGTTTGATGATGAGCAATCCTCAAATGCGTGAGATAATTGATAGAAACCCTGAGCTGGCACATATACTTAATGATCCTAGTATTCTGCGGCAGACATTAGAGGCTGCAAGGAATCCAGAGCTCATGCGTGAAATGATGCGAAATACGGACAGAGCTATGAGTAACATTGAAGCTTCTCCTGAGGGGTTTAACATGTTGCGACGCATGTATGAAAATGTACAAGAACCTTTCCTTAATGCCACAACAATGGGCGGAAATAATGGAAATGATGTGGGTTCAAACCCATTTGCAGCTCTTTTAGGAGGCAGAGGTGGTGCTCAGGGCAGGGATGGGACTAACAATCCTTCAAGCCCTGGTTCCGAAACAGGTCAGGGGCCCACTGCCCCAAATACAAATCCACTACCTAATCCCTGGAGTAATGCCAGCGGTGAGTGTTGACTTCTTCTCTTGCTATACTTAAGCAAATCTTCTTTGTCGAGCTACGGATTCCCACGTATAAATATTGTTGCAATATGGCCAAAGCTAATAGAAGTCTCCAGCCACTGTTAACTTCATAGGAGATGCACCTCTTCAAAGATCAGCGGCTTTCCCTGATCTTCCGAGCTGTGTAAAATACTGTATGAATGAGAGGCCTTTATATAGCTACTTCCATCCAGAGAATTGTCATTACTCATGCGAACTTCATCTGCGGATACTGTTTCTGCAGTCAGCACATTATAATTAGTTACTTGGTGATGGTAATCTGGCAGCTATCAATTAGCTGGATTCCCCCCCTCCCCCGCCCCCACGAAATAGTCATTGTGTACATCTGGCAGCTATGAATTAGCTGGACTCACAATGCTTTTGGGTGGAAAATGTTTAGTTTTTGTTTCTTAAAATATCTAAGAACGCTGTTTTTATTTTCCAAAATGAGTAGTTTTCCTTTTAAAACATTCTATGTAAAACATTGTCTTGATATTAATGATGTCTATCTCTAGCTTGCCCATAGGATTTGAGGTTTTCGTTTGTTGGTGGTTTCAGGGCCCACACAGACAAATACTACAGCGAGGTCAACCCCTGTCGGGGAAGCAAGAGCACCTGGGGTTACTGGTTTGGGAGGGCTTGGTCTCACAGGGATGGATCAAATGTTCGCTGGCATGCCGGACACAACGATGATGAGCCAGTTAATGCAAAATCCCGCTATGTCCCAGATGATGCAGACCCTAATTTCGAATCCTCAGTACATAAATCAGGTAGCAATATGAACGATAATGATGTTTTTCTTTCGGGTCGAGTTTGCCTCAATTCACCATCTTATAAATCTTTATCTTGAATTATAGATTATCAACCTCAACCCTCAGCTGCGAAGTATGGTTGATGCAAATCCCCAAGTGAGGGAAATGATGCAAAATCCTGAGATGTTGCAGGTACTAGAAGTTTGAGGTGTTGTGTAATGCTTATACTGATACACACTGGCATTTACTCTCACTATATGTTGTAGATATGGTTGGGTTTTATCTGTCTTCTTTGTTTGTGGATATGTGGACTTGGAGATGTTTGCCGTTTGGATATGAAGTATTAAATTGATGTTGTTAATTGCAAATGGATGGTCTTGTCTACATCCTCTCTATTTAGATGAAACGTTCTGTTGAATATTTGGTTTGGTTTCATGAAATCTCTTTAAGAATAGTTCGGACCTCTATGTTAAAATCAATGAATTGCATGATACACTCAGAAAGTAAGGAGCGCAGAGCGAGCTCTACTGACATGCACACCAAATGGAAAAGGAGAATAGGGAGAAGATTGATGGTGTGGGAAATGGGGGGGGGGGGGGGGGGGTGGTTGGGGATTACTTTGTGATTGCTAGTGCTATATAGCATTAGGAGAATATTACCTAGCAAATTCTTGAAATTAACTCTCTTGCTTTCTACACTTTCATGCAGCAAATGCTAGCAGTGCAGCAGTCACTTTTTGCTCAACTAAATCGGTCACAAACAACCCAGTAAGTTGCTTGAAGCTAAAGAAATTGAAGAAAGGGTGGACTTGGTTTTTGCGATAAGCTGATCAATTAAATGCTTCCTCTATCTATGTAGCTTCTGTTACATTGTTCCTTAGCTGAACGAAAAAAAAAAATCTGAAAACTTAATTTGCTGGATCTTGTTATTCCACTTCCTCTCTCTCGTTTCTTTTGTTGGGTTTCTTGTGGTTACTGACATACTTCTCATGCAGGGAACCGGGTCAGACAGGGGGGACTGCAGGTAGCTAGATATTGTCAAGAGTCCTAACACCTGGACATGCTTGATTTATTACATTTAGCTTCATTTTTTCCTTATTACTTTCGAATTTGATCTCTTGATTCTCTGAATATGCTTTCCATCTACCAGGAACAATGAATAACGCGGGGGGGCTGGAGTTATTGATGAATATGTTTGGTGGTCTTGGAGCTGGCGGTTTTACAGTACCAAACACACCAGATGGTTTGCACCTTTTTCCATCTTCTCCATCTCAACCATCTTTCGAGGAGTTTTTGCTTTGAGTGCAATACTATTCAGCTTCTTAACCATGAAGTTTGTTCTTAATTTCTTTTTCCGGCAGTACCTCCGGAAGAACTTTATGCAACTCAGCTGTCACAACTTCAAGAAATGGGTTTCTACGACACGCAGGAGAACATCAGGGCACTGCGTGCTACCTCTGGGAATGTTCATGCTGCTGTCGAGCGTCTTTTGGGGAATCCTGGTCAGTGAGGCATTTGAGGCTCCTTTTTTTTTTTTCCTTAAATCGGGAGAATTCATGGTTGTGTAGGATTATTCAGTTTGGATTATACTGTACAATGGGACCATGCAGAAGAAGGATACACCCCATTTTGGACCAGCGAATAAGAATTGTGGGAAAAACAGGTTCTTACCGTCGACTAGCTTATCGCTCGTCCCTTTTGTGTCTTTCTTCCTCTTATTGGGTTATTTGTACATACGTCAATTATAGCACTTGTCTCGTTTTCTTTTTTTTTTCTTGGAAAAATTTTCCCTAATTTGATGTGAACTAGGGCGTTTTGATTTTCGCGTTGAAGTTGCTCATTCTTAATTGGTGTTCAGAATTTTCGGTCCTGTGGTTTAGTGGCATGATTCTCAGGTCGACAGCGAGAGCGCAGTTACAAGTCATTGTACTTTTTCTCTTCATCTGACTATCTACCTTCTCCTTGCCTTGTTTTGAGCATGTTGATTGTTCGATTCTCTCTCTGCGAGTAAGCGTAGCTCTACCTTCTTGTTTGTGTTTGTATCATGTTGCTGTCCAACGACATAACGTGGCAAAGATTAGTTCCTCGGCGAGATCTGTCAAACGGGCTGAAAATAGTTCGACTCAAATTGCTCTCATATAACCCATTTTGACCCAATTTCATGCGATACAAAATTAGTGACCCGTATCTGATCCCACCAATAACCGACTCGATCTGTCCTGATTTATATTGTTAAAATATTTTTATATTTAACCCAACTTAGGGAAAGTTATACCTAGATTAGGGTGAAAGCATGTAGCGGGTGAAATCGAGTGAAGGAAAGAGAGTTATAGATGTGGTTTAGGTTTAAGTAAATTATGGATTCATTTAACATCAATATTATTCATTTATGAACCTAGGAATTGGGTCTAAATACATTTATGTAAAAGCTCAGTACATCAAATATTAATTAAGAATATCCGTTTTGATAGGTCTACTCTCGGCCAATGACTAAATGCCCCTCTCGACGCCGGGTAATTATTTTCTTCAGTAGATGAGGGTGACGGATGGATGATCCGGCGGTTTTCTTTGGACATGTGCTTTGCTAAATTGGATGGTGAGACTTTGAGAAGGTTTTAGAGCTTCGAAAACTCTCGGCAAAATCATTTCTATTTTTTTAGTGGATGAAAAATACTATAGGGTTAATACCTAAATTAGTACACTTGTGATAAATTCACCATAAATTAATTTTTTGATTATCAAAAATCTCAAACTGGTACACCTATAACGAATTTGTCCCAAATTAATTTTTTGACTACAAAAAATCTCTAAACTGGTACATTTGCGATAAATTTATCCTCCGTTAAATTAGATTAATACCACGAAAAATCATAAATTGTTACATTTGTGATAAACAGAGAGTAAATTAGTACGCTCGCCACCTATCGTGTGTTATCCAATTCAGAAATTTGACGGAAAAATTTAACGGAAACTAACGGAGGGTAAATTTATCACGGATGTACCAGTTTTGGATTTTTTATGGTCAGAAAATTAGTTTGGGGTAAATTTGTTATAAGTGTACTAATTTAAGGTTTTTCGTGGTGTTAGCCCAATACTAAAACTTGTTGATCCGTTAGCTCTCTCGATTTTTCTCGGACATAAAATCAATGTGGCTCTCTTTTAGTTTTTTTTTTTTTTTGGTCTTTGCACAATTGGCATAGATGTGGTACCACCTTAGAAAAAGTGGCTGTAATAAAAAAAAGAGTTAATACTACGAAAAACCCTAAACTGATTTTCAAATTAATTTTTTGACCGTAAAAAACATCAAATTGGTATATCCGTGACAAATTTACCCTAAACTAATTTTTTGACTATAAAAAATCTCAAATTGGTACACCCGTGATAAATTTATCCAAAATTAATTTTTTCACTACAAAAAAACCCCAAATTTGTATACATGTAACAAATTTGGGGTTGCTTTAAAATAAAAAAATATAGAAAAATTAAGAAATCTTAGACAGTCCGGTCGGTCCGATTCCAGTTCCTTGTGTGGAACCGACTGTCTCTAAAACCATCTAAGACCGGCTGGTTTGGTCCGGTTCCCGAGTTAGATCGGGATCGATGCATACCCTTGGATTGGAGGGGCTGGACAACAAATAAGAAGAATCGGAGGGGACTGATTCCGAAGTTTCTTTTCTTGGGTTGGAGCCAAACAAAACCTCTCCCGTCTCCACCCTCCCTTCTTCCCTCCCTTCCCCTCACATTCTCGCGGGGGGCCTTTCTCCGAGCGGTTTTCAAAATCCCACCCAGCAGCAGCAGCAGCTACAGGTACTGCACCCCACTTCCTTCTCTCCGATTTCAATGGCGAATCCTCATCGTCTCTTTTGATTTTCTCCTGGTGGGCATGCTCGCGGCTCGTTGATTTTCGTGCTGTTTTGTTTTTGGGGGTGGGTCGGGGCCGCAAATCGATCGCCCAATTTGATTTCTCCGGACATTCCGAGCTCCGTTTCCCCGTTTCGATTCCGTTCGTGGGATGCTTTTGTCTGGCGGTTACCCCTTCGGTTTTGGTCGGAATTCAGCGGGGAAGCGGGGGCAAAAAATTTCGCTCTTAACGATTTGATGCGAATGTCTGGCTTAGAGATTGCCGAGATTGCCTACTGCGATATATGTAGTGGCCATCTGTCTCTGGGTATCGGTTATGTCGGTTTCGGCTGTCGCTCCCTTTTGCTTTGGCTCTGTATGCGGGTCGATGCTTCTCTGTTAAGTGCATGTATCCTTATGGGGACTTGGCTAAACTCGGAAGATGTGTGCGTCGATATGGAAATGTAATCAATGAGAAGCTTAATCAAGATTCTTATGTACTCGGGGCACAGGGTGCTGACCTCCGGGAACTGCTGATGATGGAGGGTAAGAAGGGCTTAAAAAGTAAAGAGCAATAATTAGCTTCGAAGATGTTTGTCCGTTTTCTCGATCGTCAATGCTCGTCTATTTGTTAGTGGTAAAGTGCATGCTCTTCTTTCCCGGTTGCCGAACTTTCACGGGGAACGGTACAAGACAAGAATTTTCCTTCCGGGGAAATCCCGTAATGGGAAAATTAAGAGTTGAAGTGATAGTGAATTACTGGGCATAAGGAATACGACACCCTCTCCCCTTTTGAAACTGGACTTTTTATTTTTTAAGCATGAGTGCCGGGCGACTCATCCTCATGAGATACATTCTCCTCCTAGAGTATGTTGTTACAATGAAGCTGATCGGCATGAAAGTTTCCTGAGATGGATATTAGCATATCATTAGATTGCTCTTACGAAACTCATAAGAAAGCACATGTTTATCTCTCGTCTTGCCATTAATAGTTAATTTCTGAAGCTTGACTCCATTTTACAACTCAAAGACGCTATTCCGTCGGTCATTGTGTTAATTGTGTTGTAATCCTATTTCGTCTTTTCAGCTCTACACTTATTCAATGCCCTTTCTTATTCTATAATTATTCAATGGTTGCTTTCTTGGTGTTCATTGTTCAGAGCTCAAAATGCTTCAGATGGGTCAACAAGCATCTGACCAGAAATATTTCACCGAGCAAGGGCAGGGAAGAAGTGAATATGATTTGGCCTCTGGCAATAAACCCTTGCCACTTGTTGCAAAGAAGACGGCGTTGAGGGAGTTGCAGAATGAGAATAGAGTCCTGGTCCCTAAGTCCAATGGAAGTTCTTTGAAAAATAAAGTTCCAACAGTTGATGCAGTCAAGGTTTCTGGTGCTAAGAGACCCTCTTCCGAGTTGCTAGCTAATCTGCCTTGCAACCAGACTTCGCCTAGTACCGCAGCAAACAACCATCTAGTCTATGTCCGGAGAAAATCAGATGCAGAACTAGGCAAGAGCGGCATTTGTGAAAGCACTTCTGGTGGTGCTGGTTGTCCAGAAATTATGCTAAATTGTCAGGAGGAATTGCCTGAACTGCAATCCCAGATAAAGGAGCCAAAGCCTTCTTGCTTTCCAGCACTTGCACCTTTGCCTGTTGATTATTCACTGAGCTCATCGGGAAAACCTTCAATTCATCCGATCGGAATATCCTGTGTAAAGTCAGCATTGACAGGACCTCATCATGACTCTGATACTGCAGGTGGCTCCGCATTGAAGAGAACAAAATATTTGCACTGGGAAGAGAGATATTATCAATTGCAGCAACTGTTGAGCAACTTGGAGCAATCGGATCCAATGGATTACCTGCAAAGTATTCCCTTTCTGTTGGATAAGTTTCTCAGATCAATTTATTTTTCTTTTAAATTTTTCGCAGTACTAATACTTTGTTTTTGGTTTTGAATCTGTTAGTGCTTAGATCCCTCTCTTCGGTGGAACTTAGTCGGCTTGCTGTTGAGTTGGAGAAAAGGTCCATTCAGTTGTCACTGGAGGAAGGTTAGATGAAACCGGCGATTTCATCCTCTTGTTGATTTCAGATATTTGTTGTTTTTTTTCCCTTTCTAATGTTCTCATATCAAAATGATTTCACTGAACCTACTTTGGGGCAGAAATAGAGAGAGAACTTGCAAAAGCACCGGCGAATTATTCTTTGTGCGTGCATTACTTCTTGATATATGACTTGAGCTATTTCAAACTGCTTAATTGACTTCCCTCGAAAATTATCAGGTTTAAATGTATGATTTATGCTTTGTCGATGTGTCACTGTACTGAAATTAGGATGTGCTTCAGTGTAATTTGGCGTCATATTTCCTTACAAGATATCAATTGCTTGGTAAAGCAGCCCACCAAAACCATGGTAGCATGTTTGTGTCAGTAAAGCCCCACCCTACAATGCTATAGTGAGGAGTAATTGCCTTTTAATTATTGATGGACATCCCCATTTTTTTTCCTGAATGGTTGATTTCTGATGGCTATTGTGAAAGTTATGGGCTATCCATTTCTCTTTCTGTGCCTGAGTATTTTTATTCGCTGCGGTCTGCAATAGGAAGCCAGTGGATGCTACTTTCTCACTCTTTCTATTTTACTTGTTATTGCAGCAAAAGAGATGCAACGGGTTGGGACTCTAAATGTTCTGGGAAAATCCAGCACCTGAAGCATTCGTATTCTTGGCCAGAGAGGGGTAATGTGACGAGCTCACTATTCTTTCATCAGCTCTGTGCACTAGTTGGCTTCATGATAGAATTTTCTGTATCATTTGTAACACGTCCGTCACAGTTTCTGCTGTATTCCTCTAGACCGGGAACTTGTCCTAAAACGCAAGCTTTCTCAATGGTATGCAATCTGTATGGCAGCTTCGAACTCTAAAGTTCGTGCACTCTAGATTATGAAGTAGTCTTTGCAGAAACTTGACATTGCTAAAGTGTCTGGGGGCATTGGTTTGATGGCTGTCGCCCTTTTGTGCTTGACGAACATTTAAGTTGGGTGGGCAGGCCGGAAGGATAAGGCCGAAAATTTTTCGGGCTTGTAACTAACCAGCCGCGGCTTTAGGTGTGCTCGAGCTTACCTTCAGGAGTAGAGACGAACACGAAACAAAGAGAAATTCAATCGCTTCGAAACCTCGTGAGAAGAAGCATAACAGCAAATGAAACATTCTCAAATTTGCCAAGAGCCACTGGAAATATATGTAGAGATCAGAGAAAAAGAAGAAGAAAGCCGTGTGTGCTCATTGGAATAGAGAGAGAGAGAGAGATCATGGGTTATATTTTGTCACGTGCAGATTTCATGGGGAATGTGGAGATGCACGTGGATTACATCTTTGTCCCCACCCCCTCCTGCAGAGATTGGACTGAAACAGTAGAGAAGGGGCATTATGGTCATTCGACATTATGGATAACCATTCCGTACTAACCGAAAATAACCGCCTGTCCACAATGTCCTATCCGAAGTCCTAAGTAACCGCTCACTTCCCCCCACTACATAAGCCACTCCATTGCCGTCGGTTAAACTTTTTTGCCAACCCTTTCTCCCTCACAACTTTTCTGTAGCGACAACATGAACACCGATTCCGACTTCCATTTCGCTCTCCCTCCGACCCATGAGATCATCACTTCCTTCGCCTCGATCCCCACCACCAACTCCTCCCTTGCGAGATATGACCCGAACCCGCGCAAGAAGCGCGCCCGACCAATACAGCTCGATCCCAACTTGAGTGTGCCGAGTCCCTCGGGCGTCTCCAGGCCCAAGTATGGGAAGAAGCCCGACCCCGGGTTGCCGAAGATCACCCGGCCGTGCAGCGAGTGCGGGAAGAAGTTCTGGTCGTGGAAGGCCCTGTTCGGCCACATGCGGTGCCACCCCGAGCGCCAGTGGCGCGGGATGAACCCGCCGGTGAACTTCCGGCCGGTCGGGGATTCTCCCGCGAAGTCGTCGAGCAGTACCGTGGTCGATCATGGGCTGATGACGGAAGAGGATCACGAAGTCGCAATGTGCTTGCTTATGCTGGCTAACAACGCTCCGATGTACGTGGATTCGCCTTGTGCCACAACAGCCAATGAAGGGCATCGGAATTCCGACGCATTTCCCGTGGGAGACGCGCGAATGGGGGTCGATCACAATGCAGACGGGGGAGGCCGGTCGGATTTGAACTGTCAGTTCGAGTGCTCGAGTTGCAAGAAGGTGTTCGGGTCCCACCAGGCCTTAGGGGGGCACAGGGCAAGCCATAAGAACGTCAAGGGCTGTTTCGCAATGGCGAGGAGTGGTGACAGTGAGGTGGGTTTCCATAATGTCAGTTACTCGTTAGACTGTAGTCAGGACTTCATTGCGCCCTTTAAGGACCAAAATGGGGAGGATAATATGACGCTTGATATAGGGCACCAATGCAGCATCTGCCTGAAGGTCTTCCCTAGTGGTCAAGCCCTTGGTGGGCACAAGAGGTGCCACTGGGAGAAAGGAGAAGAGCCATTCTTGGCGCAAGGTCTCGACCCTTTCGCGACGAAAGAGCCGCCGCTGCCTTCTCCTTTGGACTTAAATTTGCCTGCCTCTGCTGGAGAGGACTCGTCCTCGTCTTGCTTTTCTGATCTGACTCTGGATTTGAGGTTGGGAATTTGATTATGCTGCGGGTCTGGTTTTCTAAGTTTGCTGTGTGTCATTTGAAGTTGTGCTGTTCTATGTGTACCATTGATATCTCTGACTTGGATAGGGTTGTTGGGCACCACAATAGAAAAGGCCCAAAATTGCCTTTCATTCGTTTATTAAGTGGGTTATAGTGAGATTATATGTTGTTATTGGTGATGATGCAGTAAAGTTTCCTAAACAGAATTTGTTGAATTCTTCCACTGTGCATACTTTTTTTTTTTCTGGTCTTTTTGTTCACTGATTAACGTCGACTGCAACGTCTGGTGCTACGCAAAGGAAATCTGATAATTGATGCTTCATTAAGGACGATGAGCTCTGGAAATTGCGTGCTCTTGTTGTGGCTCTTGATCTGATGATTTCCAAAAGCAAAATATTCGGCTACAGCATAGGTGAATTTCAACATAACGACTCGATAATCTGATGTCAATTATACTGTGTAGAGGATGTCTATCAACACTGATACGATCACTATGCCAAACTTCCCCCTTAATTGTACATTGCATTCTGGCTATCCGGATATCACCTTTGGGCGATTCTGAGGAACACTCTTTAAGCCGACAAAAGTTACTGGAATACGTAGATTTCTTTCTTCAGTTTCTCTGCTATATTATTCTGTACTTTCCCATCCAAGCAACTGAACTCTAAACGTTGAAACAGTTCCAACTTCTTCAAAGCACACTATTTATCCACTCCACAATAATCTGGTTATGATCATCGGTCATCAGATCATATGTAATAGCTACCTTGCTAATTTCTTTGCGAAAATAGATTCTGTCGACCAAAATGGTAGGATCGTCCCCACATTTATGAAGTTGGATTTTGACGTTTGATAATGTACAGACCCGTCAATCAGGGTTGTTAACTTGATGCATTCATCATAATTGAAGGGTAGTGGCTGAAGGCACCATTCACTGTGAAATTACATGATAACAACTTTGACAATACATTCATGTTTATTGGAATTGGAATTAGTCTAGAGAAGGAACCCATCAACGCCGTCACAATCAAAGTATTCGTGCTCCTAGGAAGTTCACGGCAGCTTCGCATAAGAGACGTGGTGTGTAAGTCGCCGCAAAACCTCTCATTCTTTTACAGGAAAATATTATGGGAGCCGAATTGCTTATTGGGTGCGCGCAGTAAAAGGTCATATGGTTAATCTGTGTTTGGCAGATTCAAGATGCAACGCGACCTTCGTAGTTTGCCCAACTTTCAGAAGTAAGAAAATTTGATTGCATCGGTCTGTTCTGTTTGCTAGATGAATACCGAGAATGAACTAAAATTCCCTTGTCAAACGATATTGCGTTGATTTTCTTGAAACTTAAAAGAGTTCTCTGAACGAGTCTTTATTTCCAAACAATCAGATCTTCTTTCGCAGCTGGCCTTGGTTTGTATTTCCATATGATCATGTTGCAGAAAAACAAAGTGGTGACGTATTCGTTGCAATATCTCGGTTTAAAGTTTAAACACTCATTGTGCAGATTATTATACTGTCGAATATTCATATCGTGGACAGTGAGACGTGCTCATAAAATCTGGACAGTGAGTCATAATCAAATTAAGGTTTTTGTCTCGGAATATTACGATACTCAATGACTAAATCAAGGGTTCATCATTGCGTATCCAGCTTGAATCCACATTAAGATACCTTTTCAAATGCTTCATCTTCTCTCAGATTTCAGAAAACTTATGATCCTCTCGATTGCCGACTTTATTCTATAGAAAAAACGTATGGTAGAATCTTCCTGCTGAATATAAAAACAAGCTAGCATACATCAATAATGAATCCCTTTAGTATCTTGCACCCGATTCTATTGACTTGCGGTATCCACATCCCTAAACGTCGTAATCGACACCGTAATAATGCACTAAACAAATGACGTTTGACCCTAAATGCTGATGCAAACTGCCAAAAAGCGTGCGCCGAATATGCAGCTCGCTGAGATTGAAAAGAATACAGCTCAAAACTTGGCAATATCGTTTTATAATTAAAGCTATACGTGTATAATTAGCAGCACCAGCCAATCTCTTCACAGCATCTTATTCAACGGCATCTTTCGAGGACTCGGTACTGTGAAAGGCCGGGAATTGCCGGTCTCTGGTGATATTCCATGCCCGAGCTATATACTGGGACAGTTGATACAAGGGGCCGAAATTCCGATGACGATACTCGCAAAAATAGAAATGAAGATACCGCATTATTCGTGTTTGCGCCAAACTGATGACGGTATCTGGAAGTTTTGCCCGACGCCTGCCGTCATAGCGAACTCAAAACGGAAAATCTCTATCCGTTTTATAACTGTTGTTCATCGGCTGCTGAAAAACATCTAGGTTTAGCTAAACAACCATGGACCCTTTCGTCAAGAACTACTAAGAGGCCAACAAATTTGTCAACTGCTAGAAAACCGTGCAACTTCATGGAAAAGGGTCATCTTTCATCTAGAAGACTCGACACTTGAACAACAGCCGTGCAACTTCATGGAAAAGGGTCATCTTTCATCTAGAAGGCTCGACACTTGAACAGCAACTGCGTAAGTTCATAGAAAATGGTCGTGTTTCACAAAAAGAGGTGAGGAAAAAATGAAAGAAAAAGGTGAGAATCGTAACCCCACCACGCAAAAGGCCAATTTGCTTATCAAGTGGCGAAAAGAAAATTCCGGGTATGACAAAGTTCGTCATCGACGACGGCGGGGAGAAGCATCATTGGTAGAGGATCGAAATGATTTATCGTGCAAGTGGATGGGTCATCGTCTCAACTGATCCATCAGTGAAGTCCACAATAATTGTGCCCTTCAAGAGCTTTCCGTGTAACACAAAAGTACAAGAAATCCAATTGTTTAGCACATGAGTGCATCCACAAATCCCATCTTAAAATAGAAGTTATTGGAACAGTTCACACTTTACAACACATATTCAACTCACACATACATCATTCAGGAGAGCAACACAAAAACATTTCTTACAAGTTCGATGCTTGTTTGGTTTTTCGACCAAAAAAAAAAAAATGCTGAGGTTGGGAAAAAAAAAGATCGTAATCGCAATTTGGTTGTTGTTTAAGACCTTTCGTTTTCGATGACTCATCGTCATTGATTTTCCTAAATTTGGTACCAAACGCTTGCGAATACGACAGCGACTCTCGAATTGATTATCGCCCTCCATCAACTATCGATCGTGCTTATTACGCCCGAGTCAAATTAACCAAAACATTGAGGACCACAAGTTGATTCTTTATGTCTAATATACTATTGGCCGTTGATTTTTAAGCCTTCAATGCATCTGGGTTGGGTACACAACAATATCTTATATTTAGATATATTTATACACACACACATATCTGATCTAATCTCTCTATTTATGTGCTAATCAATGAATTTGATATGGGAATTAAATTAATTTAATCCTTAATTGAAAATCACTTGGGGTGTTTCCTGGTAAGCAACAGTGGTAGGGCCTGCAGTATGAATAAGCTTTAAGCCTCGTCTCACACAAAGTGGACCACATGTCATGACCACGAGGATTCCATTATGCAGTATGAATATGTCGTGCGAATTGATATGTTTGTAAGAAATAGAATCGGAACGTGGTCGGACTTTGAGGCGTATAATCATTCTCTTTTAGGATTAATTTGCCCCGTGAAGTTATTGTAGGTTACTGGCAAATTCCCTTCAGGATATAATAAAGTTAAGGTGAGAATACTGGATAGCAATTCCAGTAAATTTCCTAAAACTCTTTGCAAAACAATTGAGAAAATGACTGTCTCATTTTTTCTTTTAAAGAATACGAAAATGAAGGGAGTTCTGTTCTTCTATCAATTGAATAGAATTGTCCAATATATATAAGCAAATAGAACACACCTCTTGATGTCTAACTACCAATACGAACACACTTATTTACGTCCGAAAAGTTGCAATTCGGACATTACCCTTCGTGCGCGAAAACCGCCATTCGAACACAACCGTTCATATTCGAAAAGTTGCAATTTGGACACAACTTTTCAAGCATGAAAACTGTCAATTTTGGACATACCTTTTCGTGTCCTAAAATTGATAGTTTTGTCCGAATAGACATAACCTTCCAAAGGTTGTAAGAGAGCTTAATTACCGCTAGGCAGAAAATAAAAATTCAAAATTAAATTATTAAAAATAACCGTGACTCTATTGCGAACAGTCACACTGCTTCAATGGGACAAAACAGTTATTTTATAATAGTAAATTCGAAATTTAATAAATAAAAAATAAATAAAATAAAAATAGATTGTTGATTAAGGCTTATTTTGGTCCGTGGCACGTATGCGTGCTAAGTGCGCGTTAAAATCGCGCACCCGCACACTGGTATTGTGGGGTCTAGCACATTCACCTATTTTCTCCATTTATAATAAATGATAATACTTTAACTTATGAATAGACCAAAACTTTCCTTTCTTTCCTACGTGGGACAAGGAAATAACCTTTTTTGTTTGTTTTACAAACAAACACCGACAGAATATACTATAAAGCGATCAATTACTTTGTTAAATTCATGAAATACTCAAATAATATAAATTGTACGAGTGGTTGCTTAGCTCATATACAATGGCTTAGATGCGGGGACTCGAGGCTTGTCCCCAAAAGTTTTTGAGGGTCACATGCATATGCATATGGGGGGTTGCATGATGAATTTGGTCCCTTCGAGTGGCCCATGGAGAAATAGATTTTCTTGAGGGATGCCACTCAGATGGTTAGGTTTTTAAATGGTGGGTTCTGATCGAGATGGCGTAAATAATTGATTTTATCATATTGTAAAATTATTAGGTATTCTTTTAATGAGGCGGCGGAGCGGAACAAGTTGAAACGAATCAGAAAAGGATCGATCATAATCTTTATTTTTTTTTTTCGTGCGTACATATTTGACTATGAAAAAAGAAACCGGATATCGACAATGGGTGATTCGCAACATGCTCTTGAAAGTGATTCACATGTTTGGTCCCAAAGAGAAATAGTCATCACTTGCTTTCCTTCTTTTCAGAACTACCAAACCGACAAGATCGGACATTCAATAATGTTTTCTAACCGACCAAAAAAAAAAAAAAATAATAATAATAATGTTTTCTAGAATCTTGTAATGAACCATGCTTTTCTTGAGAAAATTTAGAATACTATTGGCAGATTTTGGCAGGAATCTTTTTCATCACACGCTTCACAATTCAAAAGACCAAAAGAAAAAAATAAGAAAAGAAAAGAAAAGAGAAAGTCATCCGGGGAATCTCTAAGAAAAATGCCAACTTTAGCTTCTCAGTGCCTATAACTTCCTGGAATCTTCCCCTCTTTTACCACTCTACATTGTCTACCATTAGTCTATTGACTCGAGGGGGGAGATCTTTAAGGTTCTTTATAAATTTTTTCCATTATTTTTCTATTTTTCTTGCAGACGGATTGATCTCACCGTACGTTCAGAGGTAGTGGAGTACATACAAGGATGCCTGGCCTGGGAAAATGATTATGACTGAGGGGAAAGTATCAGAAAATTCGAAGTAGCAAATTTTTTTTGTGGGTCCCACTTTTTTTTTTTTTTTTTTTTTTTGGAAGGGTAGATTCTTGCACCAGCATAACATGCGGTAACGATATACCCAGAACAAGAAGACAACAACCGAGTACATAGTTTGGCGGAATTCAGGCAAAATTAGCTCTTTTTCATGTGGACAAGGGGTTTTGGAAGAGAGAGAGAGAGAGAGAGAGAGAGAGAGAGAGAGGGAGAAGGACTAGAAGTGATGGACCCTTTTATCAGCCAAATCTTTGTTGGTGATGTATTGCTCTTTGTTGCTCAGATATAGATTTGCTCTTTGTTGCTCAGATATAGATTTGCCCGAGGCATATTAATCATACCCACCTCAAAAAGACCAAGTTCTGGTTGGAAAAGTGAGTGACTTTATCTTTCTTTCTCAAAAATTTAGAGTTTTTGGTTGTTTTCTGGATCTCTCCTGTTTCTGTTGATTAGTAGAGGGAAGACCCTGTGTTACTTCGAACGGTTAAGAGACTATCCTTTCGTCTGGATCTCGTTTCTCCTCCTGTTTGTATTAGTTAATTTAGGTGAGCGGTGCAGAGCATCCAAGCCTTGAAGCAGTAGAATTGCTTGTTCCCATTTTCAAGGACTATATGAGTGTTCATCTTCATCTTCCTCTTCATCTTCTTTTTTCGATAATTAAAGACCCGTTTGAATCTGATTTTTATGGGTTTTGAGTTCTTCGCTATAGGCGAAGTTGCTTATCTTGGAGTTTCGAAATGACACTCTCTCCTCCTGTTGTTTTCATTAATTTAAGTCCAATTTGTAAATCCTGACATCACTACCTAACGTCAATTTGATTTCTAAATGGGCTTTCTTCTCTTTTAAGATATATTATGAGCATAATTTTCGCTTGACAAATTGCCGCCTCTGGTTTTTCCAACCAAGCTGATGCTGTATTGCTATTAGACAATCGGGTTCACTGAAGACTCGGGCAATATACTCCAAATTTTGTGAATTCAATCCCACCCACTCTTTCAAACAGCTTTCCTGAAAAGAACTGTTAGTTCCTTACTTTGCCCCCCTGAAATGCTTTTCTGATAGCAGTTCCTAATCAATTTTTCTTGATGATGTTTCGGCAACTCAGACAAATCAGAACGTTCGACGAGGCCGACATAAATCCTTCCTGGAAGTTCCTCTTTCTGTTTTTCATCTTCACCGTGCTTCTGTGTTTTGGGTCGTAATGATGTTGCGACTGACAACTCAGTGATTACTGGTTGTGGTATCTGCTTGATTATTTGAGGATAGAAAATAATGGAGCATATTGCTTTCACCCCTAATTCCACAAGTGAGAATCTCTTGGATTCTGCCATGGACTTGGACTTGATGGATCAACTCTTGTTCGAAGGATGCTGGTTAGAAACAGATGCCCTCAACTATTTGCCTTTGACAGAGTCTGATCAAGCCAATTATTATCCATTTCAGAGCATCTTTCAAGAGGAGGCAAGAAAAGACTTTGCCGAAAGTCCACCCTCAACATGTCCTAGAATAGAGGAAAGATTGGAGATGGAGCAGAAAAATATTGATCCTTTTGAAGCTACAGCATCTTCAAGTCAATCCGAAGGTTTTCAGGTTGAAGGCACCGAAGTTGGGAGACGGTGGTGGATTGCCCCAACGGCAAGCCCGGGTCACTCTTCCTCCGTGAAGCAGAGATTGATGATGGCTCTTGGGCGTCTGAAAGAATGCACTAAGGACAAAGATGTGCTTGTTCAAATATGGGTGCCGGTAAAGAAAGGAGGGAGGAACGTGCTTACGACGAATGATCAGCCATATGTCTATGATCCTAGCAGCAAGAGCCTTGAGAGCTACAGAAATGTTTCAAAAACATATCAGTTCCTGGCCGACGAGGACACTAATGAGTCTGTTGGCTTGCCAGGTCGGGTTTTCTTGGGGAAGCTCCCAGAGTGGACTCCTGATGTTCGCTTCTTCAGTAGTGAAGAGTACCCACGTCGCGACTATGCTCAGCAGTATGATGTCCACGGGTCCCTTGCACTTCCTGTTTTTGAACGGGGCAGCGGGACTTGCTTAGGTGTTGTTGAGATCATAACGACTTCTCAGAAGATCAATTATCGTCCAGAACTTGAGAATATCTGCAAAGCTCTCGAGGTCCCTTCTAATTCTTCTTCTTGATTCCATGATACCAGATGTTTTTGAGTCTGATTTGATACAAGGAGAATCGAGCAAAAAGCTGTCTGCTCGGCAATACAAAGAAAAGCATCGCCATATGTGGCAATAAGCTGTTAAAAAGTGATGAAACATAAGAAATAACAGATTAAGAGCTAAGTATAGTTTCTGAACAGAATATATGCAATCTAAATACGTCCTATGTGGGCTCTTCAGTACTTCAGCTATATATTCTTGGTAAGCGGAAATACCAAATAGCATTAGTGCCTCGCCTCTGTTTTCCTCGAGTCAGAGTTCACTGTTTAGTATTTTTCAGATCACAATCAGTGTGCTAATCGTCATGTAACATGTGTTGTTTGGTGTGCAAAGCATTTTTCACATCCTTGTCAAGCAGAGAAGTTGGAGACATTTGATCCCACACTCTCTATAGTCCATTTTCCCAGTTTCCTACTAAGGCATGTCTCACACAGCCATATGGCTAATTCCATTTTTTTCTCTACGGAATATTTTCACTGGAGTCCCAATTTTCTTCATAGTGAAGTTATTTGACACTGTTTCGTCTTGGCATATGTTACATTTGCTTAAAATTAAAAGAACCTTTCAGATTGACCAACGGTTCTCTCTCCAATTATTTATGATGTACCTCAGCAGACACCTATGAATGACAAGAAAATTTGTCTTCTCATGTTTAATTAGAACACTATATATGCAGGCTGTTGATCTTAGAAGTTCCCAGACCTTCAGACCACCCACTGCAAAGGTAAATGAATTTTCTACTCGAGTGTACCAGAAATCCATGATGTATACTTATAAAGCGTAAATGGGTTTATCACAGGCTTGCAATCAGTCTTACCAAGCAGCACTACCGCAGATCTTAGAGGTTTTGACATCTGTATGCAGACGATACAGACTGCCACTAGCTTTGACTTGGGCTTCTTGTCTCCAGCAAGGTAAAGAAGGACCTCGGCATTCTAATGAGAACTATGAATTCTGTGTGTCAACCGTCGATTCTGCTTGTTTTGTGGCCGATCAACACTACTTGGGGTTTCAGGAAGCATGTTCAGAGCATCACCTGTTAAGAGGACAAGGAATCGTTGGGAGGGCATTTACAATAAACAGCCCGTGTTTTGCCACTGATATAACTGCGTTCAGCAAGATGGAGTACCCTTTGGCTCACCATGCTCGGATGTTAGGGTTATGCTGTGCCACTGCAATTCCCTTAGCAAGCATCCACACCGGATCAGTTGATTTTGTCTTGGAGTTCTTTTTGCCAAAAGATTGCAAAGACACCGGAGAACAAAAGCAGATGATTAGCTCATTGTCCAGTTTTGTACTTCAGGCACTTCAGAATTCCCAAAAGGAACAGAAGGAAGCGCTTGCCTCATTCACAAGAGATACTGGAGTTGACACTTCACATAAAAGACTTCAGGTTGAAGAAACTGATAAGTTGCTACCTCCTCCTAACGAACATCATCCACAAGAAGTGTCGTGGATTGCAAATATGGTGGAGGCCCAAAAGAACAGCAAAGGAGTCTCTGTTCCATTGGAGGTTCAGAAAGAACCCAAAGAAGAATTTACAGTGACAACCAAATGGGAAGAAACTGAATTAGGAATACAGCATGGACAGTTCCATCCAGAATTTCACAAAGTTCAGCATAACTTTGAAAACAAGCCTAGTATCGAGGGTGGTGATACTCTTGGTCAGTTTTGCTCCGTAGGTGGTAGAAAATCACGCCAGAGGACACGTACAAAGAATGAGAAGACAATCAGCTTGGAGGTCCTCCGGCAATACTTTGCAGGGAGCCTCAAAGATGCTGCTAAAAGTATTGGTGGTACGGAATTTTTGTTTGCTACTTACTGATACGTTTGTATTTTGCTCTTTATTTTTTATTTAACACTTGGTTGGGTTTCACAAAGTGAGTGAGAACTAATGAAGCGGTGGGTTGTGAATAGCCAATGAAACTTCGCAAAGCAGGCATAAAATAAATTGCAATGTTAATTCTATAGCTTCAATAATGCTGCTTCAATAAAAGTGCACATCCGACATGGTCCAGAAATGCTTGTCTTTCTTTCTTTTATCGATGGACTGATATTGTTCATAACTCAGAAGACAGATACTAATACCTCACGATGATTGACCTATTACAAGCAAAATGACAAAGTTTTTTGAATCCGAATTGCTGATTTTACATCTGCATCTGCTCAGAGAAGAACCTACTTTAGTCTTGTAGGGGCGTTAGATGTATGCTTTCGACTATTTAATTGCCAGTGTAGGAGGTGGGTACACAATCTCATGAATTCAAATCTTTTTTGTTTGTTCTATTAGTTGCTGATACTTCCATCCATGTGCGGTATTTGGATATATAAATCCAAACGAGGCCCTTAAGCTTGTTGCTTCTTGGAAAAATTCCTTTACATGTCAACTGGAGCTTATGGGGCATAAATCTCCTTTCAGTTTCTTATGTCATGTCACGGCGAGGCACCACGAGGCTTTAATTTGGATCTAAATTGTCCCCTTTTGCACTTCACAAACTCACCTTAGTGTTTCTTACGGAGTGGGTTGCTGAATGCTTCATACTCCTTTTGACTAACATACTGCTGCGCTTGTGCTTATAAAATCTCCTGATCTTGGAGAATCCGTGCCCTACATTTAGCAGCAAGAGCACTTGTCACTTAACCTTCCTGGCTAATAATGCTTACCCACATTATTCTATGTGCAGTTTGTCCTACAACCTTGAAAAGGATATGCAGGCGACACGGCATCACTCGATGGCCTTCTCGGAAGATCAAGAAGGTAGGCCATTCTCTAAAGAAGCTTGAGACCATTATAAATTCGGTCCAAGGCACTGAGGGCACTATACATATACGCTCATTTTACGAGAGCTTCCCAGAATTGAACTCTCCTAGACACTCTGAGAAGGGAACTTTTTCATCAGCTAATCTGGGTAATCCTCTGGAGCAATTAAATCTTCGGACTGAGAATGGTTTGTTCAGCTCAGGAGCCACTACCTCGAATTCTCCAACTTCCTCGTGCAGCCAGAGCTCTGGTTCTACTACCTCTTGCTCAACCGGGACAAAGCAGTGTTTCACTGCAATAAATGCTCCAAGCGGCGGTGATCCAATGCTGTCCAATAACCCCTCCGAAGTGCTAAAACGAACACGCAGTGATGCAGAATTACATATTTCCACTCACGAAGAGCTGAAGCTTCTTGTAAGATCCCAAAGCCAAAAATCATTGGATGAGTGGGGAAGTCTCGAGAATGTAGCCACTTTACCAAAAATCAATGGTCCACGCATAACACGAGATGTGGGCGTTTATAGAATTAAAGCAATTTTGGGGGAAGAAAAGATCAGGTTTAGCTTGAAACCCAGTTGGGGATTTAGAGATTTGCAATGGGAGGTTGCAAAACGTTTCAACATAGATGATATCGGAACAATCGATCTCAAGTACTTGGATGATGATCAAGAGTGGGTTCTTTTGACATGTGATGCTGATCTTGAGGAGTGCATTGATGTGTACAGAATGTCGCGAAACCATACAATCCGGATCTCCATTCACCAATCTTCACATCAAAATCTAAGAAGTCTTGGTGGTAGCAGTGGTGAGGCTCAGCACCAGGGCCATATTCAATGATAAGCTCCCAGTGTTTGGGATCTAAAAATCTGTACGGCACCAAAATTTCTCCTTTGCAGACGAGCAAGAAGGCAGACCATCGGTTGGAGGCAGGGACATCAAACCAGGTTTGAACCCCGGCTATAGCAAAACAAGAAAAAGGAGAAAAAAAAAAGAAATCGATATCAGGTTCTTTAGTTCATGTGCAGCTTTCCAGGTGTTGCTAGAGAATTTAGTCAGTGTATATTACATGGTAGATTTGCTTAATTCCCAGGTGCTAAGCATGTTTGCTTTGCTTAAAAGCTGTTGCTTCCATTGGACATATCGCTTCATAATTCAAGTTTCCTTCGGTAATCAAGATTATGGCCCAGTTGATTGAAGCTAGAGAACTTTTCCAGGCTGGAGATAACAGTTTACTTCTTCGTGACTTTTTAAGAATCAACTACTTTTAAGGCAGTCTGATTCACCGAATTCTGGGAAAGGAACAACAAAATTTTACCCAAACATGATCGATGAACACCTAGTAAATGACATTATGGTGGCTTCAACAGGTATCTGTATATTGGGGTGACTAAGGTAGAAGTAATGGAATGTTTACATCAGCTACTACGTAGCCACAGATCTATTACCCTCCGAAGTCCTCCAAGAAGGTACTGTCAACTGAACTCGTCATTTGGTGGAACATACATCATATGGCAAGATCAAATTCTATGTAAACTCAAATGAACGGTTGGAACTAACTATGCACGTTCAACATGAGAAAAAGGGGAAGACGCAGCTTGAAAAATCCATCCGAATCTTTGACAGCAGATCATCTCGTAAATCTCAGACGGAGCAATCTCTCACGATATCCTGGAAGACGGAGTCAGGATTTTTAAATTTGGGAACTATATAAATATGACAATGTTTGAACAATCAAAGATTAATGAAGATCAAATCCAAATCACGCTGATGAAAATAGAATCCTACAAATAAATGAGCCTCCTGACAATTACCAAGTGAACATATGAGGAATCTCACTATTCAAACCTCTCGGGTCTATATATACCATTATACCCATCCAAATCCATTTTACATTCGCTCAGTATATTACAGGGTGAAATGTATTACTGAAGTCACAGAAAATGAAATATTAAGCTCTAATTGGGTTATTTGATATCCCCATCAAGTTCACTGGGTTATTTCACATGTCCATAGTAATACACAGGTCAAGCATGAGAGTGATTTTCATACAAAAGAAGCATCCGTAATTAGAGACAGCCTTTGCGGTGCCGTTATGTTGCTGCATTTTTATGTCTCGTCATCCCTTCTGATTGGGGTCAGATCATCTTTATCAGGTCAGCGCTGGCATGTACACCCACCATGAAATTGCTGCCAGATCAATGGATGACTCGTGAGATCTATGATGACATCACTGGTCGGATCATTTCCGGATTGCGATGCCAGAACTAGGGAGGATCAGCTTGGCATCAATCGTAGGACTAGTATGCCACTCCCAACACATAATCCTGCACAGAATCATCTGTGAGACTAAGATGGCAAGAGACCGGGATCTCTGATATTTGCACCAGATTGATGGTGGTAAATATAGTTTACATGCCATTCAACTGCAAAAATACAATTAAGAAATGAAAAGATGACTAAATGAACCTTTGGCATTTGACATTCAGACTCTGCATGAACAGGAATTCAATAGTCAATGCAATACATCAGGCTACGCATCAAGCATTCATTTTGTCCTAGCTCCACATCGGAGCCCATCGGATGTCATGACACGAATATTCTGCTCCTGCAAGTTAACATTCATCAAATGCTGCTAGTAAACTCCCCCATATTAGAGCTCCAGGGAAGAGATTGGATGTTTGATAATAATGTAAGTCCTAAGAGGTTTCACACAAAGGTTCTCTAATATTTAGTATAGTGAAAATAGTAAATCTCTACAAATACAATGATCACAAACTACTGAAAAGCAAGATCCACATATCTGGACATCTAGAAAGGAGTAACCCAACAAAAGTCAGGGATCTTAATTACACCATACAATCGCTCCTTTAGATCTGACAAATCAAACAACCAACGAATATTAAGAAAACAAAGACAAGGAAAAAATGAATTTTAAGATACCTGCATGCATCAAAAGGAGCCTCGACCCTTCTAATCTATTTGCTTCTGTGATATCTAAAAACTGAGAGAAGAGAACTCAGAAAGTTGTCGCAGGATGTTTGTGAGAGAGTGAGTTACTGAGCTGCCAAGCATCTCAACAATAATTGTTTCTTCTCTCTTCAAAATCCTATATGGTGCGGAGGAACAATCAAACAAATTCCTAATCTGCACGAAAGAAAAGCACGATTTAAGATACTGAAAACATATACAGCATGAATTTCAACTTGAAGCCAGAGAGAAATTTCTTCAATCAATATACTTGTACAGCTAGATTTTTACGTCCAAATAACTGTCTAAGATACATTGAGTTTTGATTATGGAAAGCAACCGATGAAGTTGACATTACCATCTCAAAAATCCAGGTAATCATTTTTCTTTTGCTGCAGACTTGGTATACTGCCCTGACCCCAGCCTTTCTGTATATGCTTGAGAGTTCTGGAGACAGTCCTGCTGCCATCATCTCTGTTCAAGAGCAAAGGTAAGCCATAGGAATGGCCATAAAAATTTAGAACTAAATGCATCCCAACAGGCGGCCACATACAACTTTCATTCAATGAGGAAAAACAGAGCATGTAAACTTTCGTGATAACACTACTTAGTGCAAATTTGCAGCCATATGGGTTGCAACTTGCAATTCAGTACTCAACATATAATTAATCCAATAACTTCTCTAACACCATCCATACTTGCCACAATGGCTAGTCTGCAAACACATCACACTGCATATATTTAGTGCAAGAAAGAATGATATACAACCATAATTCAGCACAAAACAGTGTGCCATTTATCGAAGAAGGCGCTAAACTGTTTCTATTGTTAGTGGACAATTAAGTTAAATCAAGGACTGTAGAGATTTAATATAAGCAGTCAGGTGGCATACTGACACCCAAAAAGGGAGAACAGAAAGACAAAGTGAGATATTGCATATCACTTAATATGTACCTTTGCACTATGCTTTGCCAATTGTATTCATTATAGATATCTGGTCTTCCGTGGATGGTTTTCTCCTTACTTGCTGCTACCTTCTCATATGACACTATGTCCATCATCCTCTCTGCAAGTTGATCGGCCTCCTTTTTATTTCCTTTATGCCTTAATCCGTCAATTACTGGCATGAATGATGCAGGGTCAATTCCATATCCACTATCAATCATCCTATTAAGAATGCCACTGGCATTGTCTATCTTCCCTTCATTACAAAGGATGTTGATGAGATGATTAGAGAGAAAATCTCCCAGATCAAAATGTCTGTTGATTGCAGCTTTGAACAACTCTTCAGCTGCGTCAATTTCCTTTCCGGTGAGCAACTCGTTGAACAATAAGCTGTAGAGGGGTTCCTTATGGCCACATATATTAAGAGCTATTTCAAACATCTCCTGGGCCAGTCCAAAGTTGCCAGCCTTGCAGAAAGCTCTGATGAGTATTTTAAAAGTAGTAATATTAGGAAATACTCCCTTCTCAATCAGCTCATCTAGAATAGCAGGGGCATCATTAATTCTCCCACCTTCACACAGGCATCTGATGAAATTATTGTAAGTACAGACATTAGGAGGTATTCCTCTTTCTTTCATTTCATCAAGAAGTCCATATATCTCAAATATCTGGTTCTTTCTTCCTAAGCCCAAAATCAATGAATTATATGTTTGTAGCCTCCTGCTGCAACCTTTTTTCTCCATGTCCTTGAGAACTCGAAATGCGGACGATAATTTTCCCTCTTTACAGAGAGCGTACACAAAGGCATCGTATATAACAGAATCAGGACGTATTTTTCTACTCATCATCTCAGCAAACATCTTCTTAGCTTCTTCTATCCTACCGGCCTTGCATAAACCACTAATCACAGTCGAGTAAGAGATTAGATCTGGGTAACATTTGTTGCAATCATTGGCATTGTCAACTAAGCCAATAAATGAATTCCCCAGATTTCCAAGAGCAGCACTTCCGTGACTCCACATCCCACTCACTATCTCCATTGCCTTATCCAACTCACCTCTGAGACATAATCCATGTATTACAATATTACAGGTGACAGTATCTAAGCCATAACCTCTCTCATTCATCTTCTGCAGTAACTTTTCAGCCTCTGATATCTTACCCTCTTTCCAGAGGCTATGTAGCAAGAAATTAGAAGTGTGATTGTTTGGGAAACAGCCACTCTTCATCATCTCCTGCAGAATATTCCTCGCTTCCAGCATCTTCCCTTTGCCGCAGTATCCCTGGGCTAAAGTGCTATAAGTGATTGTATCTGGGGAGACACCGGAACTTTTCATTGAACGCATCACTGTCCTTGCGTCAGACAACATCCCATTCTTGCACAGCCCATCAATCACAATATTGTACGTGTAAATACTGGGTTCAACACCACTTTCAATCATCTCATTTATTATTGATTGTGACTCTAAGAGGTTCCCCTTCCTAATCAAACCTAACAACCAGATATTGTAGCTCTCCAATTTCATCAACTCACCCTTTCTCTTCATTGTATCACCCAGAGTTTTGGCTTCCTCCCACATCCCTTCCTTGCAAAATCCTTCAAGCATTAGATTGTACGTTACAGTGTTTGGCTCAGGGAGGCCCAACTCTCGATCTGATAACATATCTCTAAAAATTCTAGAAGCTTCTAATACTTTACCGGCAGCACAAAGAGCAGATATCTGGGAATTGAAGGTAACAATATCCGGAGACAAGTCATCTCCTCTCATCCTCTCTACCAATTTTTCGGCTTCATCAGTCATACCTTCCCTACAAAAGCTAGAAATCAAAGTATTGTACACTACATTATTCGGCGTAATCCCCGAGCTCTTCATCTCATTCAAAAGCTCCAACCCCTGGCCACAGAGTCGAGCTCTACAATACCCACGAACCAAAATTCCAAAACTATACTCATTAGGCCGACACCCTTTCTTAGGCATTTTCTCAAACAAGTTCCGGGCATCATTCAAACGGCCCACCTCACAAAGCGCGCCGATCAAGAGATTAAACGTGTAAGTCTCGGGGCTCAACCCCGCAACAACCATATCCTGGTACAGCCACAACACATCATCCACATCGTTCTCCCTCAGGCAGGCCTGTATAAGCAGATTGTACACGAAAACCGAAGGCGGGTGATCAGGGAAACAAGAACGGAGAGACTTGAACTGCGAGACGGCGGCCGCGAGGAGACCCGAACGGGCCAGCAATTTCACGAGGGAGACG